AGTCCAGCTTCTCAAATTATTTGCTCAGCTTATAGATTGAATAACTGTGGTGAAAGGATACAACTTGACTCACACCTTTCCTGGTTTTTGGTCTTATCTCTCTTTCCTGTCTTTTTAATGACCTTTTGCTTTCTTCATGTATAATGTCCTTGATGTCATCCCAAAACTCGTCTGGTCTTCAGTCATTAGTGTTCAGTGCATCAGATCTGTTCTTGAGTTGGTCTCTGAATTCAGGTTAGTTATACTAAAGGTCATATTTTGGCTCTCATGGACTTGTTTAATTTTCTTCATCTTCAGCTTTAACTTGTATATGAGCGATGATAATCTATTCTGCAGTCGGCCCCTGGCCTTGTTCTGACTGATTATGTTGAGCTTTTCCATCATTTGTTTCCACAGATGTAGTCGATTTAATTCCTGTGCATTCCATCCAGTGAGGTCTATGTGTATACTTGCCATTTATGTTGTTGATAAAAGGTATTGCCCTGAGTAAGTCATTGGTCTTGGCAAAATTCTATCATGAGCTCTCCAGCATCATTTCTATCACTAGGCTGTGTTTTCCAACTACTGATCCTTCTTCGTTTCCCACTTTGGCATTCTAGTCAGCAGTAATTATCAATGCATCTTGATTGCATATTTGATCAATAGCAGACTGCAGAAGTTAGTAAAAGTCTTCAGTTTCTTCATCTTTGGCATTAGTGGTTGGTACGTAAATTGAATAATAGTTGTTAACTGGTCTTCCTTACAGGCCTATAGATATTATCCTATTAGTAGCAGCTTTGTACTTCAGGAGAGATCTTTAAATGTTCTTTTTGACGATGAATGTGATGCCATCCATCTTCAATTTGTCATTCCTGGCATAGTAGACCATATGATTGTCTTATTCATAATGGTCAGTACTAGTCCATTTCAGCTCACCAGTGCCTGGGATATCAATGTTTTGTGTTCCATTTCATTTTTGATGACTTCCGATTTCCCTTCATTCATACTCAGTACATTTCATGTTCTGATTACTGGTGGATGTTTACAGCTATTTCTTCTCATTTTGAGTCGTGCCACATCAGCAGATGAAGGTCCCAAAAGCTTGACTCCATCCAAGTCATTAAGGTTGACTCTACTTGGAGGAGGCGGCTCTTCCCCAGTTGTGTTTTGAGTGCCTTCTAACTTGATGGGCTAATCCTCTGGCAGTATATTAGACAGTGTTCCTCTGATATCCAAAAGATTTTCACTGGCCAGTTTTTTCAGAAATAGATCGCCAGGTCCTTCTTCCCAGTCTGTCTTAATCTGGAAACTCTGCTGAAATGTGTCCACCATGGGTGACCCTGCTGGTGGACCCTCCTGGTGGCATAGCTTCTAGCATCACAGCAACACATAAACCACCACAGTACGACAAACTGACAGATGAGTGCTAGATAAAGGATTTAAATTCACAGACATTAGAAATGTGTTTCCGTTATCTACGATCAACATACATTGTAGTGAAACTATGGAACTCTAAAGACCAAGAGAAAAACTTAAAAGCAACCAGAGAGAAGAATGATTATCTACAAAGGAACAACATTTAGATTAATAGGACTTTTCAGAAGCAATAATGGAATCATATTAATGCTACCAGTAATAGCAGCTACTTTCATAGAATTTATATTGTGCCAAGAACTATTTTAAGTACTTTAACATATAGTAACTAATTTATTTGTTATTAGTGTGGAGACTACAGACAGTGAAATACAGATCTACAATCTGAAAGCCCAAAGCTCTGATTGCCAAACATGCTTTCAGTAACTAATTTAGGAGAAAAACCTGACTTGAACTTATATTAAATTATTTTTAATCTTTATACTACTTTATGTGAGTATTCATTGAATTGTAGATATACTAACGTGCTTGGTTCCAGAATGTTGCCACAGACCCTCCTAGGGAATGTTAGGTAACAACAGATGCTGCAATGATTGAAAAAATAAGAAGAGGCTATTATAAATAAATTTGGGCAGTTAAATGGGAAATTCTGATAAAAATATAGCTCATGAAAAATATAACTGATAAAAGAATGAATAGAAATCTGAATAGTTCTATAAACATTAAAAATTAAATCAATAGTATAAAACATTCCTCAAAAATAATACCAGGCCAAAATATTTCTAACAGTGAGTTTTGCCAAATGTATATATGAGTTATTTCATTCTTATAGATAATAAAGAAAGTGAACATCCCCTAACTTTTCTTTAAATGAGGGCTGCATAAACTAATGCAAAAACTTGAAGAAGAAACAGACCAAATGAATAAATAAAAAAGGAAATTATGGGCCCATTCTATTAGATGCAGAAATCCTAAATAAAATATTAGCCAAGAGAATTTAGCCATGTATTAAAAAGATAATGCGTAATGGTTAAGTTGGATTCATGCCAGAAATGCAAGGATGGTTTTATTATAAGACCAAGTTATATAAATTTCCATATCAGTCATCTAAACAGTACAGAAAAAGCGTTTGACACACTCTTAAGATGTTTTTCTTTATCAAAACTGATGGTAAGTCATGAATAAGAGGGAAATACCTATTTCTTTAGAAATATTTCTTTTCTACAGAACATTATAATTAATGATCAAATGTTGAAGCAATTCTCTTTAATATTATATAGGAGATCCTAGTTAGAATACTTAGCAAAGAAAAAGAAATAGAGTGTGTAATATATAATGATTGGGATGAAATAAAAAAAACTCATTTTCACAGCTAGTATGTCTGTATGGAAAACACTGATTCTCTTGAAAATTTGGTACATGTCAGAAATAGCTTATATTTCAGATTTGTACGTAAAGGATAGCTTTCTCAATCAATGGTGCTTAATGATCCAAATGAAAAAAAAAAAAGGAAATTGGATACCAAACTCGCTTCATGTGTGTAGCAAAAAATAAATATAGGTGGATTAGAGACTTAAATATGACTTAGATAACTAAAAACTTTTACAAGACAATATAAAAGAATATGACTTTTAGTTAGGGGAAAAGTTCTTAAGACATGAACTCAAAACACAGTGAAAAAGTTTACTAAATTAAACTACATTAAAATTAATTTTTTTTTTAATCAGACCCATTGCCATTGAGTTGATTCCAACTCATAGTGACCCTGTAGGACAGAGTAGAACTGCCCCGTAGGATTTCCAGGTTGCACTTGGTGGATTCAAACTGCCGACCTTTTGGTTACCAGCTGAACTCTTAACCACTACACCACCAGGGTTTCCTTTTTAATCAGAAGACTCCCTTAAATACAGTAAAAACAAACCAAAATATATGGAAAAGATATTATATGAAAATTAGTATCAAAGATTATATAAAGAATTCCTGTGCATCAGTAAGAAACAAATAACCCCAATAGAAAAATGGACAAATGACTTAACAGGCTGTTCACAAAAATGGAAATAAAATGGCTCATAAGGCATATGAGAAGATGATCTCTCTTGGTAATCGTGAGGTAAAGCAAATTAAGGCAACAATGAGACACCATTTCATAACCCAGTAAGAATGAGTCAGTGTCAACTTGATGGCAGCAGGCTTTGGTTTGGTAAGAAGGAGCCCAGGTGTTACAGTGGTTAAGTGCTGGGGTTCTTGATCCCACCGGCTGCTCCGCAGGAGAAAGATATGGCAGTCTGCTTCAATAAAGATTACACCCTTGGAAACCCTATGAGGCAGTTCTGCTATGTCCTGTGGGTTCACTGTGAGTTGGTATCGATCCACAGCAAGAGGTTTTTTTTGTAATACTGACATTCATACACACTGAGAATTTGTAATTTCCCTAAAGATCTAGGCCCTGTAGTCTTGCACATATACTTTAGGAGCATATGTGTTATTTATAGCAGCACAATTGTGTTGGAAAATTGGGTGGTTTTTGTTATCAGTAATACAGTGGACATACACTTGCGATATAGTCACATGAGGGAATATTCTACAGCAATGTGAGTGAATGAATTTTAAGCTATATGCCACAGCATAAATACATTGCAAGAATACTCTGTTGTTTGAAAATAGCAAGCCCCAGAAGAATATGTAAAGTGTATCTGTAACAGTATATCCATTTATATACTGTTCAGAAGCCTGAAACTTAATTAACATATCTCTTTGATACAAACATATGGAAAGTTATATAAAAAAGCAAGCGAATGATAAACTTAAAATTTAGGATAACGGTTCCCTCTGAGAGTGGAAAGAAAGGCATTTGGACCAGGGAGGGAGACACAGAGGACTTAAAAGTTAATGGTAATGTTCTTTTAGCTAGTGTATATTGTGTCACTGTTCTTCATAACCTTATTTTCAAAAATATTTGTGACTGTTCTTTTTGTATCTACTCAATGATTAATACAAATAGTGTTTCCAAAAAGAATGCATAGAATGAAAGATGTCAGGAAATGGAGTCAGCTTTTTGAGAATTTTCTTATGAAAGAAGTAAGAGAAATGGGACAATGGCAGGAGGGCATTGTGCATTCTTTGTTTTTTATTGGTGCTTTACCGTTTATTAGTAATATTGGACATCTACATACAGTCTATTTGTGTTTCTTTTTAGAGAACAGCATTTCATGTTCTTTGCCTGTTTTTACTATTGGTAGTCTCTTACCTTACTGAGTTGTAGGAGCTCTTACACATCATGGATGTTGTTGCTTTGTCTCATAGTTTGTTTCACATTTCTTAGAATTCGATTCAAATCATCATTTTGTTTCACATGTTTTCTTTAACTTGACCCTTATCTTTAAACTATTTTTGTGGTGTTTCTGCTATACAGGTTTTTCATATTTTCTATGTATGCATCAAATTTTTAAATACACAGTTACCATATTATTCATGAAATGTTGTGATCCATATTACTGCTTTGTTCAAATTATTTCACTCGTAGTGACATAAATTGTTTCATTTATGTGTTTAATTCAGATATGGAAAATTATGAGCTCATAAATTATGTTTCAAAATTTTTTTTAATGAAACTGCTTAGGTACTGTAATTATTGTCTTTCTTCAAAGGTTTCGACCAAACACTAGAGAGCTGTGGTGTTACAATGCAGTGGTTGCTGATGCCAGACTCCCCTCTGCAGCAGACATGCAGTCCAGATGTAGTATTCTAAGTCCTGAACTTGCCTTACCTACAGGATCAAGGGCTCTCACCACCCGATCTCACGCAGCTTTGCACATTCTAGGTAGGGTTGCTGTTTGATGTTCGCCAATTTTTGTTGATGTGGATTGAGATTTTTTGTTTTGTTTTCATTTGTAGAGTCTCTAGATTTGTATGTGACTTATTTGTGTTAAAAATTAACAATATGCTAGGTATAAAATAAGTGATGTTCTCTGTCTTGAAGAGGCTTATTCTACAGACAGCAGGACAATCAGACCTATGCCAACAACATGAAAGGTTCATGTGTGGCCAAATGTTAAGCAGCCCTGAATAATTTTCTTAATAGGTAGATCTTTAAAAAATAGTGTTTTGGTTAACTTGAATATATATACTTTTAGAGATGTAAATTCAGTATTCAAATATGTAATTGTAACATTTATATACAGTACTTCAGAATAACAAATTCTATAAAATATTGTATGAATTTTTATAGATAGTGCTTTTTTCTTACATAACAGTTTTCCACAGCATATGAACTTTACTTCTGTTTACTTAATTTGAAATATAGTACTTTTTCAATCCATGTATGTTATTGCTGAAAATTTTATACCAATTTAACTACTTACTATATTGATTTTTAAAATGATCCTTAAAAGATTCATTTATGTTTATCTAGTATTTATAATCGTGAGGTCATAATTCTAAGTATAATTACTAGATCTTAAATACCTTGCTTCCTTTTTCACAAATTTTACTGGGTAACCATTGTAAACATCCAAAACTAGCATTAGTTAAGGTTATTTCTGGCTAATGTGTCTGCCTCAAACTGCTTTAAGAATCAAATAAAAATAATTCAGAGACTCTCATAAAATGAAGAAGCTTATAAGGAATCAAAGCTCAAGAGATTCCAACTTTTCAGAGAGACAGTTTTGTGCAAAACGATGCCAAATAGTGTATGTTTAAATATGATAATTACCTAGGAAGAGGAGAATTTTTATTGGCGTAAGTATTCTTCCATGAAACTATGTTTAAAACATGGAATAATTTGTTGAGCATACTCAGAGTTCATTTCCTTATTTAAATGTATCCCCTGTAGTATCCCATGTCATTAGTAAGTACCATGGAAGATTTTACTTTCAAGGAGTTGAATTTTGTTTGTTGTTTTAGGTTGTCTTGATACCTTGGCAGCTATGCAGGATTTAAAAATGGGTGTTGCAAGTACAGAAGAGGAGACTCAAGCAGTGATGAAAGTTTATTCCAAAGAAGATTATAGTGTGGTAAACAGGTTTGAAAGTATGTGTACTTATGTTTAGGAAGTATTGTCTTATAACTGAAATGTATATGGATATTTTAGAACAAATTATTATTTATATCTTTTAGGTCATGGAGGGGGCTGGGGTTACTCTGCCCACTCAGTAGAAGCTATACGTTTTAGTTCAGACACTGATATTTTACTTGGTGGTCTCGGTCTGTTTGGAGGTAGAGGAGAATATACTGCTAAAATTAAGGTGAGCAGTTCATTGACACTGTTGTCCTGTTTATTTGAAGATGTTGGTTTTGACTTTATTCTTTTATGTAGTGCTTCATTTTCGAAAGGGCTTGAGGAAACACTGCTAAAAACTAATACAATAATACTAAATCATTAACTCGGATGAAAAAATTAAAAGTAAAGTAAGAAGGGAAGAAATGAAAGGAAAATGATTTTTCAATAATATAAGACTAAAAGGCTATGAAGGTCAATCTCAGTCCTTTGTGCTGACCTTCCTAGTGGTCTAGGAACAGCAGCACCTTTTTATGTGACCATTTTCTTACAGCTATTTTAATGACCAGAAGCACAGTTGTTTTGGTGCAGAGACATTTTTACACAGCTTAAAAAGTTCTTAGCATTTTTATCACCAGATATTATGCAAACAGGCAACATAATCACCCCAGCAGTGAGGATCAGAGATAAGGTGAGAGATAAGAGTATAGGGGTTGGATTCCATCTGGTAGACAAGCTAAAAATAATCAACTGCCATCATTTTCCACACTTCTTCGTCTCAGAAAAAAGCCAAAACCAAACCCATTGCCATTGACTCGATTCTGACTCATCTTCTAAAGGGCCAGCAATTTTTCTACACCAAGTATATGCTCATTTTTTGGAAAATTCACTAATAGCTTGAATACTCTGCTTCTCAAATTATCTGATTTTGTTCCGAAAAGAAGAGAATGCTGTATCTTCTGCCTCAATTTCAGTATAAAGTAAAATATTCTCGATTTATTGTCATCTATTTAGGAAATATTTTCTTAGGTCTCTCAATAATACCCAAAAATTATAATGATTTTTGAGGCTACGCCGCTTTTTAGCCCAAACCAGCGCTGATGAACTTCAAAAATTATCTGTCAATTTCTGGTTAAAGTTGAAATACATACACTAAAAAAAAATGCAGGTAATATAGGAATTAATAGAATTAAAAGTGCCTGTAGCCATTTAGAGTACAAGGACAGAATAATGATTGAGGGTGTCTGTTGCATGAGTTGGAATCGAATCAATGGCAATGGGTTTGGTTTTTTGGTAGCTTGTATATGTTGGTAATAAGAAAAACAATAGTTTTATTCTCTGGCTCATTTTGATGAGCACCTGCATCAAAATGATTATTTTAGGTTATTAGTGATTACCAGAGGTAGGTGAAGTCATTGCTTAGGAGACACTGAGCTTCTGTTAAAAATGATAGAAAATTTGGAAACAGATAATGGTGATGGTTACCCAACATGATGAACACAGTGTCACTAAATTGTACGTGTGACGAATGTTGAAATGGAACATGTTTAGTTACGTATATATTTACCACAATATAAAAAAATGGTTATTTTAAGATGTCTTCATTCAAAGTTAAGACAGAGGTGCAAACTGAATGAGTTATATAATTCTAGTTGGCAATGTCTAGTAAGTGTGAAGGCAGTTCATGAGGAGGATTTCCACCCCATGCCCCTGAGAGTTTTTTAATAGTATTGAACTCCATAGTGGAACTTATTTTCAGTAGTAGTGGTATAGAATTATAGAGGCTTTCCACATATGTGTGCCATGTTTTTCTTTTTCAAGGCTCAAATACTGCCTCACTCCTCCATTATCTGGAAATGATCTTGTTTTGTATTCATTGAGTGAATTTAAAGCTTTCCAACAGGAATTTTATTTTTCTTCCTCCACCTTTCTAAGGTTTGCTCTCCGCCACACCTCCCCGCCACACCCTCCAGAAGTTAAGTCCCTTACTGATTTTGTTTTATTTCCATACCTCTGGTTGTTTCTTCCATCTCCTTGTCAGTTCATCCTTTTCTACCTGGTCAATGAATGTTGGAGTTCCTCTAAGCCCAGCCCTAGACCCTATTTCTTCACTCTGTATTTTCTCCTAGTCATTGTTCCTAATCAGACTTTCAATTACCATCAACCCACCGTCATGCCCAAATTTATATCTCCAGCTCAGACTTCTTTTTTCTTGTAAATGTTTTAAAAGCATGTCAGTCATTATATCTAAACTGAATTTGTGATCTTTCCCCAGGACCTGACTCTCTTCTAGTGATCCCTTTCTCATGATCAGTACCACCCACCATATGCCTGTTACATAAGCCCGAAACCTAGATGTTCTTCTTGATAGCTCCCCCTTCATCTTTTCCCTCCATTGATAAAAGCTCTTCCATCACTACCCTAAGCAAAGCTATTTGTCTTGGACCAGCTGCCTGGTCTCTATACATAGTCTCAAACTTTTTGGTCTCAGAAGAACAAGATAGTTCTCACCTTTACAGAACTTATTGCTTAGTGAAAGAGACAAATTAATGAGCTAAAATTGATGCATTCATTTATGTCACATTTTATAAATATTTATTGAATGCCACCTACATCCTAGGGTTTTTTCCAGGTGCTAGGTTTAGTGTTTTCAACCAAACAGACAAAAGATTTTGGTGTTTTGTAGTTAGTAAATTGAGTGATGTGTGAAAGAGTAACTGGCAGAGGGAGCCATCATACTTTATATAGAGTGATCAGAGAAGGCTCTTTGACTAAGAAACATTTGAGCAGACACCTGAAGAATGAAAAGGAGCCAGTAGCAGGGGGAGCGTTCAAACAGGTTTTTTGTTTTTTTTTTTTTTCCTTAGCACCTGTTAGCTGCTTGTTGAAGGAATTCCCCTACTTTCTGTCTCCGTTCTCTTTCTTGCCATTCCTTCCACTCAGGCTTTGGCCCCAACCATTCCACTGAAACTGCTCTTGTCAGGGACACTGATAACCTCTCTATTGCTAAATCCAGTGGCCTCTTCTTTCTTGACCAATGGGCAAAATTTAATGCAATTGATCTCTTCTTTGAAATACTTTCTTCACTTGACTATCAAAACATTTTCCTCCTGTCTCACTGACTATTCTTTGTCTTTTTGCTGGTCCTTCATGATCTCTCTAACCTCTAAATGTTGGAGTGCTTAGAGCTCAGTTCTTGCTCATCCTTTTGAGTATACTCACTCCCATAGTGATCCAGCCTCATGGCTTTAAATATTTTTTTCTCTGATGACTCTCAAATTTGTAGAGCTCTCCCCTGACTTCCAGAGTCATATGTACAATTGGCATCTCTAATTGGATATCTGATAGGCATTTCAGATATAACATGTCCGTAATAGAGCTTCTGATGACTTCCCTAAACCTGCCGTCCCTACATTCTTTCCCATTTCAGTTAAATGGTTCAGAATGTAGGTAACTTCATTTTTCTACTTGTTCAAGCCAAAAATCTTGGAGTCATCCTTGACTCGTCTTTCAAAACAAATCTAGAATTTAACCACTTCTGAAAACTGCTACAGGTACCCCTTTAGTCCAAACCACAACCATTGTCACCTGGATTATTACAGTAGCCTCCCAACTGGTATTCTGCTTCTGTACTTGTCTCTTCCATTGTATTCTCAACACAGTAATTGGAGTGGTTCTGTTAATATTTACACCATAATATATCACTCCTCTGTTCAGAATCCTCCTGTGTCTTCCTATATTAGAATAAAAGCCACGTGTCTTAACAAGGACCTACAAAACCCTACAGAACTAACTTCATTGCTTCTCTGACCTCATTTTATACTAGTTGCTTCACTCTAATCCTGGCACGCTGGCCTGCTTATCACTCCTCAAGCGTGCCAGGCTCAATGAAGCCTCAAGACCTTTGCACCTGCTGTACTCTCAGACTAGAGCTCTCTTCATTTCAGTAGCTGGGTGACTCACTTTCTCATCACCGTCAGGTCTTGACTCCCTGGTAAGCCTACGTAAAACTGTAAGTCCCCTCTCTTACCACACACTCGCTCCCAATGGCTTCTCATTTTTTTGGTCTTCCTTTGTTTATTTGCTTGTTTTTGTATTATTCACTCCTGTATGCCCAGTTCCTAGAACTGTGCCTGGCCCATAGAATGTGTTCAAAAATTTGGTTGAAAATAAGCAGGAGGGTCAGGTTAGGGGCAAATCATTAAGGACTTTTATATCATGCTATGAAGAAAGAGATAAAAATCATGGATGAATTTTCAATTAAAATATTCTGATCAGATACTCATTTAAAAAAGACTTCCAAAAGTCATTAAAAAAAGAAAACCCTCTACTTTGTGGAATATGGATTAGAGCAAGGAGAAAACGTAGCTAAGAAGACTAGTTAAAGTGATTACTGACATTTTCCAGGCAGTGATGGTGAATATGGTTGAATTGACAAGCTTTGTTATGAGCAGTAGAGTAGATACAGTGACGACAGAGAGATACGGAAAAAAGGGTTATTGTTAGGTTTTTTATTTTGGTGACTAGGTGAATGATAGTAATATTAATTATAACAGGGAAGATAGGACGAGGGAGAGATGAATCACTTTTGAGATTGAGCCACTTGGAGGAATCCAATGACTGTTGAGAATAAGGATCTGAAGGTCAAGGGGAAAATCTGGGCTGGAAAAAGATGTTTAAGTCATTAGCATATAATTGAAAAATTAAGACATCTAACACAATACCCAGTTAGTAAATTTTAATGCCTCCTTCTCTTGCTTATCAGTATTTCTCTACCTTCCTTCTAGTTCACCTGCTGTAACTCTCCAGAGAAATAAGTTGTTTTTTTAATACACATATTAGTCCATATTTTATGAAGACGTCAAACTCATAATTCTCCTCTTATTTCACAACCATTTTCTATGTTGATATCTCTTTTTTGTGTCCTTTATCCAGACTCTGTGATCCTTCCCTCTTTTTTTATGACCTCCCCCTACTCCCCACTCCCTTACCCTTCATTACTCCTTTTTCCCATGCCATATTAATTTGAACTATTTTTTGTTACTACTTTTTAGGATTCTTCTGTTACTTCTCTCTTTCTCCATAACTTTTTCAAGCCTTATTTGTAGGGTATTTTTCTGAGTATTCCATAAGTATTAGATCATTTAAGTATCATATCTGCTATGATGTGGGCACTATTAGTATCCATCCCTTTTTACAAATGAGTGAATTGGGTCCCAGAATCTCACAGCTAGTAAGTAGTGAAGCAGGATTCTACTCTAGGGAATCTAACCTCAAAACTTAGACCCTAGTTTCTACCTCGCTTGAGAACTCTTAGATAATATTCTACAGATGTTTATATTGGGTACAGAACTTTTTGTATATTTTGAGTGTTTGTTATAAGTAGATGAATTATAAGATAGAAAACCAAGATTAATATATGCTGTAAAACATTGTACGTTTCATAATTTATACATGTATATTCGTATTTATCACTTGATAGTGTTAGAAAAGCAGGAACTCTGATTTTTACATTGTGTAAAGTCAAGCATATATTGGACACACACAAAATTATACACATATTATTCAATTAATTTATATAACTGAATGATTGGGCGAAATGTGGTTTTTGTTTTGTTTTTTCCTTTCCTCAGCTGTTTGAGTTGGGGCCTGATGGAGGAGATCATGAAACTGATGGAGACCTTCTTGCAGAGACTGATGTGTTGGCTTATGACTGTGCTGCTAGGTAAATGATTTGTTCATTATTTAGTGTAATCCTTACCTACTTAAAATTAAAAATCCATTGTAAATAAATAAATATAATTTTAAAAGGAAATTTTAAAAATCTGTGCTGTTAATTTCAGATGCATAAGAAGTTAAATTCTATGTTAGATAATAAGAATTGCTTTTGACTGTGCTGTATTAAGACTAGTCATATCCTCTTCACATTTGTAATTCACAAGATAAATTGACTATTTCTGTATTAAAGATAAGATGGATGTATGATGTATACAGATATTTTGCACACTTTTTACTTTTATTTTCATACATCCCTCAGGGAACACCTAGTATGCCAGTGTTCAGTGATGTGATGTGATACTGCCTACAATTATCTGTTACTTGTAGCATTATGTATATACCTTCAAGTGGTTATACTGACCATGATTCAGATTCACCACACCAGTAGTTTACCATTGATCATAATACACGTGGGGAGGTGAACAGCTTTACTGATATCTCTTGGGAGGTTACCAGATTACTATGTTTAATTATGAAGATTCATTTAGCAATAGAGTTTATCAGTCCTTTCTGTGTAATCCTAAGAATCATCTCAACATTCTGTTATGACAAGTTAGTGATTTGAATCAGAAAATATTATGAGAAAAAAAGATAAATTGAGATTCATAATAATAAATGATACACTATACTTCCCAAGAATAACTATCTTAAGAAAACCTATTATGGTATGCATTTTTGCTTTTTGCTAGTGAAAATGTATATTTTCTGAAATAAGGATGGTAGTAAGGCATTGAGTTTGCTTTTTGCAGATAAATACATTTGAGAACAAAATAGTAAACCTGAAAAAATTTTTGACCATTTCTTCACTTTCGACATTAACCAGGTAGCTTTTTATATTTTATACAAATGAAGATTAGGGGAAATTTCAGGAAAGTTAACTGATAGTTAATTAATTTTTAATGAAGCCTTAAGATACTATTGCTATTTAGAAGTTATTTTTGAACATATGATTATGACTCAAAAATATAATGTGTGCTTTCTTATTTAGAGAATCATTTAGATTTTTTTTTATTTCCATTTGCCTGTTAAACAATGCCCAGACTCCTAAGGCTTGCATTAAGGGACTTCTGTAATCTGTCACAGCTTCTTTTCTGACTTTCTGCCGACTACTCTTCTGCATCTATCTTAATACTAAGCTGGGCTCCTTGCCATTTCACGATCTTGTCCTGTACCTTCATACTTGTATAGAGCAGTTCATGCCATTCTCCCCCTTTTGTGAAATGCCTTTTATTCTTCTCTCTATCCGAAGTACACCCAATAAAATTTCCAAATGCCTTGTCTTTCCCAATCCTTCTATTCTGTTACTTAGATTTTTGTGACTTGCTTATATTCTTTATCAGATACTCTTATTTATATACATATGTTTTCTGTCCTCCTAAATTAGTAAACTTCTTGAGCACCAAAACTCTCAAGTTTTACTTTTGTTTTTCTAGAGTAGCTAGCATAGTTTCTCATTCATATGGATAATAATAATAATTTTAAAAATTGCAAACATTTTTTGTGTAGTTACTATGTGACGGGTAGTTTCAACACCTTAGCTGAATGAGCTCAGTTGTCAGAAGAACACTATGAACTAGACGTTACATTCATCCCTGTTTTACAGATGAAGAAACTGAGGTACAAAGAAAATATAATAACTTGCCCAAGGTCACCTACCTAGCAAGTAGCAAAGCCAGTCCTTGAACCCTGGCATTCTGACTCCAGAGCTGTTTTCTTAACCATGACACTGTCCTCCCTTTCAAAATAAATTTTATTGATAAATGAACTTTTTAAATCAACATTAGTTCCATTTTATAAAGAAAAGTTCAAGTTTTCATTTTCCAGCTAACTTGCATGCTTTTTAATAGCAGTTTTAAAAATTGTCTTATTTTAATACAAAAATTTTATAAATTTTTGTAAGTTTTAAAGTTCAAGAAGAAGGGGAAGAAATATAATTGTATCATCAATACACATAATTATTATTTATTTTGTGTTCTTATCTAGGCTCTTTAATGTTATTTAACAAGAATTTTGTAATACAATTAACTTCATGTTTTCTTTATAAGTAATTTTTTAAATAAGTGTATGTAGCTGAGCAGTGCATAGGCATTGTCTGTAACTCACTAATTTTTCTCCCAGAGAAAAATATGCAATGATGTTTGATGAACCAGTTCTGCTGCAAGCTGGATGGTGGTATGTAGCCTGGGCTCGAGTGTCAGGACCCAGCAGTGACTGTGGATCTCACGGACAAGCTTCTATTACCACAGATGATGGGTAAGAGAAGTGTTTCATTATTACTTAAGTGAACTCTCATTCATGTTGGTGGAATATTGTTTTGAAAACTCAGAGGACGCTCAGTAGGATAAAGGGCTTAATAAGACTAGAGCATAATATAACAGCTAAAAAAAACTAAAATCATGTAATCTTATGCCAAATTAAGTTTAGACAGAATAAGAGAGATAATAGGACTATTGTTCTTTGCTCTTGTCAGATAGCATTTGTAGTTTTTCTGGATACTACATCCTTAGAAAAGCTTATTTCCAAATGAGACATTATACAGAGGAAGGTTACAGGATAGTGAGGAGTTTGGAAACCATAAGTATATCTATATATTTGTTATTAAATTTGACAGTTCAAATGAAAACAGTTGATAAATTTTAGAACTTCAGCAATGTAAGATGGTATGATTTTAATAACATGTAGGGAAAGGTTTTTTTTTTTTACATTTTATTGTGCTTTAAGTGAAAGTTTACAATTCAAGTTAGTCTCTCATACAAAAATTTATACATACATTGTTTTGTGACCCTACTTGCTCTCCCTATACTGTGACAGCACAGTCTTCCTTTCCACCCTGGATTTCCCATATCCATTCAACCAGCTCCTGACCCTCTCTGCCTTCTCATCTCGCCTCTGGATGAGAGCTGCTCATTTAATCTCATGTATCTTCTTAAGCTAAGAAGCACTCTACACAAGTATCATTTTATGTCCCATTGTCCAGTCTAATCTTTGAAGAGTTGGCCTTGGGAATGGTTTTAGTTTTGGACTCACAGAGAGCCCGGGGGCCACGTCTTCTAGGGTCCCTCCAGTCTCTATCAAACCATTAAGTCTGGTCTTTTTACTAGAATTTGTGTTCTGCACCCCACTTTTCTCCTGCTCCATCAGGGACTCTCTGTTGTGTTCCCTATCAGAGCGGTCGTTGTGGTGTAGCCAGTCACCATTTAGTTCTTCTGGTCTCAGGCTGATGAAGTCTCTGGTTTATGTTGCCCTTTCTGTCCCTTGGACTAATACTTGCCTTGGTCCATGGTGTTCTTCATTCTCCTTTACTCCAGGTGGGTTGGGACCAAGTGATATGTCTTAGATGGCTGCTTGCAAGCTTTTAAGACCCCGGGCGCCACTCACCAAAGTGGGATGCAGAACATTTTCTTCAAAAACTTTGTTATGCCAGTTGACCTAAATGTCCCCTGAAAGCATGGTCCCCAGACCCCTGCCCCTGCTACTCTATCCCTTGATGTGTTTGGTTGTATTCAGGAAATTTCTTAGCTTTAGTTTAGTCCAGTTGTGCTGACTTCCTCCGTAGTGTGTGCTGTCCTTCCCTTCATCTAAGATTAGGGAAAGTTTTACTGTTAAAAATAACTTTTAAAATAACTTTCATGTAAACTTTTCAGTTTATGAAATATTTTCATGTGTATTCTGTCGTATGATGCCCTCAACAACTTTGTAAGCCAGTTATTAGCTTCATTTTAGAGAAGCAGGGAAAATTGAGGAGTAGGGAAAATAGGGAAACATTGAAACAATGAAAAGGTTTGCTTAGAGTCATATGGTTACTATGTGGCTGAACCAAATCTGGGCCTGGAGCCTCTTGACTCTAAATCCAATGTTATTTGTACTCTATCACTCTAATTCATGTGTTTGAAAGCCCTGTCATTTGTAAGAGAATGGCAGTTTATTTTTTATTACTCTGGAACATAAACTATTTGAAATGGCTAGAAGTTATATAATTTCAGTTTAGTTCAACTCATAAAAGAACCGTCCAAAAATGGAACAGACTGATTAGGAGGTGAACTTCATGTTGTTGACTCTATTTAAGTAGAATGCTATAGAAAAATTTAATTCTTTTATTGCATGTATCTCTTCAATTTACTCTAAGATTGTATGCTAGAATTGAATGACTGCTTTGACCCTGGATTAGATGATTCCCAATATACAGTTCAGTCAGCCTTGGACATTTTGACATTTTGAAGCTAGATGCTTTTAATGTATCTAGTTGAGTGGATTTTAAACTGTTTTTAAGTTGAAACTTTTTTTAAAAGTTTACTGCTCTGGGTAAAGCTGAGCTTGGGGGTGTGGGAGCCAGGAATTGGGCCTCTAAACCTGCACGCTGAGGACAGCTATCACACAGGAGCAGATTTCTAATCAGGTTCAATTCCTAGTTTTTACTGATTCAGCCATTCATAGCTAGTGCTAAAATCAGAATGATACATTTTTCCTTTTTTCTCCCCCCCGAATGATTCTCTGTTGATTAACATAAGATTTGAAAATGATTGTTAAATTTTTTATTTCCTTTAGGGGATCATATTGTTTATCATTGTTCTTTTTTCTCTTAGGGTTGTTTTCCAGTTTAAGAGTTCAAAGAAATCAAATAATGGTACAGATGTTAATGCTGGTCAGATACCTCAGTTATTATACAGGTATTAAGCATGCTTATAATTAATTAATATGGTTTATTCTTTTGCTATAATAAGACAGGATAAATTATATGTTATAATAAGGAAGAAATTATTTTAAGCATTCATCAAATTATACTGGGAGAAATATAGCTAAATTTAACAAGAATATTTTAGTTAACATTAAAAAATAAAACAAAACCCATTGCCATCGAGTAAATTCCGACTCATAGCAACCCTTTAGGCAGTTCTATAGAGCAGAACTGCTCCACAGAGTTTCCAGGAAGTGGCTGGTAGATTCCAGCTGCTAACCTTTTTATTACCAGCTGAGCTCTTAACCAGTATGCCACCGGGCTCCAACATTTTATCTGTCTATCTATCTATGTATCTGTCTGTCTGTGTATACATACATATATGAGTGTGTGTATATATATTTATATATATATTTTTTCTTTTTTTAAAATAAGGTACTGGTGGTTACTTACTGTGTTTTCAGCCCTCCCTTCCTTTCTCCTTTCCTCACACATATATTGAATATATACATTTATTGAGGAACTGTGCTGAGTACTTTCTTTTTTTTTTAGTAATACTTCGTTGAGCTTAAGTTTACACAGCAAGTTAGGTTCCCATTTGACAATTTCCGCACAGATTGTTCAGTGACATTAGTTACATTTACCCTGATAATGTCAGCATTCTCTTTGTGTTCTGTTTTTCCCTTTCCAGTACTCCAGTTTCCTTATCCCCTTATGTTCTCATCTTTGCTTTTGAGAACTTATTGACCTTTTGGTCTCATACTGATAGTTTTTAAATAGGGAACTGATCTTACAGGTAATATTTTTGTGCGTGTGCCACTCTACTCTTTCACTAAAAGGTGGTCTCAGGATAGGCTTGGTTATAAGTTTAAAGAGTGTCTCAGGGCAGTAGTCTCAGGGGTTCTGCCGTTCTCTGCTGTTCCACTTTGTCTGACTTTTTTCTTTTTAAGTAAGAATTTGAGTTCTGCTGCACATTCATGTCCCATTCTTTCCAGGACCAACTATTGTGGCCCTGGTCAGAACGGTCAGTGGTGGGAGCCGGGCACCATCTAGTTCTTCTGGTAGCAGGGTAGATGACATTGTGGCTGTTGTAGACTTGTTTCTTCTCTGTACTTTTGGTTACCTTCTTACTGTTTTGTTCCTGGTGAGTCAAGACCCATAGTTGTGTCTTAGATGACCACTCTCAAGCTTTTAAGACCCCAGATGCTGCTCACTTCATTAGGATGCAGATCATGATTTTTGTGAACTATGTTATGCCAATTGACCAAGTTGTCCCATGAGACTATGGTCATAAGCCTTCAAACCCAGAAAACCAATGTTGGAAGGTGTTTGGTTATGTCTGAGGAGTATGAGTATTTGTGTCTTCAGTGAATATATGTGCCTGCACCCATATTTTCATATTTACACATACCTGTAGATACATCCTTGGTGGCACAGTAGTTAAGAGCTTGGCTGCTAACCCAAATATTGGCAGTTCGAATCTACCAGTCATTCTTTGGAAACCCTGTGGGGCAGTTCTACTCTGTACTGTAGGGTTGCTATGAGTCAGAATTGACTCAACAGCAACGAGTTTTGGTAGATACTTCTCTATCTGTTCTCACCTATGTACACACCTCTACGTACCTGTATACCATTATGCCTGTACTCATCCATATGTGCTCAAATGCTTGCTCTTACTTTGGTTGTGCTGTGCTCACTACATCCACAATCGGTGCCACTTTTCCCATCATCAGAAATAACTAGTCTTTACTGTATAAAGCATACTTTCTACCCCACCCCCTTTCCGTAACTACCAATGAACATTGGTTTCTCTGTATCTATTCTTGTCCTCTTACAAAAGAGGGATCATACAATATTTGTCCTTATACGCTTGACTTATTTCACTAAGCATTATGCCCTCTAGGTCCACCCACGTTATAATATGTTTCATGGACTCATCATTGTTCTTTATGGTTGCATAGTATTCCCCTGTATGTATGTTCCACAGTTTGCTTATCCGTTCATCCATAATGGACACTTCAGTTGTTTCCATTTATATCCTATTGTGAATAAAGCAGCAATGAACATAGGTGTGCGTATGTCTTTCCATGTCATTATTTTTAGGTCTCTAAAGTATATACCCAGGAGCCCTGGTGGCATAGCAGTTAAGACCTCAGCTGCTAACCAAAAGATTGGCAATTCGAATCCACCAGCCACTCCTTGGAAACCTATGGGGCAGCACTACTCTGTCCTATAGGGTCGTTATGAGTCAGAAACGACTCGACGGCACATAACAACAACAGCAACAAGGGTATATACCTAGGAGTGGGATTGCTGGATCATAGGGTAGTTCTATTTCTAGTTTTTTGAGAAAGCATCATACCATTTTGCGTAGTGGTTTTACCATTTTACAGTGCCAACATCCTCGCCAACATTTGTTGTTACCTGATTATTTTTCTTTATCAACGCCATTTTACCCAGGATAAGACGATATCTTACTGTAGTTTTGATTTGCATCTTTCTAATGGCTAATGAGGGATCCCTGGTAGTGCAGTGCTTGGCTGCTAACCAAAAGGTCAGCTGTTCGAATCCACCAGCTGCTCTGTAGCAGAAAGATGTGGCAGTCTGCTCCCGTAAAGAGTACAGCCTTGGAAACCCTGTGGGGCAGTTCTGCTCTGTCCTCTGGATTGCTAGGACTCAGAATCGACTGTATGGCAATGGGTTTTTGGTTTAATAGTTAATGTTTAGTGGTTAATGTTTGTTGGCTGCTTGGATATCCTCTTTGGTGAAGGTTCTGTTCATGTCCTTCACCCATTTTGTGATTGGGTTGCTTGTCTTTTTGTTGTTGAATTGATGCAGTTTTGTATAGATTTTAGAGATTAGACCCTTATCAGATGAATCATTTCTGAAAATTTTTTCCCAATCTGTAGATTGTCGATTGGAGCCTTGGTGGTGCAGTGCTTAAGAGCTACGGCTGCTAACCAAAAGGTCAGCAGTTTGAATCCACCAGCTCCTCCTTGGAAGCCCTGTGGGGCAGTTCTACTCTGTCGTATAGGGTCACTGTGAGTCGGAATCAACTCTCAGCAACGGGTTTGGTTTTTTGTTTTTGTTTTTTTATTTAGATTATCTATTTACTCTTTTAATAAAGTCTTTTGATGAACATAAAAAGAGGTCCCATTTATCTATTTTGTTGTCTTCTACTCGTGCATTTAAACTGTTATATGTGGTCTCTACCCAATCTTATAAGGGTAGGATTTAAAAAATGAAGTATTCGCATGCTAAAAATGTTGGTCAACACTGGAAAATGTTTCTGACGAGCCCCATAGTGGCATTTTACTTAGCATAAAAATTTAAATGTGTCATTTAGTTATTTCACTATTGCAAAAATGTATATTGTTAATAGAAAAATACCATTGGACTTTCCAACATAAATTTGTTATATGTGTCTACTACCTTCAGGCTTCCAACCAGTGATGGCAGTGCTTCAAAAGGCAAACAGCAGACCAGTGAACCTGTACACATTTTAAAGAGATCTTTTGCTAGAACTGTCTCAGTGGTAAGCCATTTTTAAAAGCTTTTGTTTTCAGGGCTCAGTTTCATTTTGATGTTCAGCATTTTGCCACTCTTCTAAGAGTTTATCTCAGCATAGCTTTATGAACTCAGGTTTGAATTTATATTGGCATTTATATTCCGGGCCAAAGATAATACCCGCTTTAGATAAAGGGAAGATAGAGATGTTGACTTTGATTTTAACATGTGCAGCAGACTTGGCCTTGCTATTTCTAAAATAACTGGTGAGTTCGCTAGTAAATAATGTACGAATGCACATGCTCAAGAAATCAGAAAGTGAAGGAAAAGTTAAGGCAGGTGCTGACCCAATAAGTATTACTTTAATACTTAATAGACAAGTTGCTTCTATAACTAGGGATGTTCTTGAACTATTTGACTATCCCCATTCTACGTTTAAAGGTACACAATTCTATTGTGGTTACCAGTGTAGAATGGAAAGTTAACATGATGTAATCAAAAACACAGTATGTGCACTCAGAAAGTCTGAACTAAGTTCTTGCTCTTTCATTTATTAGTTGAGGATTCTTATGTAAGTCATCTAAATAAACTGCATCGTAGCCTCTTTATGAATTTCTAATGAGATGCTGTTGTTGGTTGCCATTGAGTCGATTCAGACTCATAGTGATCCCATGTGTGCAGAGAAGAACTGCTACACAGGGTCTTCAAGGCTGTGATCTATCAGAAACAGATCGCCAGGCTTGTCTTCTGAGGTACCTCTGGAAGTACAAAAACGATACTTTAAAAGTACTTTAAATGATAAAGAACTATATGAATGTGATTTATTAACATAGCTGTTAGTCTCATATGTTGGTAAATTGTATAAGGAGAATATTTTTTCTTTTATTATTTGTTTTTTAAACTACAAAATTGATGCATATCCTGGTGAGAACAGTGTGAAGTAGGGATAAAACTGTACTAAGAGTAATGTAAAGTTCTTTCCCCATTCCCCTTTTATCGCCCTATATTATTGCTATTTACAGTTTGGTGTGTTTCTTTCCAGCCCATTTTATATGGACATGCAAATTTAGTGTGTACTGCTTGCTGTATAACCTAATGCTCTATATAACCTTCTTGTTTGTTTTTAATGATACTTACAGTTTTTATCTTCCTTTTTTAAATTTTATTGTATAGTATACACTATGGACATCTTTCCATGTTAGTACATTTGATTCTATTCTAGTCTCTTCTAATGTTTGCACAGTGTCCCATAGATGATTGGATTCTAATTTATTCAACATTGTTCCTGTTGAAGGACCAGTTTGTTTCTCAGTTTTTATTATTACATTTTGCTAAATGACTGCCTTAGTTATCCAGTGCTGCTATAACAGACATACCACAAGTGGATGACTTTAACAAACAGAAATTTATTTTCTCACAGTTTAGGAGGCTAGGAGTCCGAATTCTAGGAGGCTAGGAGTCTAAATTCGGGGTGCTGGCTCTAGGGCAAGGCTTGCTTTCTATGTCTGCTCTGGAGGAAACTCCTTGTCTCTTCTGAGCTTCTGCTCCTGGGTGATCTGCATGTGGCTTGGCATCTCCCTTTCCCCATCTCTGCTTCTCTAATCTTCTCTTTTTATGTTTTGTAAAAGATAACTCACACCCTACACTAATCCTCTCATTAACATAACAAAGATAACTCATTCCTAAATGGGATTACAACCACAGGCATAGAAGTTAAGATTTACAACCCTTATTTTTGGGGGACACAATCCAGCCCATAACAATGACCATCCATATATATATGTCTTTGATTACTTATATGCTTATGTGAATATTTATACTTGAAATATTTTTATATATCTTGTTACTTTGACCTTGCAAAAGAGCTTTGGCAGTTTACAGAGAGTATATTTTGAATAAGAGACTACAAGAACTTTGGCTTCTTTTGGAGTCTTTTGATCCAAGTAAATATCTGACTGTCATGTCTTTTTCAGTTGATCTCTTTTATTCTGTGTTTAGTGATGCTTCTGTATTTATGTCTGAGTGGTTTGGTGGTTATTAAGTCATTTAGATAAAGGGAAGATATCTTTATATAAGGAATTGATTAAATAGTTTCCTTTTATAGTTAATTATAAACTCTTTTATTATTGATATTACTCTCAGCATATGACTTTGACTTGGTGGGGTGCTTTGCTTTTTGAGATTCACCTAGTATGTGTTATCTTGTAATCCAGAAAAACCAACCTGGTTGCCATCAAGTTGATTCTGACTCATAGCAGCCCTATAGGACAGGGTAGAACTGCCCCATAGAGTTTCCAGGGAGCACCTGGTAGACTCAAACTGCCGATCTTTTGGTTAGCAGACATAGGTCTTAACCACTACACCACCAGGGTTGTAAGCATAATGTAATTTGCAGACAACTGGAATTGAGAGGGATATCCACCTCCATAAACCTATATTCTGTATTTTAAGTCCAAATATGATCCTTTTTTTTAGTATTTTCTAGTCAATTTTTCTTTTATTAACTTATTTATCAAGAATTGGCTATAGTTTGTATTGTAAATTTTTATATGTAGTCATAAAATAAGATATTTGATACTGTCACTGGTATTTAATAGTAAAACACTATCGTATTCATTCAAAAATTATTAAAGTATTTATATAATCCTACTGTGACAATGTAGAGTTTGATTTTCTTTTCAAGTGAGCATATATTTAGAATTTTTTTTTAAATTTCCTTATTCATGGAATAAACTAGATAGTATGGTAGTGGCAAAACTAAAAAATGTATTTTTAAATGTGTCAATATTTTAAGAACATTATTTTTGTAAATGCCTAACATCTTTACCTTTGTTATCAAACTTCAAAGAAACTGTTAATGGTGATTTAATGAATGAACTATGAGATTGTCTGTAATTTTGGGCTTCTGAAGCTCATAAAAATTTCACGATAAAATTCTGAAATTGAATGTTGTTGTCTTTCCATTTGATTCAACTTATGGTATCACTTGAACTAATTTTTATCTATTTTTTTCATATTCTGGATTAGGAATGTTTTGAGTCATTGTTGAGTATTCTTCACTGGAGCTGGACAACCTTAGTCTTAGGAGTTGAAGAACTTAGAGGATTAAAAGGATTCCAGTTCACGGCTACACTACTAGATTTAGAGAGACTGCGCTTTGTGGGTACCTGTTGTCTGAGGTTATTGCGTGTCTATACCTGTGAAATTTATCCAGTGTCAGGTATGATGAATTTTTTTAAAATGACTTTAGAGAGAAAATATTTGAGACGTTGAGAAGGTTTAAGTAGGGATAAGCAAGAGTTTAAGATTCCCCAACTGCCTTTGACCTGCTACAAGAATAAGCGGAAAAAGTCATCTTGGTATAATGCTTCTGTGTTTACTTATACAAAATAAAATAGATTACATGTCATTCTGGAAGTGAGATTGTTTTAGGTTAAAATTAAATACTCTAATAAAAGTGTTATTTTAAATGAATTCTGTCAAATAGAAATATTTTGAACAACTGCTTTGGACTTAAATGCTAAAGCCAGATTTTTTTTTCCATTTAGATTTTTAAAAAGAAATTAATTTAGGACCACACTTAATCTCTAAATTATTTCATCTCTAGGGTCTAAGTACTTGTGATTCTTAGCAACATAGGAAAGTGTTACTTTATACTGAATGTTATCATGCGTATTTATTTTATTTAATTAGCAGTTGTTTTATTCTCTCAAAGCTACAGGAAAAGCAGTTGTAGAAGAAACTAGCAAATTAGCAGAGTGTATTGGAAAAACCAGAACTTTGTTAAGAAAAATTTTATCAGAAGGAGTTGATCACTGCATGGTGAAGTTGGATAATGATCCTCAAGGATACCTCAGTCAACCCTTGAGTCTCTTAGAAGCTGTCCTTCAAGAGTGTCATAATACCTTTACTGCCTGTTTTCATTCTTTCTACCCAACTCCTGCCTTACAGTGGGCTTGTCTTTGTGATCTGCTGAATTGTTTGGATCAGGTAATTTGAGTTTGTAAAATATTAGTTGAAAATCTGATCGTTACTTATATTCTTCAAGAAAATAAAATACAGTTGGCCTCATCTTTCAAACTTTTATAAAAGGTGTATTAGGAAATTAGCTTGGTATATGTAACTTGCATAGTTAGAGTTTTAAAACTTGTCTGCATTATAATTTTTTATTTATAAAATTGGCAGGTACATTGTGCAGTTGCTGATCTTCTCTTTGAATCTGTGAGACAGAGTGAGTGAGTGAGTATGTGTGTAACAGAAGGAAACACCAGTGGGTGAATGAGTGTGTGAGGGCAGAGAGCACCAGAATGGCATGCTTCTGCTACCTGCACATCAACAAGAACACTAAGGAGGGAGAACTGAGTGAACTTGCATGCTAACATCATTCATTCATAAGGAAAACAATCTTTATTAGTTTGTATGCACCAAATAACAGAGTTTCAGAACACATCAGGGAGAAGAACTGACAGAATTGAAAGGATAAGTACAAGTGGAACATCCATCAAGATAGATCATATGCTAGCCCATAAAATAAGTCTTAGTAAAATTTGAAATTCAGGTCTTAGAGTGTGTTTTCAGGCAACATTAGAATTAAAATAGAAATCAATAGCAAAAATATATCAAGAAAAGCACCAAATATTTGGAAAATAAAACTTAAGTAGTCAGTGGATGAAAGACAAAATCACAAAGGAAACTGGAAAATATTTCAAACTGAAAGATAAAAATATAACATGAAAATTTGTGGAATGTAGCTAATGCCATTGCTTAGACAGAAAATTATACCTTTAAATGCCTATACTAGCCAAGAAGAAAGGTTTACAATCTGTGATCTGAGTTTCTACCTTTAGAAGGTAGAAGGAAGAACAAATTAAACACAAAGTAGAGGAAAGCAAGTAATAAAGAGAAGAACAGAAATCAGTAAAATAGAAAATAGAGAAAATTAATGAGACAAAAGTTGGTACTTTGAAAAGATCAACAAACTTGATAAACTAGCAAGCCTGATCAAGAGACAGAGGAGAGAAACAAAATGCCATTATCGAATAAAATAGGGAATATAATTGTAGACCCAGCAGGCATTAAAAGTATAATAAGGGACTCGGATCTGAAACCACTCCCAGAGATTACCTTTCAGCCAAATAATAGGCCTATAAAATAAACAATAACCCCCATGAGGAAAGTGCTCCCTAGAATAATCTATATGAGTCCAAAAGGGCAACATTTGCCAAAAAGTAAAGATGAGAAGGCAGGAAGGGGCAGGAAACTGGACAAATGGATATGGGGAACAGAGTGCTGACACATTGCGGGGATTGCAACCAGTGTCATGAAACACTGTGTGTGTAAATTATTGAGTGGGAAACTAATTTGCTCTGTAAACTTTGACCTAAAGCACAATAAAAAATAATTTTTTTTAGAGATAAGAGAATATTATGAAAACTTTATGCCAATGAATTTTACAACTTTAGATGATGTGGACAAATTCCTTGAAAACAACCTATCAAAACTGACCCAAGAAATGGAAAATCCGAATTGCCTTATAGCCATTAAAAAATTGAATTTATTATCAAAAACTTCCCCACAAAGAAAACTCTTTTCCTTGGTGAAGTCTGTCAGACATTTAAGAAAGAAAGAATATCAATCTTTCACAAATTCTTTCAGAAAATATAGGGGGCAACACTTCTCAACTAATTTTACCCTGATACCAAAACCTGGCAAAGAAAACTACAGATGATTATCACTCAGAAACATAGACGCAAAATTCTTAACTATATTATTATTGCATCCAGCAATATATAAAATAATATATCAGGATCCAGTGAGGTTTATCTCAGAAGTGGGAGGTTAGTTTGTCTTACAAAAATCAATCAATGTAATGATTCACAATATTAACTGAATATAGAAGGAAAGTCATATCTTCTGAATGGATGCAGAGAAACCATTTGACAGAATTAGTGCTTGTTCATAATAAAAAGTAAATTAATAAAAAGAAAAAACTCTAAGCAAACTCAGAATATAAGGAAACCTCAGTCTGAAAATGAATAGCTATGAAAAAAACCCCACGGCTACACATCCTACTTAATGGTAAACTTTTTAATGTTCCCATAAGTTTGGGAACAAGGCACAAGGTTCAACATTGTACTGGAGGTCTGAGCCACCCCCACCCCTACCCCCCAAAAAAACCAAAAAGTCACTAGGCTGGCAACTTTGGATCCATATGGCAGGGCAGTGTATTTTACCAAGCAGTCTCCTGGGAAAGATTACTGCCTGGACTAGTGTACAATTTAATTTTATTCTCGAAACCTGCCCAATCTGATATGGTTGTCTCTCTTCCTCTGGGACTGAACAATTTAACAAACATTGGCTTAACGTATGGAAGATGACATTACTTTTAGCTTGATTTTAACTTGTGTTTGATGAACTAAGCAATGTGTTAAGATACTTTGTTATAAAACTTTATAAGTGTGCTACTTTATAAGTATGCTGCTCATTTTTCTGAGTGAACTATGGTCATAATGACATAAATTTTTCACCTTAGTAAATGTTATTATAGTAACACAATTATAATTACTAATTGGGGCCTTTTCATGTCTTTCATTAAGAGTAATCCTGAAGAGAACTGTGATTCTGGGCATATTTTATGAATACATACAATCTCATTTATTAGAGAACAGAAAGCTGACTTTTCTTGACCCTACTTAATGATTTTCCATCTTCATTGAGTAATAACTTAAACAATTGTGTTTAAAAGTATTGATGTAATAATATTTTGTACTAAGACAGTAAAAATGACTGAGTGGTAGAAAATTTTGTATTTGCCTTGTCTGTATCCAGAACCTTTGATTATATTGATGCAATATTTCTTTTTCTTTTTTTTTCGGGGGGTGTATGTACAATTTTTTTTTTAAAAGGATATTCAAGAAGCAAACTTCAAGACATCAAGTAGCCGACTCCTTGCAGCTGTTATGTCAGCTCTGTGTCACACTTCTGTTAAGCTGACTTCAATCTTCCCTATTGCGTATGATGGAGAAGTACTACTAAGATCAATTGTTAAACAGGTCAGCACAGAGAATGACTCAACTCTCGTTCACCGTTTTCCCCTTTTGGTGGCACATATGGAGAAACTCAGTCAGGTAGGTCTTCTACCGAAACATCTTTTATATTGAGACAATAAAACGATAAATGGAGGTGTGTTTAGCTTGGTGCTTATTCTTTTTACACTGGTAAATGCAATTCTTCTACATTAGTAAATGCTGATCATATGTTGAACAAGAACAGTTAAAATTAAGAGAAAAAAATTATATAATCAGTCTTTTTTTCTCTTGTAAGTTTTTTATTTTGACTAATCCCCAACTTATAGAAAATCTGAAGGAGTTATACAATGAATAACTATATTTGTTTTTTCTAAACCATTTGAGAGTAAGTTACAGGTATTATAAGCATTTTTTTAACTTCTAATAGAATGTTTTAGATTGTCATGATAGAATTCTAGGGAAATAATTTTTAAAAGATTTTATGTATAACTATTTTTAAGCTTTTGAAACGTTTATAGGAATTTTTGTGCCATTGTAACCATTTTTAATTTACATTTGAGTAGCATTAATTATAATCACAAAGTTGTGCAACTGTTACCACGATTTATTTCCAAAAATTTTCATCACCTCAAAGAGAAACTCTGTAGTGTCCCATTTCTCCCTTCCCTGAGCCCGTGGTAACCACTAATCTACTCTCTCTATGTATTTGCCTATTCTAGATATTTTATATAAATGGGATCATACAGTATTTGTCTTTTTGCAGCTAGCTTTTTTACTTAGCACAGTGTTTCCAAAATTCATCCATTTTGTAGCACGTATCAGAACTCTTTTCAGAGTTCTAACAAAGTTGATTCTGCCAGTTTCTGCTTGTTTTTTTGGTGTTTCTCTGGGGGGACCAGAGCATGGAGCAGCTTGTTGATGTCACTCTGTAACGTTTGATTATGTTAAAATATGCCATTAAAAACAATAGACATAGGAAACTTCTGGTTTTTTTTGAAAGCACTATGGAAAAAATTAATTTAAAGACACACATTAAACCATATATAATTACTTCCAAGTTGATTAGAATCAAATCTATATAATGGTGCAAAGAATAAAAAAAGACAATAACAGAGTGGGGAGAAAATTTGCAGAGTTCATATAGAACTTTTGCAGGATCCTAGTAGAAATGATAAAAAAAAATAAATAAATACAAAAGAGATTTAGAGAATAAGGCAGCATGGGAAAAATTTCAGTTTTGCAAATAATTACATATGAATGAAAATCATATTAAGGTACAAATTTATTTCTAGAAAATTAAGTTTTTGTTCTTATAAAGTCCTTTGCGGATGAAACTATAAGCAAACCTACTAAACTTATAGATTGTTCGTGACATTATATATCAGTGTAACCAATCCTTCTCTTTCATTCTTTTAGCAAGTATTTATTGTGTACCTATTTACTGGGCCTTTAATTAGCCAGTGGTTAAAAGAGGAGTGAAAAAGATAAAGCTCTTGAGTTGAGGGTCTATAAACTAGCAGTTACCTTTAAGAAAACAAATCGTCAGTTCAATATTACATGTTATGGTATTTTCGTAGAAAATTATCCAAGGGAATATTTGGGAGACTAAAACTAAGTATGTATTAAAAAGAAAAAATAGAAACCTTAATTAGAGCCTTAAATTAGATGAAATAGATTAAATATATCAGTTTGGTAGAGTATGGTTCACCCATTAAAAATAGCTATGTTTGCATTTAATATCAAGGCAAATAGTTTTAAATTAAAAAGTCAGAAAACAAAATTATACATATACATACACATATACACGCACTGTGATGACCAGCTATGGAAAATATGTATGCAAAAGGCTATAGATTAAAAGAAAATACTGAGAAATGAAAACACTTACGCTTGGGTGATAAAGTTATAGGTAATCCGGTTCCCCCTCCCCCTTTGAAATTTCCTTGAATGTTGTAGTGTTTTTTTAAAAATAAAGTGAAATTTTAAAAGAGCGTTCTAACCATTTTTAGAAAGGAAAACTAACCTCCTACTAACATTTGATGGTTATCCGTTATTAGTTACTGTTTGTCTGTCTTTAGAGAGCCATACATTCAATATTCAAATCAGAATAGTTTCATAACACATGTAGTGTTTTGTAAACTTTTTTTTTACTTAATAATATTCTATGAAGATTTGCCCTCTTTTTAATCAATATTATAGTATTTTATCATTTAGGTGTAGTATAATGTATTTAATCAACCCTTTCTATATTTAGAATGTTTCCAATATTTTAGTTTTTTAAACAGTGCTGCTAAAAATATCATTTAACCTAAATTGCCCTGCATATTTATGATGATTTTCCCAGGATAAATTTTCAGGAGTGGAAAAGCTCTCAAGTGAAAGAAAAGCACATTAAGGCTTTGTCGCAGATTGCCAGAATGCCCTCCAGAAAGCTAGCGTCAGCTTACATTCTCCACCACTAGTAAATAAAAGTACCTTTTTCTAAAATTTAGCGGCTAGTGGTGTGTGTTTTTGTTTGTTTGTTTTTTGGTCCTTCATTAAAAGAAGGTGGGAACCTTCTTGTATTAATCCTGGCAATTACTAATTAAAAACTAAAAGGTGATAAATAAATAAATAAATCCCCACCAAAAAAAGAACTGCAAAATTACTGATTTTGGAATACATTTAGGGAGAGTTTTGTCAGAAGCTAGCTTTTTGAGATGTTTCAGAAAGTAAAATTTCTGGAGAATGAAAGAAATGTAACGGAAAAGTATTACAATTTTAACAAAATAAAAAATTGAGTATCTTAAATCCAGGAAAACTAATTACATAAGAAATTAATCAAAATGTTATGTTAATCTTATTCAAATGATAATAAAAATAAAGGTCGAGATTATTACTGTGTATTGTCTTTTTAATGCTAAAATTGTTCATTAGGAAAGTTGAATGACTCATAATAATGCTCATGATGATTTTAACTGAAAAGTTACTTAATTTCCTCTAATGGATTGAAAGTATATACTCATTTGCATATTTGATTTATTTTGTGGAGAGAGTAATTTAAGACCCTTTCCCACTCAGGAGATTTTATAATTTTATGAAACCTGTTGAATCTGTAAGTCATGAATCTGTTGGAATGTACATCATGGAAAGAGCTTTCTAGCTTAGGGAACAACAAGGCAGTTTTGTTTATTGAATACCAGCAAATAGTTTCCCTGATTTTATAGATGAAGAAATTGAGGTGCAATGAAAATCTGGAACTAGATCCCAAATTATTTGATTCCCTAACCCACATTGAAGCTGAAAGTCTCATTGGTCATGATTGCCTGATGAAGTTGAATACATTTTGTTCTCTGTCCATAGTGGTATAGAAAGTGGTTAAGGAAATGAATAATTTTCATGCAGATATCTAATCAATGTTTCCAGTTTTTTAAAAAAATATTTTTCCTTTGGTCTTTAATGAGACTCTAAGTTAGAATTTCTTATCTCAAAATTTTTATATTGGTGAGGAGGTTGGAATTTTCTGATTTCTACTTAGGAAATCAGATGCAATAGAAATCCTAAAACTTCATATGAATATTTACCGGAGAATTCCATATTTTTATCACATTGCATGCACAAAAAGTATTTACTTCTAAATATACCAGGAATAATATGTCTAAGATTGGAATCTTACAGAAAAACCTTTTTAAATGGGGAGAATACTTTTCTGTCTCTATATAGGATCACTGCTGAAAAGTAAGAGACCATAAAATATCAAAGTTAATAAAAACCCAAATGCTTTATAAATGTGTGGTGCTTTTATGATACATAACCAAAAAAAACAAACAAACCAAACCCCTTGCCATCGAGTCTGTTCCGACTCATAGTGACCCTATAGGACAGAGCAGATAGAACTGCCCCATATGGTTCCCAAGGAGCACCCTGGTGGATTTGAACTGCTGACCTTTTGGGTAGCAGCCATAGCTCTTAACCACTGTACCACCAGGGTTTCCCTTATAATACATAGAGACCAGTAATTCAAAAAAGAACTTCAAAGTGAAAAGTAGATATAATGACTCTACATATAAGTAGATAGATTCATAGGAATAGGCTCAGGACTGTATTTTAAGGGTGTCATCTAGAAAAATAAGCTTTTACAACTGGATACTCATGTGAAGGAAAATAAAGCAATGTCCTAGAACTTTTACTTTTTATGTATCATAGAGTGAGGAGAATATCTCAGGGATGACAAGCTTCCGTGAAGTTCTGGAGAAAATGCTGGTTATTGTTGTGTTACCAGTCAGGAACAGCCTGAGGAGAGAAAATGAACTCTTTTCATCCCTCCTGGTCTCTAACACCTGTGGATTGCTTGCCAGTATTGTCAGTGAACTTACAGCATCAGCATTGGGATCTGAGGTAATGAGTGTTGTATTTTGAGATTGGATAATAAGCACATTTAAAATTTCCACAGTTTCTTTTTTCATTTATTTAGATACTGTAAAATCTAATTTTAAAATGCAAGTAGGTCAGTGTCTCACTTTTTTTTTTTTTCTGGAAAGAAAATATCCTAAAACTAGACTATTTTTTTGCCCTTCCTCATACCTTTTTCTGCTTTTATTTGCTCCCTTGTCCTCACTGTTATACCAGAACATCACAGTAATACAAAGTAGTACAGGTGCCCATTGTACATCTGCCCCATTGTATAGCCCCACTACCATGCCCCAGTAGAAGCAAAAGTAGCTTACATTGCTGGGTTATAAGCAATGTTGTAGAGGTAGGACTACCTAATAATGAACAGATGGTGTCAAAAAGGTAAAGAGACTCAAACCTTAGTTCTGCCCACGTGATTGATGCTAGACAAATACTTATGTAAAATGGAGAAAATAATTTTTGTCTCACCTATAAAGTTTTAAAAGGATCAAATAGTATTATATTTGTAAAAATCACTTTGAAGCATTCTAAGCGCCGTTATACATTTCATAAAATAATATTTTTCACTATTTCATGGCCTTTTTTACTCTTTTATAATTTATCTAAATGTTTTAACTGAATTTGGTGAATGTTTCTTCTCCCCCCCCCCCGAAGAGCACACAGTAGGTTGATTTTATAAACGTTTTACTGTAAAATGTCTTATATCATTCGAATGAAAATTGAATAACTAGCAGGTATTCAGTGTCCCCAGCTCTTAAATTTCTTGCTAGGGGAGTCTTTTCTCTATTTTACTTTTACAATTTCTGGTCTTTGTTTTTCTTACTTATGGATTTATTTTAGAACCTATTCGAAATTAACCCATCTAATCTACATTCATTACTGATTCATAATGACAGTCTATTAGCTTTAGAAATGTGCTCCCAGCAAATTTTACTATCTCACCCTGGGAAACACTCCTGGGTTTCTTGGTTGACTGATTTTGGCCCAGGAGTCATTAAAGCCCTTGTCAGAACATTTTTGGTTGTTTAGTTATTCTTTTAACAAAGAATTGTGAACCTCTGTAATATGTTTCCTTCTGTACTAGACCCTTGAAGATGCAAGAAAGTCTATAATGCATACATCCTTCTCAGAAATTTACAATCTAGTTATCTCCAGAGAACTTACCTTTGTAATGAAAAGGAATGTACACGATTGTGGGATGACTTAATATTCTACCTTGGAAATTCCTGAAGGACCTAGCTTAGATATCCATATTTTTTTCTTGCTAGAATCATAAACTTCTATTTTTTTCCTCTTGTAAATCTCCCAAATTTCTGGGGCCAACTTAGATCAGAAGCAGGCTCCATAAATAAAAGAGCAGTTTCAAACCAAAACAAGTTCTCTGATCCTCCCTAATGAAAGCCCATAATTAGCGAGATTTTGTGTGTATATATATTTTCAAATATCAAATGCCAAGTTATCATAATATTGCTGTATATTATTAATGTATCAAATCTCCTCACAGATAAGAGGAAAGATGGTCTGGCTGAAGAGGAGGACCTTGAGTCTGTCTCCTCCTTGCGTATCTGTCTCCACAGAATCTCTAGAACCCTGTGTAGCATAGTTTGAAAACCATTGACTGTAGGATGTTAATGAAATTTTTGGTATCTCTTTTCAAAATAAGTGATAATTCATTCATGTATTATGACTATAATAACTTTGATGTTTATAGTTCTGACATTATAAATTAAGTGAGATAGATGCATAGTTTTTCTTTTTTTTCATACGACTAAAAGAAGAAAATACTGTCAGTGACCTTGCTTTGTAAATTTAGAAAGGCAAAATCTGGTTTTATTGTTAATCTCTTAATGAAATGTACCTTTAGGAAGTTTTAAACTCACTTGTTAAATGTAGGTTATTTTATTGTACTTTTTGGAAACCTTTGGATAGTTTTGTTGAAGATGCATTATTAATACTCAGGGACAGACTACTGATTTAATATTTTTGTTCCCAGGTTGATGCACTTAATTCTCTCCACTCTGTAAAAGCCAGTGCTAACCGATTCACAAAAACAAGTCAGGGAAGAAGTTGGAACACCGGGAATGGGTCTCCTGATGCAATCTGTTTTTCAGTAGACAAACCTGGAATAGTTGTGGTTGGTTTCTCTGTCTATGGAGGAGGTGGGATTCATGAATATGAATTAGAGGTATTGGTTGATGATGTAAGTACCACTCTTACAGCATTCATCTTGCTGTGTTACTTGTGTATGAGTACTTATCATTGTCATAGTATGTTGCATCCAAACCTTTGAGGGTTTAGCAGATCAACCATAGATGGCAAGCATTAAAGAAATTAGAAGAGAGTGATTCTACCTGATTGCTTGTGTGCTGTTTTGAGTCACTCCTGCCTCATATTTGCACTTTCAGGATAGATTTGAAATTGAATCAAAGAGTAGATATTGTACAGCTAAGCCTCTGAGTATAAGTCTTGAGTGGTTTTGTTGTTATTTTGCTGTTGCTGTTTTTAAAGAAACAAGAACAATATTTAGACTGGTTTTATTACCTTTGTCAGTGGTTAAGCAATTTTGTCATAGAGTGCTAATTGATGATTCTTAGTAAGGATAGTATTTATTGATTGCTTAGCTGTATCTTGGTATAGTCTAAATTGTTTAAATTTCTTGAGTTTTCACAAAGTTTTATTAAAATGAAACAGAAGGGTGTCATGTAAATCATTCCTAATGAATATCAATCTATTTGTAGCTTGATTATTTTGAACAATTAATTTGAATTAATTTTTTCGTATTTTATTAAGCTCTATAATTAGATAGAGCATTCTTCTTATAAAGAAGTGGGAATAGTTTAAGGCATAAGGTGAGAAAAGCGCATTTAAAGAGTTGGGTTGTTGACTCCTCATGAAATCTGATACAAGTGAATGGCTTCGAGTACCAGATTTTTTTCTTAAGTACATATGGAGAAATGCTAATGGATAATTTTATGTGAAGAAATAAATTTCCTAAAAACAATATGGGGAAATTTAAGAATGTCTTTCTAAATGTGTTAACTGATAGAAACATACTCTGAAAGGGTAAAGAATATATAATTACTCTTGAAGGTTAAAAACTGGGTCCATAGATTTCAAGGGTCTTTACAAATTGTCTACAGAGTTATATGGCTAAAGTTTAGGATTTTAATGAAACTGCTGTAGATGTGTAGTTCTTTAAAGAAAACATTATCAATATGATTATAAAGATATTCTATAGGCCTATTTTTAATTAAAATGGAAATTAATTATAAATCGAAATTATTCATACAATAAAATTAAGAGTATGTTGGATTTTGTTTTGTTTTAGAGTGAGCACGTAGGAGATTCAACTCATTCTCACAGATGGACCTCTCTAGAACTAGTCAAAGGAACCTATACAACAGATGATTCCCCCAGTGATATAGCTGAAATTAGACTTGACAAAGTTGTTCCTTTAAAGGTAATTTAATTTCAAAGAAATGTTTCTGTTGTCAATAAGAGGTATTATTATGTAGTTTACTTTTAAAAAGTGAAACGTATTTCATGAATTTTCTGTTAGATATAGCTGTTCCTAAGTTTTCCTTTACATAATGCTTCAAATGTTTATGGAATATTTCCTATGTTCCTGATACTGTAGTGTGTTATTATTCTGTCTTTGCATAGTATCTCTCAAAGTTTGGTATAGTATAAAGTATTGTTAGGTTTTATATTCAGACAGACCTAGGTTCTGATACCTGCTCTACCACGTATTAACTATAACACACTGGACAGGTTTATCAGTTAACCCTTTTGAGACTCATCTGTAGATTGGAAAGGATAATATCTACTTTGTAGTGTTACTCAGATTACATTAAATAATGGAACTAAAGCACCTCCCGCACTGTCTAGCACATTATAGAAACAATAAATATTAGTCCCTGTCTTTTCTTCTCATATTGTGTGAAAACTAATTTAAAACACAAGTATTAACTATTAAAGTTATTATTATTTTATATAACTTTTTATCAAATAACTATTTAACAAAATAGAGAATTTTTTATTTAACATTAAAGTAATTCAATAATTCTGAATTCCACTGTAATATTCCTTATGCAGCAGAATTTTGGATAAGTTAGATTCATCAAAGTCTTCATCAAAAAGTATGTAGATACTGAAATACCAAAAAACCTTCATTATGAAGTTTATATCATGGATTATGAGACAGCAGTATCCATATCTCACATTTTCTATATATAGTACATCATATTTTAGACAATTTTTTTCCTTTCATATATTTAGGCCTCATATTTATATGCCTATCTATTTCTGTCTCTGACAGTCTCTTAAAATAATATAAAGAGCTCACCATTTTTCCCTATGTTTAAATTTATTTCAAAAGTTAAACTGATTAAGGAAAAATATTAGCTTATGTATTTAAAATCTTTTAGAGCTATGGCTGCTAACCAAAAGGTTGGCAGTTTGAATCCAGCAGCCGCTCCTTGGAAACCCTATGAGGCAGTTCTACTCTGTCCTGTAGGGTCACTATGAGTCAGAATTGACTTGACGGCAACGGGTTTGGTTTTTTTTTGGTTTAGTATTTGAACAGTGTGATTAAAAGCAAGAACTAGAGTCACACTGTCTTTGTTCAGATTCCAGCTTTATCACTTAACTAGCTATGTGACCTTGGGCAAGTTACTTCTCTGTGCCTCAGATTTCTCATCTGTAAATGGGAATAATAATGGTACCTCCCTCATGAGGTCATTTAAGGATTAGCTTAATTAAATCACATAAAGTACTTAGAAAAATTTTCTGTCACATAAAAAGCATTTAGTAAGTGTTGGGTATGATCATTATTAATTCATTAAAAACTCAAATTGTCTATAAATATGGTAAGGAAATGCAGTATACTCACCTAGTTTAGTACTAAAGTACTGTCTGTATCCTCTGTACATTATGAAATATAAACATGTTTTACATCTTTATTGTAAAGGAAAATGTTAAATATGCTGTGCGCTTGAGGAACTATGGAAGCCGTACAGCCAATGGGGATGGAGGAATGACCACAGTTCAGTGCCCTGATGGTGTCACATTTACATTCAGCACGTGCAGCTTGAGTAGTAATGGCACAAACCAAACCAGAGGACAGATTCCACAGATACTGTACTATAGGTAGGTGTGTGCATAGAGATAAGGGGACTATTTTAAAGTGGTAGAACATATACAATTTACTACCAAGGTGAAAAACACTAAGTGGATAGTTATAATTAAATTGTTGTTGTGGACTCTTGAGTCAAGTTCAACTCATAGCGACCCTGTGTGACAGAGTTGAACTATCCTATGGGATTTCCTAGGCTGTAATCTTTATGGGAGCAGATCACCAGGTTTTTTTTCCTTCAGAGCAGCTGGTGGGTTTGAACCACTGACCTTCGGGTAGCAGCTGAGCGCTTAACCATTGCACCACCAGGGCTCCTATAATTAAATTATACAATGCATTTTTTTGCACATGTGCTAATTCATATAAAGACGTTTCATGTTAATATTTAAATTCAGTGTTTACTGTAAAGGCAAATCCTTTAAAATGTTTTTGCCTTTATTCTTTTAATATCATTGAAAATTTTATCTACTGGGCATATGTGCTGTTTGTTGTCACTTTAGAATTTTTGACCAACAATTTCAAATTTAAATGGAATGTATTCATTTCTTTTTATAAGATGCCTGAAATGAGTGTGATCAGATTGAGCCTCCCCAGGCACTGGTGTTGCCTTGATCTCGTTATCCAGTCTGAAGAGGATTTTTATGCCTGTGAACCTTGTGCCTGCCCAGGATAGCCCCTGGAGGCCTAGAGTGTATAATGATGTGCTTTTAATATTTTTATCAAAAGCTATTCTGTATGTAAATGATAGAAAATAATAAGCAGTAACAACCTTTGGGTGAAAAAAATTTAAAATACGCATTTCTCACTGAGTCTGAATTTTTCTGTTAGCTGGAATCTGAGGTAGTAGTGAGTACCCTTCAGCACATTTGTTCTCAGCCTCAAGCATCAGATCCCTCAAGTTTCATATCACTTTTAGAGGCTTGCTGTTTCCGCATTTCCTTCATAGACAATCTGAAGACACCGTCTAGGCAGTGCAAAACAATTCCCTATGTGTAGATATTCTGCTTCCTTTCTCCATGTCAAATAGAATAGAAATAACAGGTGTTAAATAGCTACACAGTGGCATGCTGCTGCTGAGATAGGAGTCTTCTGACCCCAATCACAAAGAATTTTATCTGTTACATAAGCACTACAATAAACAACAGTACTTTATTCTCTTTCTCAAACTATAGATTAAAAACTATTTTATGCACAAAAGAAAAATTAAATATTTTGAAAAGCTAGAGAGCCCCTTAATAGCATCTGCTATCCAGAATTGCTATCTTATATAAAATACAGTGTTTTAGATATTGTGATGGTTTGCACCATTCCCTTTGCTTTCTATACCATACTACTATGTTGGCTCCCCAGTGTAGACCTCTAGCTTTGGTCTTCTCTGAGCCTTGGACTGAATATCCAGCTCCCTCTTTGCATCTTTATTTGGGTGACAGATAATGAGGATGATGATAATAGTTAACGTGAACTGAGCACCTTCTGTATTTCAGGCAATTCTCTGAGTGCTTCACCTGTCTAATCTAGTCCTCAGAATAACCCCATGAGGTAGACACTTTTACTATCACTACTTCACAGATGAGGGAACTGAGACACTGAGCTCTCAAGCACCTTGCCCAAAGTCACACTTCTAGTGAACTCTGGTATTGTAGGCAGGAAATCGGACTCTAGCTGCTATACTTCTAGCCACTACACCATATGTCCTCTTAAAGATGCTCTGTGTAGTTGTCTAATAGATGTCTAGATGTCTTAGGTTTTAACATCTTTTAAGGAGTGCCTCTTCCCCATCCACAGTTACAGGCAAAAACCTTGGAATCATTTTCTTGACTTCTCTCCTTCCCTCACACTTTATATCTAGTTCAACAAGTCCTGGCCGCTCTACTTTTAAAATGTCCTAAATCTGACCTCTTCTACCACTCCCATAATTAACATTCTAATCCAAGCCACTTCTGCCTTTTACCAGATAACTAAGATAGCCTTTAAACTAGTCTCCCTGCTTCTACTGTTGCCCTCCTACAGTCACTTCTCCACAGCGCAGCCAGAGTGGTCTTATAAAAGTGTCAGTCATGCCATATTTCTCCCTTGCTCAAAACCCTCCAGACTAGAGGCTTTTGTTTACCTTTCCCTGTTTACCATTCCCACCAAATCATCCTTTACTCTTTCTTATTTCGTTCCAGCCACACTTCTTCATTCTGTTCATTGAACTCACTAGTCTTGTTGTAGCCTCGAACTTTATCTTACTGTTTCGTTTGCCCTGAATGCTTTACCCTCAGATCTTTGCGTGGTTTCTTTTTTCTTTTATCTTTTTTGAAATATCAGTTCCTCAGACAGACTCTCTTAAATCTCATTTAAAATAATACCCTTTGCCTTACTCCCTTATGCTGCTTTGTTTTTCTTCAAAGCCCTTATTTCTCCTTAAAATTATATAGTTACATATTTGCTTTTTTAACTTCAACACTTTAAAGGAGGAGCACTAGTCAAACTATGATTCCTAAAGTTAGGTATTTTCTACTTACCATTGTAAAATAATCTCATGTTTATCCATGTTACAGGAGTGAATTTGATGGAGATTTGCAATCCCAACTTCTGAGTAAAGCCAATGAAGAAGATAAAAACTGTAGCAGAGCTCTCTCTGTGGTGAGCACTGTTGTCCGAGCTGCTAAAGACCTCTTGCATAGAGCTCTTGCTGTAGATGGTAAGAGTTTTCTTTTTCTTTCTTGATAGTCATATTTTGAATTCTTTATTCCCTAGTTTACGCAGCGTTATTAAAGGGCGCCGCCTTCTAGAATCCCAAAGTATTTTATTCATTATAAATTTACAATTAATTTTGGGTTAGTCATATTCTCCATACCCTAATGCAAAATTTTTTAGAATGTTCAAAAGCAAATTTCTGATATTATTATATTCTTAGTTAACCCAGTAAGAGAAAAACTATATCTTAATTAAACTACATCTTTGCTTTATCCCCCTTTTAGTAGTTGAAGAGCATTTTGTTTTCCCGCTAGACCTGCTTTTCTTCATGTAGGTCCTATTTCCGATAATTGCATCACCATTTACTCAAAGGTCTAGGTAACCTTAAAGGTCTCCCCAAAATTCATTTGTCTTAATTTAGTTTTGTGAGTTCTTCCACTGGTAACTCCAGTTTGTATTGTCCTCTCTATTTTTTTGTCCTACTGCCATAGTTCGAGCTACCATGGTTCAAGAGAATATTCTCTTTTTCATAGATGGATAACATCCTAACCAGTCTCACTCCCTATCTAGTTAACAAGTCACCCTCTACACTGACACCAGAGTTATCATTATAAAAGCAATCACTGTAACCTCCCCTTCCTTTTTGTTCCTAAGCCTGGTTGTATATGAGAGCCACCTGGGAAGCTTGCTAAAAATAAAGAATATTTGGCCCATTCCCAGATATTTAGGCAGGGCTAAGAATCTGTATTTTTTTTTTAAATAAGTGCCCAGGCTATTCTGATGCAACAGCAGATCTAAAATCCAGTATTTGGGAATCTTGACTTATAGAGATTTTCACAGTCTAGACTCAACCTCTTTCTAGCACCTTATTCATGGGTAAATGTCTAAGATGTCCACCAGCAAAGTACTTTCCTCAGAAAAAATAGATGGCAGTGCTTAATATGTGCAGGCATTTTCCTAAGCATTTTACATGTGTTAACTTACTTATTCTTCACAATACCCAATAAGGATATACTGTTATTAACCTGTTTTACATGTGAGTAACTTGAGGCACAGACAGATTAAATAATTTTCCTAATGTCACACATCTAGCAATGTGTGGTGTGAAGAGCAGGGATTTAAAATCATGGCTATTAGCTTAGGTGTACATCCTGGCTCTATCATTTTCCAGGTGTATGATCTTGGGCAAGTTGCTTAAACACGGTATGCCTTAATTTCCCCTTATAAAAATTGGGGATAATAAAAGTATCTTATTGTGAGGATTAATTGAGATAACACATGTAAATAAAGCCCTTAGAACAGTGCAAAGGACTCAGTGTCAACTGTAATTTTTCTCGAGAACAGAATATACATTACAATGAAATTACCTTCTAACTATAATTTTAATGATTTTTTTTTTTAGCTGATGACATTCCAGAACTGCTTAGCTCTTCCAGTCTGTTTTCCATGCTGCTTCCTCTTATTATAGCCTACATAGGACCAGTAGCTGCTGCTATTCCCAAGGTATGTAATTTAATTCTGTAACTTTGTCTTTTTGTAAATTTCTTTTTTTTTAAAGACTTTGTATCTTAAAATACTTGAATGTTTGAGGCAGCTGGATTACAGGTAACATAGAGCTAGAGACGTTAATAGGAGAAGTTATTAGTTAAACCTCTCTGTTCCTAGTATTGCTTACTGTATGCCATGCTTATATATAGGCTTTACATTGGAAGAATTTGGGAATTGGGACTGTATTTTAGAAATATGATATATAAGGAATGATGAAGTTAACTGAGATTTTTTAATTTATGAGGTTGATGCCAAATCTTATCCATCTTAAATAACAAAAACAATGTAAAGGGATAGGAGTTTTTTAAAATACTGAAATAGCTAACACATGGAAGAAATCATAAATTATCAATTTTCGACATAATTAAATATTGAGTAAAACCTAATTTACTGCAGATTGCAAAAAGGCAAAATTGTTTAAAAATAAAACAGTTAAGCACTCGACTTTTAACTGAAAGATGGGCAGTTCAGACCTACCCAGAGACTTCTCAGAAGAAAGGCCTGATGATGTACTTCTGAAAGGTCACAGCCTTGAAAATCTGTGGCACACAGTTCTACTCTGTAACACATGGGGTCACTGTAAGTCGGAATCAACGCGACAGCAACTGGTCTGGTTATTTTTATATAACATCTAGTACGTCTAAGATAAAGCTTTTGAATCCATAAAACAAAATTTTCTTTGAAGGAAAACATAGCTAGATGAAAATTGTCATTAATAAAGATAACCAGCAATTATAGTGGTTCATAATTTTAAAATCACTTTCACATTTATTATCTTATTTAATCTTATATGTATATTTATTTACATATATACTAGGTGGCTGTCGAAGTATTTGGCCTTGTTCAACAGTTGCTGCCCTCGGTTGCCATTTTGAATCAGAAGTATGCACCCCCTGCTTTCAATCCTAATCAGTCAACAGATAGCACCACCGGAAACCAGCCTGAGCAAGGCCTGTCCGCTTGTACGACTTCTAATCACTATGCTGTCATAGAAAGTGAGCACCCATATAAACCTGCATGTGTTATGCACTACAAGGTAGGCACTAATTTTTAGTGAGAATTTAAATTTAAAGCTTGATTTCTATTATACAATGATATCATAAAGGATGTTTCGCCTGTGTTAACAAGTATAACTTCTTTCGTAGTCTTTGAGTATAGAGGATCGGCAGGTAGTTAAGCAGTCTCAGATACACAACAGGAGTGTGTAAGACATAATGTTTACCTTTAAAGAGTATAAAGTTTTGTAGAGTTTGTGAGACTTGGTCTCAAATCTTTCTTCAAGTATAGTGCAGTATATAATGCTGAGCTACATGTTGTACGTTGTAATAGAAGTGGATATAAGCAATAAAATTTAACAATCATTTTTCAAACTGAGCCATATTTGTACCACATCCTGAGCTTGGAAAATTTACATACCCATTGTAGGCTTTAAAGTAGTCTGCTATTCATGGTGTTAAAAAAAAAAAAAAATTGCATGTGAAACATTTATAGATTTAAAGTAATTATTATGGCGTTTTCGGAATCCTTATTTCTTGCTTTTTAAATTGTGTCATGTAAAGAGGAGTCGTTCACTTTATCAGTTTAATTATTAGTAAATTTTGTGTGCTTTGAATATAAGAATACTTTATGTGTAAAATATTTAACTTTTATTGTAGAAAATGTTAAACATAGGCAAGTAGAGAAACTCATACAGTGTACCCCATTTATCCATCATCCCAGATTCAGGGGTTATCAATACTTGGTCAAACTTGTTTCTATTGCCTACCACCAACTTCCTCCCCTCCTATATTGTTTTAAAGCAAATTCATGGGTTTTTCATTATGAATCTCTGAAATTTAAGGACCCTGGAAAATAACCATAATATTATCATCACAGTGAAAAAAATAATAAATCCTTAATATTAAATATCATTCAAATTTTAACAGCTTGTTTGCTTGAATTAGACTCTAAATAAGATCCATACATTACAGTTGGTTATGTCCCTTAAACTCTTTTAATCTGTAGGTCCCTCTCTCTCTTTTTTTTTTTTTCCCTTGAATTGTATTTAAACTTAACATAAACTGGATTGTATGACTTTGTTAGATGGGAGACTCTTCAGCTTGCCTCTTAAGTCCTTTAGACTTGCCCTTGTTAGTCTTCCAGGTTCTCTGGTAAATGAAGATGTTCCAGGCTCACCTTATACATTTCCTTATAAATGCCTCAGATCTGGAATTAGCTTTTTTTTTCCAAAGTGCTACGGTTCCTTTTAATTGGAAATGATATGTAAAAGCCAAAATCTGGCAAAATGATGCTCATTGCTGCAGGATTGTTCATTGTTTCTAGATCTTTATAGTGACCAGAACTAGTAAATAAATACACACATACACATATCTTTATACACACATACATATAATGTTTGTCTATCTGTGTATATGTATGTGTATTTTAATGTATATTTATGTATGTTGTTGTCATTGCGTTCTATCCACTCAATTTTGACTCATAGAAACCCCATGTGACAGTAGAATGGCCCTGTAGGGTTTTCTTGGCTGTAATCTTTATGGAAGCAGATTGCCAGGTCTTTCTCCTGTGGAGCCTCTGGGTGGGTTTAAACCACCTTTCACTTAGCTACCAAGCACTTGACCATTCTGCCACCAGGGCTCCTTATATTTATGTATAGACACATTTATGTGTATATGTATGTATATATTTTTAAGGATGAAATATCTCATCAGTTTTCACTGATGATTCTGATTCAAAATAAGAACCACAGGGTGTTACATGTGAATCTCCTTTCTTATACATCAAGAATCCCTGTTCTCAATGACAATGAGAATATTAGAATAAAAAAAAAGCACTTATTCATTTGCTTTATTTGTGGGTAGTTCTCTTTGTTTTAGATTTTTTGTTTGTTTTTGTTTTGAGATTCTCCTCCCTCTTTGCGTATATTCCAGCAAAGATATACAGTCAAATTACTGTATTTTAAGTTAGAATAATCAACTACTGTGTCTCAAAGTATGCTGGAATAATGCCACCCTGTGTTATTGTGTCCACTAATTGAATATACATTTGGGGTCATTTGTTTTCTTTTATTTTAGATTTTTAGGAGTTACTTTTTAAGATTTAATTCTGTTTCATAATTATTTAATATAATTATATGATCTAAAATAAAATCCATAAAGCAAAATAATTAAAGAAATTCTAGCTTTTATCTCTGTCTCCTTCACCCTATTCCTCCTTCCCTGTCATAGGTAACATTTAATATTAGGTTTATAGCTTATCCTTCCATTCTTTCTTTTAGCGTAGGCATACATGCACACACCTACGCACATATATTCAGATGCAGGTGTTTGCGTATATATGTTCATTCCTTTTTTTTTTTTTCCAACTTTTTATTTTGAAAAATTTCAAACCTATGGAAAGGTAGCAACATCCATGTATCCCTCACTTGGCTTCACCGCTTGTTAACATTTTGCCACATATGCTGTATTTATCTACCTAGTTATTATTACTCAGCCATTTGAGAGTAAGTTGCAGATTTCATGACTGCTCACCTTGTTCCTAAGAACAAGGAAGTTTCCTTGTGTAACCACAATACACTGATCAAATTCAGGGAATTTAATATTGATACAATACTATTGTCGTAGTAGATGGGAAAATTATATCAATATTGTAAGCCAAACATTTACCGTTTGTTCTGCCATTTTATAGCATTTGTTTAACCCTGATCCAGGATCCAGTGTTGGATCACAGATTGCATTTAGTTATCAGATTTCTTCTGTCTCCTTTAATCCAAAATAGTTCTCAGCCTTGCTTTGTCTGTTGTGACACTGACATTTTTTAAGAATACAGTTTGTTTGTTTGTAAAAATACCCTTTAATTTTGATTTGGTAGATTGTTTTCTAATGATTAGATTCAGGTTACCAACTTGGGGCAGCAATTCTGCCCATAGTGATATTGTATTCTTGTCGATGCATTCCATCACACTTCATTAATGTGATAGCGGCCAAATTTCTCCATCAGAAGTCATCTTTTTTTTTTTTTTTCTGCTTTTGAAAACGTCTGTGGCTAGCTATCTGCAGATTGTTTAGTAATCCTGTTCCCCAACAAATGCTCACCCAATGGTTGTAGCATCCATTGGTTATTGTTACCTGAAACACTTGTTACTGTGGTGGTTGCAGAATGATGGTTTTCTGTTATTCCTTTCAGCTGGTATTCTATTCTGAAGAAGAATTGTTTCATGCCTTCTCCCTTTTAATATGTATTCATTTATTTATTTTATGTATTTATGTCAATATGGAGTTATAAATTCTCTTTTTGTTCAGTATGTTGTAAACCTTTGCTATCATTATTCATTTTGATGCTTGAATGTTTAATAAATTTGGCCAGTGAAAGCCCCTGCAAGCTTGTTTCTATGTCCTTTTACTGTATTTTCATCAGATTTTGAGCACTCTTTACTAATTCCAGTCAACACCATATTGGTCTTTCCTTTATACCCATTTCATTTTTGTATGCCACTGTGAATAATAAAACTTCTAAGTAAAATTAGGGATTTCTTTGCAAAAATTTTATCTTTAGAATAAATCCTGAGGTTATATAATCAAAGTACTCAAAAGTTATTTGGATTAGTTCTTTTTATGTATATATGTGGTTTGTTATATGATCAGTTTGACATAAAGTTGGGCTTATTTATTTGTGCTTAATTTTTATTTTTTTTCCTATCCTGCTTGATATAATTTTACTTTTTAAATATATAAAACATTAATATGATTCTAGAAATCAAAATTACATGAAATAATGTACTCAGATGTATAACTACTCTTACTATTCTGTTCCATCTTCTCAGTTACTTCATTAAGTATCTGACTTAACCTTTCTATGTTCCTTTTTGAAAAAATTAGCAGATATATATATGGAGTTTTTTTTTTAATCCTCTACTTAAAAATATTTGCTTTGTTTCTAGAATATTATTTTAGTCCTAGATAATTTTTTAAGTTTATTATCATGCATAGAAAAATTCTTAAGGCTCACATCATATCCTATGACCAATTTATAGTTTACTATTTGACATGGACCTGCTTCCTGTATTTCACTATCATGTCAGAGGGTGAGAGAAACTTAAAAGTGGCCTTTAAAATACATGTAATTATATGTCATCATAAACTCTCATATACCATATATCAGTGTATACTTAGAAACTTCAACCTATTGTTAGAGAGCAGTAGATATTGCTAGTGGGGAGTGGGGACAATAGATACAGAGCATTAATACCTTGGTCTCTGATTGTATTTAAACTATATTATTAATTCCTTACTTAAAATTTATTTTTTTGTATGCTGAATTCCTGATCTTTACAGTATGACGTCCTGTATCTAAAATGGGTAATGCAAAAATCTAATTCTTCTTAACAAGTGTAAGTGTTCTCTTGCCTGTTGCCTCAGGTGACATTCCCAGAATGTGTAAGGTGGATGACAATCGAGTTTGACCCTCAGTGTGGAACTGCACAGTCAGAAGATGTCCTCCGCTTGTTGATTCCTGTGAGAACTGTCCAGAATTCAGGATATGGACCAAAACTGACATCTGTTCATGAAAATCTTAATTCATGGATAGAATTAAAGAAATTTGCAGGATCCTCTGGGTGGCCTAGTATGGTTTTAGTGCTTCCAGGTGAGGTTTTTGTTTTTCCCTTCTGTTTTATATGGTAAAATACATGCATTTATGATGGTGTATATTCAGTAAGGATACATCACTGAAGATGTTTATTTTCTTTTTAGAGGAATTTATTAAGGAGCTACTGTGTGTTTGGATTGCAGTTGAGGAGGAAAGAGGATGCTCTGGGCAAGGGGCATAGCATGAGCAAAGTTTTGAGAATGTTTTGAGGATCTTGTGAAAAGAGATAACCCCAACCAAAGCAGATAGTTAATACTGAGGAGTGGCTATCTGTGTTATTGGGACCAGACTGTAGACAAAGTGAACTAGATCTTTTATTTTTCCATTAAGTGCTAAATTTTAAGAAGTTACTAAGGACTTCTCACCTTCAAGATAATTCCTGAACAGTTGTGTTAAAGCTGTTGAGTTTTCAGTTTGCTTAAGGGTGTGTGTGTGTGTGAGAGAGAGACAGAGACAGAGAAAGTATGTGTGAGTGTGTGTGTGTGAGAGAGATTTTTGTTACTGTTGTTATTGTTTTTCTTTAAAAGAAGTTGTTTTAAGTTTTTTTTTTTTTAATGCGTATATAGTCTCTTGTGATTTTAACAAATTAACCATAGCTACTTTTGTGATCCCTCAAACCAACAGCTAGTTTGATTCCAAAAACTTTTATCTTCTGGCCTGAACTGCCTTTTAAATAGGTAATTCCACAGTATCTAAACTAATGGAACAGAATGTGAATAAAAAGGTGATAATGCAAAAAAAAAAAAAAACCTTATTTCTATTAATATAAATGACAGATGAGTTTGTTTATTTATTGACTTATTTCTTACTTACTTATTTGGGATCAGAAAAAGCCAGATGTCAGTGGTAAGGGATTGCACAGTTTGAAACAAAGGTGGCGAACTTAGGTTACCTAAGTGCTGACAGATAATTGAAAAGTGATTGCCCGTGTAATTTAATGGTAAGAAATTGGATTCAGAAGAAGAATTAGATCACAAAGAAGAATCATAACAGTGCACTTGGGATGTTCCTGTTATTCCTCGTGATGTTTTTAGAAAAATTTTCCTTAAGTTAGCTATAATCCGATAAGTCGATTCTGACTCATAGCAGGCTTACAGGACAGAGAAGAACTGCCCCATAGGGTTTCCAAGGCTGTAATCTTTACGGGAGCAGACTGCCACATCTTTCTCCCGTGGAGCGGCTGGTGGGCTCAAACCACTGATCTTTCAGTTTACAGCTGAATGCTTAACTACTGTGCCACCAAGGCTCCTTCAAATTAGATATAGAAACCAAAAAAAAACTTTTTTTAGGTTATTTAATATCCGATTTGTATTGCTACCTATCTTGAGATGGATAAAGGAGGGAAAAATTAATAAAGGTATTTTAGATTTTGAACTCAATTCTAGCCTTTTTTTCTTAGGAAATGAGGCCCTTTTTTCATTGGAGACTGCATCGGATTATGTGAAAGATGACAAAGCTTCTTTCTACGGTTTCAAGTGTTTTGCAATTGGATATGAATTTAGCCCTGGACCTGATGAGGTAAGAATGAATTATCTATTAATTCTGTTAAGGAATATTGTGTTTCTAAGGCTGCTTTGACTTAAATTTTATTTGTTGCCTATGTTCCACAAGGCTGAAATTTGTTTTAAGCAAAGGTGTGCATAATTTGAAGTATTTTGCAGTTTAATTGTGTGCTGTGATCTTTTGCTACTTTAAAACATGAAGAGAGTGAAGTTTATGCAAATGACCCAGCTTTTGAAGACTTAGCATTATTATACTTGCCCTGAATCTGCTCAGGTGGCTACACCTTTCTGAATAAATTATAAAACCTGATTTCACAAAGAGACTAATTTACTATCTCTTCCAAATGTTTTAAATCACGCAATAAAACAAAACCAAAGACAAAGCTGATCATGTTCCTTCAAAGTAATGAATGAAAATTCTTTGGACAATGAAAATTGTAGGTCCAGACCTTAACACCAGCTTGAGCTTGAATCTCTTCAACTCTCAGTTTAGCCATTAACTAAAAACACATGCTGCTTTCTAGATCCAAAAGGAATCCCTTGAATTTAGGTCACATTTTTTAGTAACCCATATTATTTCCCAAACATGTTTTAAAGCAGCTAATTTTTTTTTTCCCAATTCTACAGGGTGTCATTCAGTTGGAAAAAGAGTTAGCCAATCTTGGTGGGGTTTGTGCAGCAGCTTTGATGAAAAAGGATCTCGCACTTCCTATTGGTAAGTCTGGTCAAGTACTAGGTGTTTACTTCATGATTTTTTTTTTTTTAATTTTAAGAGTAGAATACGTTTATTGTAGAAAGTTCTGAAACTAGATTAGAAATGTATTCCATGATCACATACACTAATGGACAATAACTGCTTAATATGCTGATACTTTGGGTTTTATTTTAATGAAGACTTCTTTATTTACAAACACACACACCCTCCCTTTAGTACAAGGCACTGGATTTACAGAATTAATCCAAAAGTATAAACTATTTCTTAAATATCCTAATACAGATACGAAGCAGAGAATTGTATATTCGTTGTCTGGGGTCAGGGTACAAGTCAGTAGAAATGTCATTTGAACATAGTTGTTATTTAAAAACATGGTATCATGTGAAAGATAAGCTAGAAAGAAACGTAGATGGCAAAGGGAAGATTACCCAGAATCAAAGCCGGAGCTTGTCAAAATTTCAAAGTTGGGCGTAACAGGAGGAGTAAACTGCAAATAAGACGGCGAAGGAGCGGTCAGTGAGGTAGGAGAAAAACCAATATGTCTGTGGGATTTTTGCATGCTTCTGAGAAGTCAGTTAAAATCTATCAGTGGATTGGAAAACTCGTAGGTTATGGATATACTCAGTAAGAAATATTTATTTCTATCAGTAAAATGATAGAAATGTAAGACCTTTTAGTAGATTTAGAGAGAATAGAAAGTGGGGAAGTATAGTCAGGTTGAATATACTTAGTACTTTAGAAGAGTTTCCTTATGAAACAGAATAGAGAAATGAGACAATGGCGGAAATAGTACTGTTCTATCTGATGTGGATTTGTATGATTTACAAATTTTGATCAAGAGGATAAAGATAAAAATAAAGATGACAATGTTTGCTAATTCTGTAATATTTATACATGAGTTAACATTTTATTTCCACCATTCTCACCCCTACAAGTCCGCCTATACCTCTCTGAGACTGCTCTTCCTAGTCCGTCCTTTTCTTTCCTTCCCTTCTCTTTCTCTACTCTCTTCTTCTTTCTCTATTCCTCTTCGTGGTGCTTTTTATTCTTCTCAGTTCCCTTGCTGCTACTTAATGTTGGTACATATGTAAGGAAATGAGAACTCTTGTATTCATGTGAGGAAAATTGGTACAGCCTCTTTGGAGGAAATTTGTCAGTAGCTGTTAAAATTTTACATGCATGTACTATGACCTAGCAAATTTGTATGTATACTTGCACAATTGACCAAAAATACATGTTCAAGGATGGATTAATTCCCTGGTGGCTCAATGGTTAAGAGCTCGGCTGCTAACCAAAAGGCTGAAGTTCAAATCCACCAGCCGCTCCTTGGAAAAACCCTATGGGGCAGTTCTACTCTATCTGTAGGTTCGCTGTGAGTTGGAATTGACTTGACAGCAATGGGTTTGGTTTGGTTTTTATGACTGTAAAATCCTAGAAGCAACCAAAATGTCAGTGGGAACTGTTTAAATAAGTAACGGCACGTCTATATAATGGGAATCTGTGCAACTGTTTAAAAAAAAAAAAAAAGACCTATATGTCCTGACAAAGAAACTGTCCAAATTATATTGTTAAGTGAGAAAAGCAAGTTGCAGAAGAAGAACCCATTTTTGCACACATTGTCATGTATAACATACATATGTAAGTCTGCTTATTCTTATCTGCACAGAAGGTTTCTGGAAGAATACATAAGAAACGTGACATTGATTATCTTTGTGGGTGGCTATGATTAAAGAGGTAGAATATTTTGTTTGTACTTCTGTACAATTTAGATATTTCCTCTTAAGTATCTCCTAAACAAATATCACTTTTATAACTTAATTGAACTATCAAAGAAAAGTCAATAAATAAAATGTTTTATATATGAAGCAGTAAAATTACTAGATGGTACAGTTGCTACCTTGTTCCTCTCAGTGAGTCACTGCTGTATGGTAAAGGTATAAGGCAACAAAATGTAAAGGCTGAGATTCTGAATAATCGATTCGCTCCCTTTTCTTTTTATAAAGAAGTAAACATACTAAATCTTAAAAATATATGTTTATATGTATATACTGTGTGTATATAGATATAGATATAAATGAACAGGTGCTTTTCGAATATCGCCTTGAGAATTGTAGCTTATATTCATTCTGAAAATGTTTTATATTTTAAAATGTAAACCACTGAGACTTAATTGAAGATAACAGTTCTTTTCAATCTGGGATGTCAGAGTTGTAAAAAAAGTTGTAATGAATGTAAAGGACTAGAAAATTAAACTAAGTATTAACATATTTTAGTAAAACTTTTCATTTGCACAATAGGTAATGAACTAGAGGAAGATCTTGAAATTCTTGAAGAGGCTGCATTACAGGTATTGTCCCAAACATTGTAAGGACAAGCTTTGTACATTAATGTAAAAGCAATATTTTCACTCAAATCAGCTTTATTTTTCCTGAACCTCAAATTTGTTCCCTGAGTACTTTGTTCTGTTCATTGGCAGTTATAAAAATAAATGACTCATAATGGCTCACCTTGATGAAAGAGATTAATGTGAACCATTACAGTACTGTGTGGTGGTTGTTAACTGTGAAGTTAGACATAAATCCTATGGGAGAAAGAAGAGCAACTAAGTACCAAGGGTCTAGGGGAAGGCTTTGTAGAGCTGTAGACATTTAAATTGGATCTTGAAGAAAGTTTTATTTTACCAGATAGAAAAATGGGGAAAGGATTTCACAAAGGAAACTGGAGGTGCATGGTTTTATTATAAATTCTGGTAGGAAGTAGTAAAAGGTGAGGTACTTAAAATTGGTGGGTTGAGATTGTGATAGGCTTGTATGTTATATGTAGTGGTTAGAACCAGTTGGCAATAGGCAGTTGGGAGCCATCAGTTTGTAGCTGCTGTTGTTTGCTTATTTTTTTGTTTGTTTAGACATTAGGAAACTAGCACATTTTGACACTATGTAGTGGAAATACATGTCAATAAAGTTCTCTTTGGATCTTTTAGATCTGTTATTATGTCAGTTTCTAATATTCTGTTATTAAAAATTGCTGGGACCTTATATGGCTTTCTTACTTTATTAGTTTGAATTTAATTAGCTCATAATTCTTAATAAGATGGAAAGAAACATCATAAATCTCCAGGCAAGGTGTTTCAAATTACAGTACCTGCTTCCTACAGGTCAGAGATTCTAAGAGTCATTGCATATAGTGAGAGCCATCAGTGATGAGAAATTTTTTGCATATTAAAATGGTGTGAAAGTAGAAGAATGGTAGAGAAGCATTCAACTGGATCAGTGGTATCCAGACTTTAGGATTGCATGGATTTGTAAAATTTTCTCCAAAAAACTTTTTCCAGAACTATGGTTGATAACTTTTAGTTTTGTTAGATTAAGAATACTTCTCAAAAATGTATGATTTATTATTACCAATGCTTTATAAAAGAAGGACATTTTAATATCCCTAAATAGACAGGTTATATTATTGGAATGAAGGATTCACTGTATTATGTCCTTATGCTTTCTGATTTCACCACGGACCAGATAACTTCATCGAGCCCACATATGAAAAATACTGATTTATATCACACTTATTTTCTGTGTTAAGTTTATGTAGCTAATACTGGTAACTTAAATAATATCTGTAGAGTACTTTATAGTTTACAGTATCTTTAATACTGTCTCTTTATTTTTATAATTACACTTAGAGATCAGTATTATCTCTTGCATCTTACAATTACAATAACTGAAGTTCAGAGAAGTTATATGACTTATTTAAAACTCAGCTAATTGAGTGATAAAGGCTAGTACCCAGGTCTTCTAATTCCTAGGCCTAGTGTTTTACATTTTATTTCCTGAGATAAATTGATCAGAGCAGTAATAATAAAAACATTTACCTGATCTTTACTTTATCAAGCACTATTCTAGACACTTTGCATATTTTAACTCACTTAATTGTCACAGCAGTCCTATGTATTAGACTCTTATCTCCATTTACAGATCAGAAAATTGAGGCATGGAGAACCTAGATAGCTTGCCCAGGATCACACAGCTAGTAAGTGGCTGGGCTGGAATTTGAACTCTGGTACTTTGGTGAGGAAATCCATGATCTTGACCGCTATGCTCTGATCATAGGGCATATGTCAAGAAGCTTATGGGTTTTAAAGCTCCACCCAACTTTTCTTTATAGTTCAAAAAAAAATAAATAAGTTAAATCTTTGTACCTTAAGAAACAAAATAAAAATTCATCAAACATTTATCAAACACTGTGTCAGGCAATATTTTAGTTAAGGAGCATAGTCAAGGAGCTGATATATTATTCATCATTATCAAGACTATTATGATTTATAAAATGTCATTTAGGCCAGATATAAAGAGAGCCCTTACTGCACTGCTGTTCAAGAAAAAAAAAAGAAAAAAACCATGTCCCAAATTGCCTACATTTTTTGGCATGTGAGGTAGTCATTGTGGTGGTCTAATATGTTTTAAATGTCTATTTGTTAGGCAGAGCCCTGGTGGCACAGTGGTTAAGAGCTACAGCTGCTAACCAAAAGGTGGGCAGCTCAAATCCACCAGCCACTCCTTGGAAGCCCTGTGGGGCAATTCTACTCTGTCCTATAGGGTCTCTATGAGTTGGAATTGACTTGAAAGCAGCAGGTATTTATTAGGCAGTATAGTGCGCATTTTATATAAGTGTTATTTATTTTTTACAGTAACCACGTAAGAGAAATATTATTTAAAAGCCAGTTTATACGTTTTACAGATTCAAGGATGATCTGTAACTTGTTAACCCAAGATCACACAGCAAGTAACTTGTGCAAAGCCAGGATTTGAACTCAACTCTGTTTGAGCCTGAAGATACTGATTTTTAAAATTAAGTAGTTTGTAAAATGCTGAAGTTACTGTTGTATAAAGTTGATAGTACTAGAAATGTAATCTTTTTGTATGAAAAATACTTTGTTTTGAAATTTAGTATGTAGTCATTATAAAGTTTCTAGATTTTCAACATTTAAAGCCAGTCTTTCAAAAAAACATAGGGTTTGCTTGTCAGCTGAAGATTAAAATTTCAATTTTATCTGCTTCTTTTTCTTAACTTTAATAAGGCTAGACAGGCTGATGGAGTCCTGGTGGCACAGTAGTTAAGAGCTCATGCTCATCTGCTAACCAAAAAAGGTCAACAGTTTGGATCTACTAGCCGCTCCTTGGGAACCCTATGGGGCAGTTTTACTCTGTCCTGTAGGGTCGCTATGAGTCGGAATCGACTCAGCAGCAATGGGAGAACAGGAGATAGGCTAAGGCAGTTTATTTGCAGCCACAATAAGGCTTTTAGTGCTTGTTGCCTAAGTCAAGACTTTGGTTCCGTCCCACCCAAAAGAGCAGATACAACTTACTTGTGGGAGCCAACAATATACCTGGCCCGTTGCCGTCCAGTCACTTCTGTCTCATAGCAGCCCTATAGGACAGAGTAGAACTGTCCCATACAGTTTCCAAGGCTGTAATCTTTACTGAAGCAGACTGCCATATCTTTCTCCCACAGAGCGGCTGGTGGGTTCAAACCTCCAACCTTTTGGTTAGGAGCTGAGCGCTTAATCACTGTGCCACCAGGGCTCCTTTCAGCTGACAATAATTGGGACTGAAAAAGAGGGGGACTTCCACAGCTACCTTGACAAAAGTGTACATAACACACCTGGAGGGCTATAGTGGGAGGAGAATACACCATTTCAGCTAGCACGCAGATCCAGAAAGAAACAGGACCCAGAAGGGGCTCAGCCTACATGCTCTAATCCTTCTTTCAGTCTAACCAGTCTGATATGTCACTTATTTTTGTGGCAGAAAGGAGTAAGTGAGCAGAAAGACACTGGAAGTATTATTCCCATGTTTTTTCCTCCAGAAAGTTTTCTCCTTTATGAGCTAAAGGAAGAATAATCTTAGATAACCTGAGAAGGCTTATCTAAAATTGTTGTGCACATTCAAAAAATTCATGTAGGTAAAGTTTTATATTTTAAAATATATAAATATTCCCCTTCACCCAACAGGTGTGCAAAACCCATTCTGGTATCCTTGGAAAGGGTTTAGCTCTTTCTCATTCACCAACTATATTAGAGGCACTTGAAGGAAATTTACCACTTCAAATCCAAAGCAATGAGCAGTCTTTTCTGGATGATTTTATTGCTTGTGTTCCAGGATCAAGTGGTGGAAGGCTTGCAAGGTAATGTAATTTAAGTAGTAAAATTACTTTTGGGGCTTGCCTCTGTCTTCATTTGTTAAGAGAAATGAAAGAGGAGTCATTAGGATATTAAATGCTGCTTAAAATAAATCTGTTTTATGTGTTTTGAATTCACTGAAGTATAAAATGGTAATCAATATTTCAAAATATTTTTAAAATATATGATAGTTCCTAATTGATTATTGATTATTTTCTAGGTGAACTTTTTTAAACATTATAATTGAAGTGCCTGTATTTGACAGTAATATTTAATATCTAGACTCCTAGATTTATCACTATATTTTATTGTAACAGAATTTTTTTTCAAATCTACAATTGATGCAAATATAAACTTGGAATTTAACTCAAATAATTTGAGTTTGCAGTTCTGATTTTTTTTTGCTATTTGCTTAATTTTAAGATGAAAAGAAAAAAATATGCTGGCCTGTGTTACTTTACTGTTAACATGAAAACCCAACTTTTTTCTGGTTTTAATTTTAAAAAATAAAGACATTACTCTTTAGTTTTTAAAAATCAAAATGGTGACTGGAGAGGAATAAAAAAAAATTTAAGTCAGCCTCACTGCTATGTTATGGATATTTTTATGTAAGTAGTGACAGAATTACCTATTACTTATTTCATAAGACGACTTGAATATAGATTATGGAATGCATTCAGTAATGGATTTCACAAATTATAGAAATTTAACAAATTTTACATGGAAGGCAAAGTAGTGAGGAAGATAGCTGAGAAATTATATGAAGAGAGAAAGACAGTACACCTTGACCTTAGCTGCTCTTCAGTAAGCATAATGCCATTTCTGTCCCTGTTTGTATGGATAAGCTGCTCTTTCACAGGTTTTCAGGTTGGCAAATTAAAACAGACCTCACAAAGAGTGAGTGTACTTGAAACTTCAAATTATGCAAAAGCTGGTTTTTGTTGTTATTTTAAATTAGCCATAGTTAAAATGTCAAGTTTCCTGATTTTAAAATTACTTCTATATTGTATATAAACATACATTGGAATCTCGTGTGCTTTTGTATTTTTCTTAATGAGTTTGTCATTAACAGTTTCCAAGGGAGACTCTGTGGTGATTATCATTGGCTAGGAAATGAAGATTTTGTTTTAGCATTTTTTTGATACAAGTATTAATCATTTGACTTAATTGCATGTTAATCATTGAAGTGCTGATGAATGAATGCATTTTTTATTGCTGGTAGGTGGCTTCAGCCGGATTCCTATGCTGATCCTCAGAAAACATCTTTGATCCTGAATAAGGATGATATTCGTTGTGGTTGGCCTACCACCATAACTGTTCAAACAAAAGACCAGTATGGGGATGTGGTACATGTTCCCAATATGAAGGTAACTATATCTGAATTAAGTTAGGAGACATCTGTACACTGACTAATAAAATTTTAGAAATGGCAAGTGTTTAGGGTCTATTTGCTTTATACTTTTTATGTATATATAAAAAAAGGAGCTGAAAAATGGAATGTTTAAATGACTTGGTAATATTAACTAGTTCCCATGCTTCCAAGTTTTACATTTTGGGGGATTTTATTTATTTATTTGGATCTTTTTTTAATTTTTTTTTTTACATTTTGTCAGATGGTTGAAAGGAAGGATAAGAAAGTGTGCATATAAAGAAAGCTAGGCACATGAGTACAAACCCTCAATACATATAGTGATTGAATAAATGAATAAAAGGATACATTTTAAAATTTTGTGTATATATTTGAAAAGACTCAAGTACATTCTGCATTTGATATTATTGAAACCACATTTAAAAATAATATTGATACTTCTTAAATAAGTTAGGACTATATGAATTTGGATTGTAAAAGATTGAAGACAAGAAATAGGCATGTGCAGTAGATGAATGTAGAGTTCTTCTGATGACTCTTCCCTGAGGCATTAACTTATAATGATGTTTTAGAGCATATTGTAATGCATATAATTAAATCCTTTGTGATATAATCTAATAATGTAAATATCTCTTTTAAAACTTTTATTATGTTTCTGAAAAGGTAGATATTGAATGAAAATCTAGATAGGCAGTCCCAACCACCCCCCTATCAAAAAAAAAAAAAAGTTATTCCAAAGTGATTTGGTTGTTTAAAGTGATTTGGTTGTTAGAGTTGATTAAGTCACAAAATCCTTTTTACTCACATAGTAGCTAATTTTACCTCAGTATTACTTTCAGTAAAACTATTTTAACTGGCATAGTGGTTAAGAACTTGGCTGCTACCCAAAAGGTTGACAGTTTGAATCCACCAACCACTCCTTGAAAACTCTTTGGGGCAGTTCTACTCTGTCCTATAGTGTTGCTATGAGTTGGAATCAACTCGATGGCAACAGGTTTGGTTTTGGTTTGGTATTTCAACTACTTCTTGTATTATTTGATTAATAGTATGAAGAAGCACAATGTCAATGTCGCCTCTTACTTATAGTAAGAAAGATAAGACACACACTGTTCACATAACAGTGAATAGAATTATATGAAAAAAGTATTTGACTCTGATACTAAATAAAAACCACTCTTTAGCAGTAGTTTTCAAATATTTGACCATAACCTGCAATAAGAATTTGCATTATACATACATATATGATGGAATAGTACATACTATTAACTACATTTTATATACATACATACATACACAGGAGTCCTTGGGTGGCATAAATGGTTAAGCACTGAACTACTAACCAGAAGGTTGGCAGTTCAAACCCACCCAGAAATGCCTTGGAAGACAGGCCTGGAGATCTGCTTCTGAAAGGTCACAGCCTTGAAAACCCTGTGGATCAGTTCTGCTCTGCACACATGGGGTCACTATGAGTCAGAATTAACTTGAGTCCAACTAACAACATATGCACATGCACTCAGACACATACAATACACTGTACTATAATATTTTCTATTATTTTAATGCAGATCATACCCCCACCAAAGTGATTTTGCAACCATTATGAATTGCTCTATAGAATGCAAAAAAATCACAAATTATAAGAAAAAAAATTGAGTAGAGAATAAAGCAATCCTGATAGTGATACAAAAAAATGACTCCACCTAAGGACAGAATTTTGATCACAGTACAACACACATTAATGTATTATGGGGCTTGTCTGTTCAGTGGTAAATTTCTGACTTGAGTGCATGTGAGTTGTTAAATCCATTGTTTAAGCCCACAAGATTAAGTTCCTTGTACGTGTGACTATGTTGTAGTAACCATTTTCCAGGTTGACATACCATTTCATTTCGTTTTAATGTTTATATTGCTATTCTTATAGTATTTTTTTGGTTGTATTTTATTTCCTCTTGGTTTTCTTCTTTGTATCTTTTGCTGTCTCTTCATTTTGATATCTGGGTTATTTATATCTTGCATTTCGAAGTTAGATTTTATGCTTTTTCTTTTTTTTTATCCCCCTCTTTGGGTTCTTTTGTTTAAGCACATGATCTTGTGCTCTATAGTTTAATTTCCTTCTCCTATGTATTTTGCTTCTCCTACTTACTATCTTCCATTGCCTTAAACCTCTTAGTAAATATGCTCAAAATCCATATCAGATTTATCTCTAATTTAGAAATGATATCTAAGAAACTCCTGTAAATATTACTTAGAAAAAGTGATTTGTGAAATTATTGATGTTTATTTTAGTGATATCAAGTTATTGTATAAGCTAAAAACAAAATAATTTATCTGTTTTATTTTCAGCCTGTTAGATGGCACATGCAGTTTTAGGAACATTTTAGAACCATTGGAAATTGTTAAAGTATCTTTTCATAATGATAACTAATTATTTGAAACATAAAAGTTGATTTGCAGCTAATATTTTAATGACATCAAAAGTGCTTCTTAAAGCACAAGTGTTGCTGCTATATTTTTTACTTACAAAATGATTATTGCAAAGAAACTGTATTTAGTGAGAAGAGAAAGTCACATAGAAAAGAATAACAAAATAACAAAAAAAAATTTTAAGAAGTACAGTTTATAAAAGAAAGCAATATGGTTATTATTCCATATCTCAGTACTCTTAGAGTGTAAAATTATTTAATGATTTACTTTAAGGTTCATGGTACATAGTTACATGTACCTCTAATTTTTATTTACTCAGGGTGAATATAGTTGTTTAGAAAAAGATTAAATCAAGATAGTATGTATAAATGAATGACTAAATAAAAGTGGTATATTTGTACAATGGAAAATTATCCAGCAATTTAAAAGGGAAGAAGTTCTAATACAAACTACAACATAGATGAACCTTGAAAACATTATGCAAAGTGAAATAAGCCAGATAGAAAAGGACAAATTACGTATGGTTCCACTTATATAAAATATCTAGAATAGGCAAATTCATAGAGATAGAAAGTAGACGAAAGAGCACCATGACTGGCGGAAGGGAGGACGGGGAGTTACCACTTAGTACGTATGGAGTTTCTGTTTGAGGTGATGAAAAAGTTGGAAATAGATAATGCTGGTGATTGAACAACATTGTGAATGACATCAGTGCTACTGAATTATACACATGAAATAGTTAAAATGACAAATTTTATGTTACACATATTTTACCACAATAAAAATGTCAAAAATAGTATGTATACAAAGTGTGTATAAATAATTTAAAACAAATGTCTTAAAATTTGACAGTACCGTTTTATTTCCCACATTTAAAGTTTAAAGCTTTAAATGGTGCCAAATGTATATGACTTAAAGAATTTTACCATATACCTTTAAACTACTGTTTTTTAAATATAAGAATGGGTTTTTAATGTTTCCAGGGCATTATGTTGGTCATAATGCTGATCTCTCTTAATCCCAGTTGAAGATTTTAGTTATTTAATACAACAAATTTGCTATCTATTCTTAACTTTGTATAAACAATGAGAGTTTCAAACTAGTGATTCCATAGAATGGCATTAATAAGAACAATAAACAATAAAGACATTCCACAGTTTCTGAGTGTCCCTGAATTACTTAAGAAATGCTATCACTTATTTTACCCTTAGTATTTCTGTGATGGTCCTATAGTTGAATTAATTACTTCTTGCCAACCACAAACGTTTTGTCTGGAAGGAAAAGAAAGAACTCTTAGTGCCTAGGTTTGAATGTTTTTTGCAAATGCATAAACAATCAAATAAATAAAATTAAACATTTTATTAGAAAGTATTTCTGAAAATTATTGTTTGTAGGGCAGTTTGTACTTTCAGGGCTTTAACATGCCTTAGCAAATCTGTTCTTTGCATCTATATGGTACAGTAAGTAGATAAAAGATATCCCATTTAATTGTTGAAGAAACTGAGTTACAAAGTTTAATTAGATTGCTTAGATCAAATGGCTGATGTTGATGATGGGGCCATTCTCTAGAGCAAAGACACATCTTTAAGCTTTAGGTATAAGATTTATTTTATTATGTTTTAACTTTTAAGACTTATATACAATGGAGTACATTTTCTTCTGCTGAATGGTACAACGGAGATTGAGATTAGTGCTTAAAATATGCTGAAATACGGGAAAATATTTATACTAAATTACCTGATAAAATAACCCAATGTTAGTACCTGCAAACATACAATCTAGATTCATTCTATTCTTTCCTCTTCTTTATCAATGATGGTGTTAATTTTTATTTTACGTTTTGATACCCATGAGTATTTATTCTGAAAAAATGAGGCCTGTGTTTTACAGTGTTCAAGGTCCATATTTTAGAAGCATCTTGAGGTCATTCTGACACTATTAAATTAGTCTTTGGAGGGAATGCCTGAGATGAACCAATGTTAACATAAAATTTGTATCATTGTCAGTCCATAAATGCAAGCTGCTGATTTGATTTGTCATGGACAATTATGTAATAAAAGTATTTGGTTTTTATAATATCATGGTTAGGTGGAAGTGAAGGCCGTCCCTGTTTCTCAGAAAAAAACATCTTTACAACAAGAGCAAGTCAAGAAATCTCAAAGGATTCCTGGCAGTCCTGCAGTAACAGCTGCGTCTTCTAATACTGACATGACTTTTGGTGGACTGGCATCACCAAAGCTTGATGTTTCATATGAACCAATGATAGTGAAGGAGGCTCGATATATTGCCATAACAATGATGAAGGTAATTTATTTTATTCATCAGAAAAAATTTACTTTTCACCATTCACTAATTAAGAAATATTTCAGTGGTTTAAATGCAGATGGAAAGCTACAAGTCTATAGAGCTGTTGATAGATGTAAAACTTGCAGCATATTTTTTAGGATGATATTGTTTTCTTCCAGAGAGAATTTTCATTTGTTTCAGCAGGTGTTTAAAGGGGATTGACAACTGTAGATGAAGTTAATCCAATCAGAGATTGAGATGATTTAAAGATGGTTTCAGTCACTGCAAAACTACTTGTCTATTTACAATTTATCATTACTCCTAGACACAGCTCTTCAGGGGTCATCTGGGCCCCCTTGTATTTTGGGGTGACCTCAACCCAAAAGCTGCCAGCTTTTTGGCTTTTCAGCCTCCTCTTCCAGAACAGTAGACGTTCTTAAGTCAAAAGTCCTCCCAAGTGTGGGGCTCATCTCTTTAGCTTTCTTGCTTCTTCAGGCTTTTTAGCTCTTCAGTGCCATTAGATAGATTTTTAAAAAAATATTTTGTGCAACTTTTTAAGTTATTCTCAGAGGTAGTGATAGTCTGGATTATAAAGGTGGCAATTAGTCAAAGTAAAAGTTAGGAATTTTGGCATTATCCAAGAGCAGTGGTGAGCCATTTAAACATTTCAAGTAGAGGAATGGCACGTTTAGATTTGTGTTTTATAAAAATCATTGTGGAGAATGCAATTGGGCAGGTGATCAAGAGACATAATTTGGTTTCAAGGAAACCATTTAGAAGACTATTGACTTCATCTGCTGAAATGTACTGATCACTTGGACTAGTTAGGTACAATCAGAATAGCTTCAAGAGATATTTAGGGTATAGAATCAACAATACTTGGTGGTTGATGAGGGTGTGAAAAGAAAGAGGAAGGAAATCAAAGATGAAGTTCCATTTTGGGCTTGAGTAGTAGGATTAATAATGTTGGGGGGGGGACGGATTTTGGTTGAAGAAAATAATAGATTTGGGTTTGGATATGATGAATTTTAGATATCTCTGAAATATCCATGTGAAAATGTATAAAAGGAAGTTGGATATACAGACCTGATGTGCAGGATCACAGTCTGACCTCAAAAAAAGGATTTGAGAATCAACACTTAGGTTACATGTGAAGTCGTGGGACTGGATAGTATCTTCCATGGTGAATGAAGAAAGAATTTCCAGGACAGGATCCTGAGTAACAGCAATATCAGCAATTCTCAAACTTACGTCCATATCAGAAGCATCTGGAGCACTTGTTAGAGAAGGAAAATTTTCTGACCCCACTGCTAGACTTTTAAATTCAGTAGGTCTAGAGAGATGTTCTACAATTTACATTTAAAACAGATGTGCAGAGAGATTTAAAATAACTCCAGATCTGTACCTTGAGAAATCTTGATTTGCAAGATATATAAGAGGGGAGAAAAATGACAAGATTAGCCAAAGAAGTAAGATGTAATCTACATCACCAGCACTTAATTTTTGCCAGACACTTTTCCCACCACTTAACATAGAGTAACTAATTTAATCCTCATGGTGACCCTATAAATTACTGTTTTTATTTCCATTTTACATTTGGAAATATGAAAGCACAGAGAGATTAAGTAACTTACCTAAAGCCACACAATTAATAAATGACAGAGAGTCAGACTCCAGATTCAATTTTCCTAACTGCCTTATGGCACATTTTGAAGGTCAAGGAAAAAGCAATTTAAGAAGGGTTAAAAATGTTATAAGGTCCCTGGGTGTGCTTGACTACTAACTTAAAGGGTGGCAGTTCAGACGCACCCAGTGCTGCTGTGGAAGAAAGGTGTGGTGTTCTGCTTCCCTAAAGATTACAGCCAAGAAAACTCTATTCTGTCACGTGAGGTCACCATGAGTTGGAATTGACTGCATAGCACCTGGTTTGGTTTGGTTTGGTTGCAGTTGTTATGCTACAAAATGGAAGTTCACTTTTGCAAAGGATCTAATCACAAGGAATTCATCAATGACCTTGGCAAGAGTAGTTTCAGAGCCATAGTAGGTTGATGAAACCACCACTCATTTGTCAGTTGGTCATACTGTGGTGACTTGTATTCAGAGGAGCTTCCAGACTAAGACAGACTAGGAAGAAGGACGTGGCACTTTACTGGTGAAAAAATTGGCCAGTGAAAACCTTATGAATAGCAGCAGAACATTGTGTGATATAGTGCCAGAAGATGAGCCCCTCAGGTTGCAAAGCATTGAAAATACAACTGGGGAAGAGCTGCCTCTTCAAAGCAGAGCCGTGGATGAAGTAAAGCTTTCAGAACCTTCATTTGCTGATGTGGCACAACTCAAAATGAGAAGAAGCAGCCACAACATCCATTAATAATTGGAACATAGAATGTACGAAGTATGAATCTAGGAAAATTGGAAATCATCAAAAATGAAATGGGACACATGAAGATTGATATCCTAGGCTTTAGTGAGCTGAAATGGACTAGTATTGGCTATTTTGAATCAGTCATATGCTCTAGTATGCCAGGAATCACATTGCATTCATCATCCAAAAGAACAATTCAAGATCTATCCTGAAATACAGCACTGTCAATGATAGGATAATATCCATACACCTTCAAGGAAAACTAGTTAATAAGACTATTATTCAAATTTATGCACCAACCACTAATGCCAAAGATGAAGAAACTGAAGATTTTTGCTATCTTCTATATTCTGAAATTGATCAAACCTACAGTCTGATGCGTTGATAATTACTGGTGTTAGGAATGCGAAAGTCGAAAACAAAGCAGGATCAGTAGTTGGAAAATTTGGCCTTGGCAATAGAAACAACAGTGGAAATCACATTATAGAATTTTGCAAGACTTATTCGTTGTAAATACGTTTTTAAACAACATAAGTGGTGACTGTACAAGTGTACCTTGTCGATTGAATACCCAGGAATCAAATCAGCTACATCTGTGGAAAGAGACTATGGAGAAGCTCAATATCATCAGTAACAAGAAGACCAGGGGCCAACTGCAGAACAGACCATCAACTGCTCACATGCAAGTTCAAGTCGAAGCTGAAGAAAATTAAAACAAGACCATGAGAGCCAAAGCACAACCTTGAGTATATCCCACCTGAATTTAGAGACCATCTCAAGAACAGATTTGACACATTGGACGTAAATGACTGAAGACCAGAAGAGTTGTGGGATGGCGTCCAGGACATCATACATGTAGAAAGCAGAAGGTCATTAAAAAGACAGGAAAGAAAGAAGAGACCAAAATGGGTATCAGAAGACACTCTGAAACTTGCCCTTGAATGTACAGTAGCTAAAGCAAATGGAAGAAATGATGAAGTAAAAGAGCTGAATAGAAGATTTCAAAGGGCCACTCGAGAAGACAAAGAAAAGCGTTACAATGAAATGTGCAAAGACCTGGAGTTAGAAAACCAAAAGGGAGGAACATGCTCAGCATTTCCCAAGCTGAAAGAACTAAAGAAAAAATTCAAGCTTCGAGTTGCAGTATTGAAGGATTCTATGGGCAAAGTATTGAACGATGCAGGAAACATCAAAAGAAGATGAAAGGAATACACAGTCACTATACCAAAAAGAATTGGTTGACATTCAGCCATTTCAGGAGGTAGCATATGTGCAGAAATTGATGGAATTGAAGGAAGAAGTCCAAGCTGCACTGAAAGCATTGATGAAAAACAAGGATCCAGGAATTAACGGAAAACCAATCGAGATGTTTCTACAAATGGGTGCAACGCTGGAACCGCTTGCTTGTCTATGCCAAGAAATTTGAAAGATAGCTACCTGGCCAACCGATTGGAAGAGATCAATATTTGTGCCCATTCCAAAGAAAGTTGATCCAACAGAACGTGGAAATTATTGAACAATATCATTAACATAAGTAAATTTATGCTGAAGATCATTCAAAAGCTCTTGCAGCAGTACATCCACAGGGAACTGCCAGAAATTCAAGCCAGATTCAGAAGAGGATGAGGAGTGAGGAATATCATCGCTGATGTCAGATGGATCTTGGCTGAAAGCAGAGAATACCAGAAAGATGTTTACCTGTGTTTTATTGACTACGGAAAGGCATTGAACTCTGTGGATCGTAACAAATTAGGGATAACATTACGAAGATTAGGAATTCCAGAACACTTAATTGTGCTCGTGAGGAACCTGTACATACACCAAGAGGCAGTCGTTTGAACAGAATAAGGGGATACCACATGGTTTTAAATCAGGAAAGGTGTGCATCAGGGTTGTATCTTTTCACCATATTTACTCATTCCATATGCTAAGCAAATAATGCAAGAAGCTGGACTTTATGAAGAAGATGCAGCATCAGGATTGGAGGAAGACTCATTAACAACCAGATGAAACAACTTTGCTTGCTGAAAGCATTGAGGTCTTGAAGTACTTACTGATGAAAATCAAAGACTACTGCCTTCAGTATGGATTGTACCTTAACCTTAAAAAGTATAAAACCTGTTGCCGTCAAGTAGATTCTGACTCATAGCGACCCTATTGGCCAGAGTAGAACTACCCCATAGGGTTTCCAAGGAACACCTGGTGGATTTGAACTGCTGACCTTTTGGTTAGCAGCTGATCTCTTAAGCATAAAGAAAACAAAATCTTAACAACTGGACCAATAAGCAACATTCATGATAAACAGAGAAAATATTGAAGTTGTCAAGGATTTCATTTTACTTGGCTCCACAATCAATGCTCATGGAAGCAGCACTCAGGATATCAAACTACATATTACAGTGGGCAAATCTGTAAAAGACCCCTTTAAAGTGTTAAAAAGTAAGGATGTCACCTTGAGGACTAAGGTGCGCTTGACCCAAGCCATCCTATGTTCAGTTGCCTGATATGCATGCAGAAGCTGGACAATGAATAAGGAAGACCGAAGAAATGATGCCTTAGAATTATGGTGGTGGTGAAGAATATTGAATATACCATGGACTGCCAGAAAAACGAGCAAATCTGTCTTAGAAGAAGTACAGCCCGAATGCTCCTGAGAAGCGAAGATGATGAGACTTCATATCACATACTTTGGATATGTTATCAGCCCCTGAAGAAGGCCATCATGCTTAATAAAGTAGAGGGTCAGCGAAAAAGAGGAAAACCCTCAGCAAAATGGATTGACACAGTGACTGCAACAGTAGGCTCAAACATAGCAACGATTGTGAGGATGGTGCAGGACCGGTCACTGTTTCATTCTGTTAAAAGTAGGGTCACTATGAGTCTGAACCAACGCGACGTCACCTGACAACAACAGGTTGATGAATAAATAGATGAAGTGAGAATAGCTGAAGACAAAGTGAATGTAGATAAGGCTTTGAAGATGTTTGGCTCTAAAAAGAAACCGAGGAACTGGAATCAAGTGAAAGCTTTAGAGTTTGAGGTTTAATATAGAGAGACATGTTTGAATGCTGATGAAGAGACAATTGAGAGAAAAGAAACAATGAAGTTACTGAGGGAGGTAAAAATAGTATCTAGAGCTCTGGTGGAGGGATTGGCCTTAAATAGGAGGAGGGGTGCCTCTTTCAGAAAGAAAATAATTAATACAGCTGATGGTAAATTTTTACGTTGTTCAGCCAAAAGAATTATTTAAAATAGGATCATCTGCTTTAGGTTGGAGATATGTAGGGGGCGAGTCATAGGATCAAGATTTTGAAACAAAGAAAAATGCAGTAGTCATTATAGAGATTGAAAGAGAGGACTGATCAGAGAAGATTTATTAGACATACTTAAAGAATCAATTGGAATTGGAGATCATATGTTACAATGCAGTATGGGTCATATGAGCATGAATAAAATAATCCTTTGAATTGATCAGGCAAAGTTTGGCCAGATAGTTCAAGAAAAGAACAGCGGGACGATGGAGTTGAGTATATGGTGGTTTAAGAGAGGTCATTTGAACCTAAATTGGTTCACAAAGGAAGGGAAGATGGAAGAGGTTTCCAGAGAGAAAGTTGGGGGTGAGGGGTAAAAGGAACTAGAAGTCTAAGAATAGGTGTAGGAGGCGTTATTGAGGCCGACAACAGTTGTTTTTGTTGTGTTCTGGGGTTTTTGTTGTTTGTTTTTTAATTTCAGAGATAGAACAATCCTGGGTAATGTCATAGATCTGTGATGTGTTGTGTGAGTGTCTGAAATAAAGTTACGTCAAGATTATTGAAATTGAAGAAATCAAGGAACTGAAAAGCTGAAATTTTTTTAATGGTTGTCCACTGGCTATTGAAGAATTTGAAGCTAAACATTCTCATTCATTTCAACTTTTATTTAAGGAATTTATTTTCTGGTGCCCTTGCCTTCCTAATCATTCTTTTAGTTTCATATGAACCTGCTTCAATTTGTATAATTTCTTTTGAAAATAAATAGTGACCAGAACTGAATGTAGAATTTCAAGAATGTTGTGAGTGGCACAGGATTAGAGCAGTTATAGGTAACCATTCCCAAACTGTCTTGTTGAGATATTACTCCATGTTCCAGGAAAGGAGATTATCTTGTATCAGTCATTCACAGAACCTATATGCCCATCTAGTAATGAGACAAATATTGTAGAGGATGGAAAAGTGAGATATAGTGTGTTCTTTCATAATTAAATGTAATAATATGTATCTGAGGGAAAGTGGCAGAGTGGAAAAAGACAAAATCCAGGAGCAAGGAAACCTGGATTTTCCTGCCAGTAACACCTTTGTAACCTTGGTAAAGGTTTAATCTTAAATTACATTTTTCTTATTGGTTCCTTTTGATAGGTGAAGGCATATTTTTTTTAAGAAAATAAAAAGAATGGGGAGGAAGGAAGGGGCTTGTGAGCAGGTGTGGGTGTGTAAGAACAATAAAAGTTAGCAGTGGATGAGCAGTTGGAGAATTTGACCTGACCATTGAAAGATAATGATTAATTTGGTCATATTGCAGGCATGCAAAATACTGAGAATAATATGACAAGTTTTGTGTATCTACAGCCCATTTTTTGTCTTAACATTTCATCATAATTGTTCAGATGTTTTTGTAATTTTTATTAAGAAACAGATTGTTACCAGTACAGTTGAAGCCCTCTATAAACCCTTTCCTGGACCCATTCCCACCCCTTCATTAGAGGTAACAACTATCCTAAATATATATATTTTTATATTTTTGTATTTTACTGATACAAATATATCTATAAGGAATATATTTAGAATTCTTTTGTATACTTTGAAAGTTTACAAAAATGGTATCATGCTGTACATATCATTTTGCCTGTTTTTTGCTCAGCATTGTTTTTGAGGTTTAGCCATATAGCTCTAATTCATTCATTTTAACTGCTTTAAAGTATTCCATTGTATTACTGTTCTATAATTTATTCATCCATTCTCCTATTGATGGACATTTAAATTGTTTCTAGTGGGGGCTTTGCTATTATAAAGTATACTGCAACACCCATACCCATTGCCGTCATTGAGTCGATTTCGATTCATAGCGACCCTGTAGGCCAGAGTAAAACCGCCCCATAGGGTTTCCAAAGAGCAGCTGATGGATTCAAACTGTTGACCTTTCGGTTTGCAGCCCAGCTCTTAACATCTTTATGTATGTTTCCTTTTGTGCCTCAGCGAAAGTCTGCAATGTGGAATTGCTGGATCATAGGGCATGCACATTTTCAACTATATTAAATGTTTCCAAAACTTACACTCCCACCAGTGATACATGAAGGAGCCAGTACTTGGTTCTTACAGTACAATTTGATGACTCTGATATGATTATTTTGTTGTTGTTTTAATTGGCATGTTCTTGATTTCTAGTTTAGTTGAGCAGTTTTTCAAATGTTTATTGTTCATCCAAATTTCTACAGTGAGTGATCTTTACTCACTTTTGTTTTATTTCTCTCTTTTTTATTCACTTTTTTTTACATATTATGGATGCTAATCCCATTTCGGTTATATGAATTACAAATCCCCTCCTCCGAGGTTGAGGTTGATCTTTTCATTTTCTTTGTAGTATCTTTGTTTTGGACAAATTTTAAATTTTAATGTACTCAAAAGATATTCTCTGTTTTTTTCTATAAATTTTTAAAGTTTTGTTTGGTCTTTAGCACACTTAGAATTTATTTTTGTAAGTGTTGTGATGTACATAATTGAGTTTTTTTCTTTTTCTCCTATTTGGGTAGCCAGTTGTCTTAGTAGCATTTAGTGAAAATTCTATCATTCCATTAACTGATAATGTTTCTAATGATTTTTATCATTCTTACTGGTCTCTTCAAGGTTTATGAAAATTATTCATTTGAAGAACTGCGTTTTGCATCACCAACTCCTAAGAGGTAAGGATCATTTTCTCAAAGCATAGCCAAAACATGTGTTATCAACTGCTCGCAGCTAAAATCTTGCTGTATTCCAACTTCACTGTCTGTAAATATATATTTTATAGCATTAAAAAAAAAAAAAATTCCAGTAGAGATTTTCTACATATTTAATAATGTGTAGATCCACAGATAGAATATATTTATATTCAACTGAAATATTGTCGATATGATACATGATACTTAGGTAGTAGAGAAAGAATAATTAGTATCTGAAAATGTATAAAGTGGTTTAGAGTTGGTTGATTTGCTTGGGTTTTATTTTTTTCTTTTTGTTGGTTTTATTTTGTTTTTGTTATTTTTTCCAATATTCTTTTTCTCTGTCTCCCAATGAATTGTAGAGAGATTTCAGTGTGTGTTGTGCTTGTGTTCTGTTGTGTTGTCTCAGTTTTTTAGCCCCTGACTAATTCTGTTAACTCCAGATTTAAGCAGACTATTTGACTTAGTATTTTATTTGTTTATTATAAGAAGTAATTTTTAAAATAGATGCATGGTCAAAATGATTAGATGGATTATACTATTGGAGAGACCACCTTCACAGAAAATTTTAGAAGAAGTTTTGCATTGAATCTGAAAAGCATAATTACTTACAGATTTCATTGTATCACATGACATTAGAAATTAACTGATGACTTTGAGTTTATTTTGGCATATAGCAAAATGGAATTTTAATGCTCAGTCTAGAAAGTTTTCTGTCAAAATATTTAGATTTTAAGGATGTATATTTGTCCAGTAATAGGGAAGTAGCATCTTGTCTCTGGCTTAATCGTAGTTCTAAAATTTCCTCTATAATAGAAGCATATGACTTTGTAAATAAAAATGATTTATAGCATGTTAATCAAGAACAAATTGACCATTTTCCAATAGATACTTTTATATACACTGAACATTTTGCATCTAATTAAAGTTATCTCATGTCTAAGTAAATTCATTTATTCATTCAGCAAATACTGTTAAGCACCTGCTATATGGGAGGCACCGTTACAGGCTCTGGGGTACAGTTATGAACAAGATAGACAAGGTGCTCATTCTCTTGGAATTCACATTCCTGTGGAAAAACAAACTTTAAATAAGTAAACAAAATAGTGGTAATAAATAGGGTTGTTTGACACAGAGTGATGGGAGAGTCAGGCTACCAAAGTATTAGATGATAGGAGAGGCCTGTTTGAGTAGGTGTTGTTTGAGTGGAGAGCTAGATGGTAGGTGGCCATTTAAAGACCTGGGGAAATTTCATTTAGGTAGAGAAAACCTGCAGTGGGTGGAGCTTGATTTCTTTGAGAAACAGAAAGATAGTGAGCAAGGGGGAAAATGATCAAAGTTGCGGTCAGAGAGCTAGACAAGGGCTATGTTATATTGCCCAATCTATGGACTGGTAATATACTGATACGCTAGGCTAAGGAGTTTAGATTTATTTCTAAGCAAATTTATTTGAAGGGTTTTAAGCAGGGCAGTGCTTAATCTGATTTATAGTTTTTGAAAGATCATCTGGCTTCTCTGGAGAGTGAATTGTAGGAGAGCAAGAATGAGAACAGATGAGTTAGGAAGCTATTACACTATTTTAGAGACTATTAGGAGGCTTGGACTGAGAATGGAAGGAAGTTAGCAGTGGAGATGAAGACATGTGGATAGATATGGGATATACTTACAAGGTAGAACCATCAGCCATTGCTGCTAAAATGGAAATAGGAAGTAAAGGAAAGAGAAGGAATCTATATACACCCACTCCTCACTTATCAACATGGTTAGGTTCTGAAGACCAGGGCATTACGTGAAAGTGGAGGATAACCACATCAGACTACAAAATGGAGGATGACTACATTGTTACATAACTGCCAAATTACGTCATTACATAACTGCCAAGCAACTGAGAATCATGGCTCAGCCAAGTTGACACGTAATCTTAACCATCACAGCCAGCGTTACTCTCGCCTCACACCTCAGCATTTGTTAACTGCCGCATGTACATTGTTAATATGCAAAATAGTCGGATAGTAGATTTTTTACTATTGTCGTAAATGTGACGTGTCAGATAATGAGATAGTTGGTAAGTGAGGAATAGGTGTATTGTCGGTGGCTGCTTTTGTACGACAATGGTTAGAGTTGTTTGACCCAAAAGCCTCTACTGACAGCTGGTAGAGATCATCCTGACTTTTACAAGAATCAGCAGCCTGAGGAATGAGTAGATGGTTTTAGTTCTGTTTTGTTTTGTGCGGGGATAAGGTCACTGGGAAATAACTCTTCTTTGGATATATTAAAATTGAGATGCCAAGGTGCATTTTAGCTATCTAAGTGGAGATAGTAAGTAAGCAACTGGAAACATCAGTTTGAAACTGAGCAGAGAAATAAACTTGGGAATCGTAGGGATAGTATTTAAAACTGGGCATAGTTGAATGATTAGGGAAAAAATGGTATGGAAAGATAAAGGAAGATCTAGACACAAATCCTGGGGCATTCCTTAATTAAACAGTGGTTAGAAGCGGTGGAGCCAAGAAATGACTGAGAAGGCCAGTGAAGTAAGAGAACAACCAGAAGCAAAAAAAAGGTAGCATTTCAAGAAAGTAGGAGTTGTCAACTCTCAAATGCATCAGCAGTTGCAGTGAAGTGGTAGGTACAAAAGCCTACTAGGGTAAGTTGTAGAAGATAATTGGAAATGAGAAAAGAGAGAGGGTGATTGCAGATGAGTCTTTATGTAAGTTTTGATATAAATGGTAGAAGAGAGATCTTATTGGAGAGGGCTACAGTATCGGGAGAGGTGTTTATTAAGGTGGGAGATTCTAAAGCTTGTGTGCTAAAAGAAATGATCTAGTAAAGTAAGAAAAATTGATGCGTGAGAGGGAGCAAAGTGTTGTAGAATGGAAGTCTTGGAAGGAATGAGATTCACAGCACAAGTGGAGTGGCTGGCTTCCTTTGTAACAGGAGAGAAGGCGGGGGAAGGTAGGTTTATAAATGTGATTGTGACTTTGAGGTTGTTAATATCTGATTGGTTCTCTTTTCTCACTGAAGAAAGAGGTAAGGTCATGATTAGCTGAGAATGAGGGAGAGGGGGTAATGGAGGTGTGACGTAAGGAAGAAGAAATGAAATTGAATCATTTTGGAGAGTAGGAAAACATACAGGACAGTAGGATTGCTAGACAGTATAATAATACAAACAGAAATTAAATGTTTATTAAAATATCTTAACAATTGTGTCAGCTGTTTAACCAAAAGTAAAATTTCCAATATCCATCTTAATATCTTTTCAGACCAAGTGAAAATATGCTGATTCGTGTCAATAACGATGGCAGTTATTGTGCGAACTGGACTCCAGGAGCTATTGGACTCTACACTATTCATGTTACCATCGATGGCATTGAAATAGGTATTTTATTTTTTTAAGTTGTGAGTCACTTTGTGCAAAGATCTAGAATCAAAATCAACTTTCTCTTCTAGTTTTGCCACTTAACTACTGTCATGGACATAGACAGGTTTCATAACCTATTTGAACTCTGTTTCCTCTTTTATAATGAGTATTTAATTGGTGCATTCCTAAGGTCTTAAAATTTTGTAATTATTATGATGCCAGTGCCATGACTCCTTTCCTCAATTCCGTAAGGAATCTCCTCTGTGTTGCTACATTACTCTGCCTACCCAGTCATCCCTCATGATATATCTGCCTTCCTCTCCTGGCTGTGAGCAGAGACCATCTCATTCCTCTCTGAATTTTCAGTCTAGCTCAGTGTTTGTCACATACTGGCTGCTCAGTAAATACTATTGAATTAATGATTTTTCTTTACCCACTACTAACTTTTGAAAAGCATATTGCTTTTACTTTGGGCATTAATCTTTTTCTTTCCTTTATTTTTAAACTCTGTATAACTAGACAAAAATAGAAAAAAAATTCTACATAATTGCTTATCGAATGTGTATTTTTAGAACACTTACCTTCCAGATGCTCCTCAAGAAAAAATGTTCCTATGATCAGATAGATTTAGAAAATCTAGTAGTCATACCTAATAGCCTTAGATAGTCATACAATGTATATTAACATATTAGGTACTCGGAAAAGTCCAGAAATTAAGAATCTTGGCTAACTTCGTTTAATCCTTATAATGGAACCTCTTGGGTATTGGGGAGAAGGACACTACATAGAGATAGAGGTAACACTGATAAACATTCCACCAAAATACCCTTTGGGTACTATGCTTTGTAGTGTATTTTGCAGTAAGGGTAAAAAAGTACTTTTATGTAACCATATCGAATATACATTAACATTACTGAATGGAAATTAAATTATAAAAAGCATGGAAAAAAGAAGATGTAGAGAATACACAGAGTAACTATACCAAAAAGAATTGGTTGATGTTCAGCCATTTCAGGAGGCAGCGTGTGATCAACAACTGCTGGTACTAAAGGAAGAAGTTCAAGGTGAACTGAAGGCACTGGTGAAAAACAAAGCTCCGGGAACTGATAGAATACCAGTTCAGATGTTCTAACAGATGGATGCAACACTGGAAGAGCCACCTGGCCAACCAGCCAAAAGAGATCCATAATTGTGCCCATTCCAAGAAAAGACAGCCAGTTGGAATGTGGAAATTATCAATGTCGTTAATATCACGTTAGCAGAATTTTGCTGAAGATAATTAAAAAACAACTGCAACTGTGCATAGACAGGGAACTGCTAGAAGTTTCAGCCAGATTCAGAAGATGACATGGAATGAGTGGTATCATTGCTGATGTCAGATTAATCTTGGCCAAAAGCAGAGAATACCAAAAAGATGTTCACTTGTGTTCTTGACTATGCGAAGGCATTTGACTATGTAGATCGTAACAAATTATAGATAACATTATGAAGAGTAGGAATTTCGGAACACTTAATTGTGCTCTTGTGGAATCTGTACACGGATCAAGAGGCAGTCGTTCAAACAGAATAGGAGATACGGCCTGGCTCAAAATCAGAAAAGGTGTGCGACAGGCTTATTCTTTCTCCATACTTATTCAAGCTGTATGTTGAATAAATAGTTCATGAAGCTGGACTGTATGAAGGAGACAGCGTCAGGTTTGGAGGAAGACTCATTAACAACCTGCGATATGCAGATGGCACAACCTTGCTTACTAAAAATGAAGATGACTTGAAGCACTTACTGATGAAGGTAAAAGACTACATACAGCCTTCAGTATGGATTACACTTGAACATGAAGAAAATGAAGGTCTTCGCAACTGGACCACTAAGCAACATCATAATATATGGAGAAAAGAGAAAAAAATTGATGTCAAGGATTTCATTTTACTTGGATCAACAATCAATTGCCCATGGAAGCAGCAGTCAAAAAATCAGATGGCATATCGCACTGAGAAAATCTGCTGCAAAAAAAACCTCTTTTTCAAGTGTTGAAAAGCAAACATGTCACTTTGAGGACTAAAGTGTGCCTGACTCAAGCCCTGGTCTTTTCGATTGCCTCACATGCGTGTGAAAACAAGACAGCGAAAAAGGAAGACAGAAGAATAATCGATGCATCCAAATTGTGGTATTCATAAAGAATATTGAATATACCAGGGACTGCCAAAAGAGCAAACAAATCAGTCTTAGAAGAAATGAAACCAGAATAATCCGTAGAAGTAAGGATGGTGAAACTTCATCTTACTTGCTTTGGACATATCAGAAAAGACCAATCCTTAGAAAAGAACCTTATGTTTAGTAAGGAAGAGGATCTGCAAAAACAAAGGTAACCCTCAGTGAGATCAACTGACATAATAGCCACAACAATGGGCTCAAACATAACAAAGATCATGAAGATTGTGTAGAAGTAGGCAACATTTTGTTCTGTTATACCTACAGGGTTGTCATGAGTCATAGCCGATCAATGGCCACAAACAACAACAATATACAATCAGATATATCAAATTTATTTGTACCATTCCACCTACCTTTATCCACAACCTTTGCTCTTCCCTGCTTTATTTCAGCATATCCACAAGGCTTTTAGTTCAGCAAACATTTGTTGGTTATGTGTAAGACATTGTTTTAGGTAAGACAGTTCCTATCTTCAAGTGTTAACAATTTACTGAGGCCAAATAAAATCAAATGAAGTAGAATGTAAGTAACAACACATAAGAGGTACATATTACAGACAGGATCCAAAAGCAAAGCAGAAGTACCCAAGAATGGCTTTATAAAGGAGATTTTTTTCCTCCAAAAATTTTAGCAAGCATAGGGTTTTTGTTTTTTTTTTTAATCAATCATCTCTAATAGTGGAATGAAGGAAAATGATACAAAGGAGATAAGAAAAATCCACTTACAGTGTATTTGTTTTTTGGAATGAGGCTGAAAAAAGTGATTCACATTTGCTTTTGTAATCATATATTTTCTTCCTTCCATTCCTAACTCAACTTCATCCCAAGGTAACCAAACTGTCAACAGGATGGGCGCTCCCTTGACTATAGATAATAATTCACTAAAATAATGATAATATTGATAGTTTATTGAATAACGGTAATTTATTGAAGGAGCCCTCGTGTCACAGTGGTTAAGCTCTCAGCTGCTAACCAAAAGGTCAGTGGTCCAAACCCAGCAGCCTCTCTGCAGGAGAAAGATGTGGCAGTCTGCTTCTGTAGAGATTACAGCCTTGGAAACCCTATGGGGCAGTCGTACTCCGTTCTGTAGAGTCACTATGAATTGGAATCGACTTGACAGCAATGGGCTTGGGTTTTCTTTTGTTTAAATATTTATTGAATGCTTAATATATGTCCAGCATTATTCTCAGCACTTCTTGTATATTTTAAATCACTTAATTCTCTTTAACTCTCACAACAGCCCAGTGAGGTAGGTGCTATTAATGTTCCCACTGTAGAGATAAAAAAGTTGAGGTACAGAGTCAAACGCTCAGTGGCAGATGTGGGAGTAACCTAGGCAGTCTGATTTGAGAAACCCAGCTCTTAACCACCATAGTACGCCGCCTCTCAGTCATAGAGATGAGTGGTATAGATGATGAGTATCTGAAGTTGTCAGATAACATTTAATCACATGAGGGTTTCTTTTCTTATTATTTTGAATTTTTTATTATCATTTCATGTTCTAGTCGAAGAGTGGGATCGCCTCTTTTTTCCTTGTACTCCTTAGACACCCCTTTCTAATATTTCTCTTTTTTAGCCTATCAAATTTCAATCATCATATAAAAGACAGAATTCAGAGATTTGTTTTAATTGCTTAAAACAGTCTGTGGATATTTATAAGATCAAGTTAAAGGATCCTCTCTCTCGCATTTTCTCAACTGCTACAGTTCCCTTCCTTTTCTTACAGATGCTGGCCTAGAAGTAAAAGTAAAAGATCCACCAAAAGGCATGGTACCACCTGGAACTCAGCTGGTCAAACCAAAGGCTGAACCTCAACCAAATAAGGTTAGGGTGGAATGAAATCAGAACTTGAATCGTTCAAAAAAATTTTAAGGGGAAAGTGCATTTTTATTCCGTTGATGCTTTAAGATGCCCGTCAAACATCTGATATTTTACCTGACTTCCGTATTTAAATTCTAAATATCCCTAAATAAGTTTGGAGGGTAGTTCATGGTGATGGTAATCATTTCTAAATTACGGAACTTGTACTTTTTGACTTGTTTGTATAATGTTGTAGTGACTTATAGGTATTGTATACCTTCTGTTAATTGAAATTAAAAAGCCTACTGAATTTTTTTGTATTAAGTTTTATTTTTGGTAGTACCTAGGGGCATTTTTTTAAACCTATAATTGGTAATTAGTGTAAAATTTTGAGGGTTAAAATATCCCATGCTATTAAAAGGAAAACTAATTTCCTAACATCTAGATAATAGGTATAGGAATTTTGGTAGACTGCTTTTTTAAAAAAAGATACAGGAAATGGAATTTGTATAGCACCTTTCTAAAGGGCAATAAATGACTCTTTTCTCCTTTTCATAGTATCTCTTCAAAGTTTGGGAAGAAGAAATATATATATATGAATAATTTTCTAAGTTTTTTCTTCAGCAAAGTACGTTTCGGTACTTAGAAAAATTCTGTCATCATTAGGAGTAAACCAGTTATTTTATAGAGGACAACCAACTACAAATAATTTTGGGAAACTTTCTCAAAAATATAGTATTTGAAATCAGTTTAATTTGATCTCTTCTTATAAGACCTCTACTCCATATTTTTCCTGTCTCACTGTCTATCTTTGCCTTTCTCAGGTTCGAAAATTTGTGGCCAAGGACAGTGCAGGACTCCGTATCCGTAGCCACCCTTCCCTTCAAAGTGAACAGATAGGCATAGTTAAAGTTAATGGAACTATCACTTTTATTGATGAGGTAATTTATTAAGAAACTTCTGGTAACAAAGTTTAGAAAGAAACTTTTTGCATTGTTTGAACAATAATATTATTAAATTTTCTGTTTGAATATATTTTAAGCAGTTCGGGAAATTTTGGGAAAATTGCTTTGTGAAATATATTGAGTGCAGTGGTTAAGCACTCTGGCTGCTAACCGAAAAGATTGGTGGTTGGAACCTGCCAGCCACTCTGCAGGAGAAAGATGTGGCAGTCTGTTTCCATAAAGATTTACAGCCTGAAAACCCTGTGGGGCCGTTCTGTTGTGTCCCATAGGGTTGCTGTGAGTTGGAATTAACTCGACAGCAATGGGTTGGTTTTTTTGGTAAAAAGTATTGATTGAGTTCAAAAATTTTGGTTATTTTTCTTTATTAATAAAAATAAGATTATATTTTGAGTATGAAATGAACAGTTAAGCATAGTAGTCAGAACCTGTGCAAGGACTTACTGGAAATGGGTGTAGCTTTTCATGAATTTTTAAAAATGTGTTTATTTTGTTACTTTTAACATTGGACAGTACACATTTCTAGTAACACAACTAAGTAACATCTGATTATTAAAATCTAAATTGAGGGACAAGGAAGATGCTTTGTATTTCTTTTAGAAAGCACCTGATTTTACTGTTTCAGCTATTTATCTTAACGTGATTTCTTTGTGCTTTCACAAGTTTTTTTGTTTTTTTACAATCTTACCATGTGAATTACCGTATTGCTTTGGCATTCCTTGCTGCTTTTTCCTTAAAGCTGCTCTCAAACTTACCTGCTGCAAAAACCAGATGCTTAATCTCCATGCCTGCCGTTGTTGGCCTGCTTTGCAGCCTATCGGCCCTTGCTAGCCTCACAGAAATTACAGGAGGGCATGGCTTGTTTTTGTTGCTTGTTTCCCATAGATCCACAATGATGATGGTGTATGGCTCAGACTGAATGATGAGACAATAAAGAAGTATGTACCTAACATGAATGGTTACACCGAAGCCTGGTGCCTCTCTTTTAATCAGCATCTTGGCAAGAGCCTTCTGGTCCCTGTTGACGTAAGTAAAAGGTGGTTTTAAAAAGCGTTATAGGTACACTCTGTCATTACAGAACTTTCTTTAATTAAGGCTTTTCAGTTCTGAGGTAAACCAACAACTAAATAACTTTTACTTTGTAGGTACTTAGACTCGTAAGGGCTTCTGTGTGTTGAGAGTAGACTTAGAGAGGCTAAGTTCTTTAATGCTTGTTATTATTCATCAGATAGAAAGTAATAAATTAAAACTAGGGCTAGTGAATTCTGCTTTTCACAGAATTAGGAAATGATAGTGACTGCATTTTTTTTTTTTCTTTTTTATTCACACTACTGTTTGGAACAAATTCCAAAGAAGATTCATGAACTCAATTATTATACATTCAAAAACATGTATGCTTCTTTTTTATGTTGGCATTTTGTAACTACTTCTCCATGTTTTAGTTTTAATTTTTTTGATTTATAATCTATTGTGTTAAAATAAGATGAATTTTTGGACTTACGGTGCTACAGGGTTTTAGTTGAAACTAAAGCCTAGTCTCTGAGAAAATTCACTGAACCTCTTTGATAAATGCAATAGAGTAGTTAAAGCCAGTACTCACAGTTATTGCTAAATATGATAGTATAGTAACTTACACCTCTTTTTATGATTTAACCAGAAACTTTTAAATTTTTCTTCTTTTTTATCACCATCCGATGTGTAAGCTCCTTATGACACTGCTAATAAAGAGCACTAGTAGAATTTCATTTAAAAAAAAAGCAGTACCTGAACCTTAGTATTTTAATGAGATGAATTTCTTAAAAATCAGTTTATCAAGTTAGCTTGTTATATCAAACCGTTCGATATATTGTGTTTGTTTTCCTCATTGAAAATCCAGAGTAATGTTCTCCCAAGGAATGAGTACATGGATAATTCTTTGTGGAAGAAAATATTGGTACTTCTGTTTATATTATTGATCTCATTCTTAGGTCCTTAATAAAGCATTATAGTAGATTATATTATCTTTCCCCCATTCCAAAATTTTCTGCTTAATTCCCTTGTTTGCCCATTCGAGGAGATGCTTTTGGAAGAGCAAGATAATTCACACAGATAAAATGAGAATAAACAAAGGTGGAAAGGAGTAGAAAAAAGTGCTGTGTGTTGAAGTTCGGAATTCCATGGTTTCATTTTGAAGCATTGGTGGTCTATTATTTGATGCTTTTAAACCTATCCAAAGAATAGTTTGTAATAGACAGTATTCCTCAAGCCAGGGAGAGAAGGGCAGTATCAAAGTTAAGTGAGAAAGTGAGCAATACAAAAACTTGTTGATGGTTTTCACTGCAATGTGGTTGACAATGTTGTCACTAATTTGAAAAATATAGATGTAGATTATTGAAGATAGAAAGTAAAATGAAGTGAGTTTATTTTTTTGATATTTTCAACTTTTTTATGTTAAAGAACAACATAAGTTCTGTTTTAATATAAATAGCACAGAACTGTCTCATAACATTAGGAAAGCAGAAATTCTCTGGTTCCTTTATTTTAAGGACTTGAAATCTTTGAAGTTTAAGGAAAGATGTCATTAGAGGAGGGAGAAATTAAAGATGTGGAAATAAGTGTACATTTGGAGAAGCTATTCCTATAAAGAAAGAAGGGATATGTATGGCAGTAGACAAGTTTTTAGGGAGGGAGAGAAGAGGCTAAGGACAATTTCCTTAAAATAGAAGAAAGGAAAGCTATTAACTGAGGATGAAAACAGTAAGAGTTAAGTTAGAGGGTTTGAAATATGGTGAAGATTTGGAATAATGCTTGAGAGAAATATGAGTGGGATCTGATCAAAAACAAGGAAAAAGATTATTGGGCCACTAAGGACCGAGTGAGACCATTGGGTGAACCCAGTCTGAACCCACGCTCTCCCGTAACCCTTAGTGTCCAGAATTAAAGGAGCAAAGAAAGCAGATGATAGCATTGGTTGAAATTTTCTGGGATACTATCACAGAAAAATATGGGTGAAAAAGAATTTCAGACACTGGTGAAAGATCACTTCAGATCATCAGCTGTGGAATGTGGCCTAAGTTAGAAATGTGAAAAGACAAATGGAGGCACCAAGGGATTTGGAGGACTTAATAAAGTCCTAGAACAATATGGTAAGTTTACTGTAGTGGAAGAACTGGAAGAATAGGTAGTTTATGTGATAAAAGTAGAATATTTGAATTCAATTTCATAGATAGAGCAGTTTAATGAATGAGATAGTCCCATATCTGGCCATGGGGGGGATAGCTGAAGTGGAGTGAAGGTGAAAGTTACTGGAATTGCCTAAATCTAGAAACGAAGAGGCTAGGCAGTTGGATGATCATCCACATGGACATGAAGACATGCAGGCTAATGGCAACACTGTGACCCACAAGGGTAAAAATGAAAGAGTTTGTTCACGTGGAGCAAGAATACCATCAGACATAATTTAAAGTCATAGAGGGCTGGAAATAGTTTGATGTTGGATCAGGGAGAAGCACAGAGCAGTTTTGGTATAAAAATAAAAGAACAGGTAGATGATATAAAGGGTTATGTTTTGGGTCAGTGTGGTGAGATTAACTGGCTTAGGGCTCCAAACACATCTGCTGTAAAGTGGCTTCAGTGCAGGCATTAGTTGAGGACCCACATAGAGTCAGAAGCTTGGCCTAGGCAGTAGAGGCTTAGTTTCCAAGGCTTTATCTCTAGGGACTGAGGCAGACATCTTATACAGTCAATAAATTTTTAATGAGTACATTATTCTGTGTAAGGCTATACATGATAAGGCATAGAAGGAAGAATGATTCCATCCCTCCTTTCAAGGAACTAACACAGTTAAATAATAATATCTCACTACCACTTTCTTTGCACCTCTTATTACATTTACTGCTGGAAAAACACTTTCTATCTGTTCTCTCTTCTTACCTTTAGTCTATTTGTGAATAAATCAACTGTAATTGTAAAACACTACTCAGTATAAAAATGAAAGCTGGGAGATTTGAAATAAAATTAGAAATAATCAAACCAGTGCCAGTAGCTTAAAAAGACTCAAAAGTACTGAGACATTGCCTTCAGTAGTCTTTATATCTACTCCTTTAACTTTTTCTAGTTAAAACAATTTTATATATACATTAGTGTGTGAACCTTATTTGGATCCTGACTCATACAAACTGGAGGCAAGGAGGGATTGGAAATTTCAGCACTGACTACTTGATAAACTATCAAAAAAAAAAAAAAGATTAGTATAAAAAGTATTTAGAATAAGTTTTAAAGTAACTTTTGTTGCACTGTCTTATTATATTGCAGAACAGTTGTTTTCATTGCAGATATGTACTTCAGCTAAATTTTGTCCTGCCTAAGCGATAGTTCCATTTAAACATCATTGCTGAAGAAATATTGATGTACTAACTTAATTAAAATGTGACTTTAACTCTGTTTTAGCATTTTAGTAATGTTGTAGTTTAGAGATTAAGTAGCATTAGGCATACACTCTGTGTCTGTCCATTTTTTAAAAATACTCTTTTAAATTAGTGGGAACGATAGGGATAAAAAGAATAAGAATGAAGATCCTTTTGGGGAGGGAGGAGCTTGTAGTCTATTAGGACTTTTTGCCCTTCTTTGAACATGCTGTTCAATTTTACATCTTAAAAAGAGTCTTTGTTTATATACTTTTATTTGTCTAGAATGCTTTCTCTTCCGTTTTCTCCTAACATTTTCCTAACTGACCAGGTTCAGATATTTTTGTTGAACTTTCTCTCTGTGCTTCTCAATAATGCTGTAGTCATTAATTCATTAGTTCTTCATAAAATAAACATTTAGTGAATTGGTCGATCGATCAATAGATAGATAGATGCCATCAACTCAACTCTGACTCATGGCAAACTTATGTACAACAGAAGTATAGGTTGCCCAGTCCTGTGTCATCCTCACAATGGCTGGCATGTTCAAGTCCATCGTTGCAGCTATCGTACCAATCCATTTTACCAAGGGCCTCCCTCACCTTCACTGGCCCTCCACTTCGCCCAACATGATGTACTCCTCCAGTGATTGTCCTTTCCGATGCTGTGTAAAAAGCGAGGAAGTCGGACAGTGTTCTGTTGTAATCCATAAGGTTTCCATTGGCTAATTTTCAGAAGTAGATAGCCAGGCCCTTCTTCCTAGTTTTTCTTAGTCTAGAAGCTCCACTGAAACCTGTCCACCATGGGTGACCCTGCTGGTATTTGAAATACCAGTGGCATAGCTTCCAGCATCATAGCAACATGCAAGGTACCACAGTATGACAAGTTGACAGGTGGTGGATTGAGTCCATAGTTTGTACTGAATACTAAGCTGGAAAGTGGGTGGTGGGTGGAGATGCAAAGGGAAGGGATGCAAAAATAAATAAGATAGGGCAGAGTTCTTGCTCTTAAGAGCACTCACTATGTAATGTGGTACATATATTCAAATAATTAAATTACAGTGTAACAAGTTATGGAATGGCTTCATTTAGGATGTGACATTTGACCTGGATTTTGAGAAAAAAGTTGCCAGGAAAAAGTGAAGGAATTTCTAGAAAAATATTCAAATATTCAAAGTTTGAGAGTCATGCTATGTTTGAGAATTGAGAAATAATTTGATATGGGTGAAGCAAAGGACTGGGGACAAGGAGCAGATAAGTACAAGGGAAATTAGGTTTCCCTCTCACTTCTCAGGTAGCACTTTGTCTATAAAAATGGAAAACACTACTTTCTCCAATTACGCATAATGTTGAGTTTGTTTTTCTTGCCTGCAGCCAACTTGTATTTTTATACCTCTTACTTCTGTTAAGTTCCTTAAGGACACATTAAGGATCCCTTCATACTCATTTGTTTCTTCTAAAATGTTAAATACTATGCTTGGCTCATAGTAGTCTTTCAACATTTGTTAGATACTTATTTTTAGTTCTTTGCATTTGGTATGATCACGTCCCTTAAAAAATAATTCCTAACACATATGTGCTCCTTACCTTAACTATCCCATTTAATTCTCATTGTGATCCTATGATGTTAAGTATATTATCATTATCATTTTTGCAATGAGGAGAGGTAGCTACTCACCCAGGTCACAGTAGTAAGTAGTGGAGCTGGTACTGGAACCCCAGTTGATGTGATTCCAAAGCCCATGCTTTTATGTTCAGTATGCCTTGCTCTAGTGGAGAGATAAGAACAAATATAAAAAGATAAAGAGTATATAACTATAAAAATCATGTTACTTTGGCTAGAACTATCCAATTAAGTAAATATGAATACTCATAACCTTAACGACTAAATGAGGATGAATTTCATAATATATTGAAAGTGAAATGGATCAGTCTTATTATGAGAACTGATTATGCATATGACACAGGAGACATTTAACTATCTAGAATTGAGAGCTTAATTTATTGAAAAAGTGAGTTTATTTTTATGATAGGCAGTGTTAATGATGTGAAACTTATTCTTTGGTAACTGTTGAAATTGAAGTCTTTCAACGTTGTGTGTATGTGAGAGATGCTGAGTGGAAGAGAAATTTTATATCAAGGAAAGTAGGTAATACATCAGTAAAAATATTTTAAGATGTTTTCTTATAATGCCCATATTATCTGAATTCTTACAGAAGCAACTTGGAACTCTGTCTTCATGCATTTATACAAACTACTTCTTACCTGTTTAAACTGATGGGTGTTCATCTGTAAAAACTATATTTATCTTTCTGAATTTTAGTGCACTGAAGATTTGGAGTAGAAATCAAAGTTACAGTTGGTAGTTTCTCTGATAGCAATACCCAGGGTAATTGGTAAAATAAGCAAGTGTTTCTTGCATTTTACGTCCAGTTTCATTCTTTTGGGGTACTTACTGATACCTGGCAGTCATAGCATTAACATACTCCAGATTTCTTGGCTTTGTTTTGTTAATAGGCTTGTGCGTGTGTGCATATAATGTGTTTTTTACTATTAATAAATATTAAGTGTTTACTTAATATAGCGTTAATAAGTGTGTTGGCCCTGGATGGTTGTAAAAAGTTTCATTTTCATACTTTACCTTGGTGGTTAAGTTTCCTAAACAGAATGAAATTATAAGTCAGTTAAACTAAAACACTATAATTGTATAAATGCTATGTTAATTTTCCTGAGTTATCTTTTTTTGCTTTGAAAATGGAAATTATTTTTATGACCATATAATATTCTGTTGTGTAGATACACCGCATTTTGTGTATCCACACTACAGAAAATGTTGTGTATCCACACAACAGAATATTATACCAAAAAAAAAAAAAAAACGTGTTGCCATTGAGTGAATTCTGACTCATAGCGACCCTATAGGACAGAGTAGAACTGCCCCATAGGGTTTCCAAGGTGGATTCGAACTGCTGACCTTTTGGTTAGCAGCTGTAGCTCTTAACCACTGCGCCACCAGGGTTTCCAGAATATTATATGGTCATAAAAGTAAGTGCCATAAGTTGATGGACATTTGAGTTGTTTTTACCTTTTGGCTCTTATGAATAATGTTGCTATAAACATTCGTGTACAAATTTTTGTGTGGTCATATTTTTATTTCTCTATTTGACCATTGAAAGGAATGAAGTACTAGTACAGCAGCAACATGAACCTTGAAAACATTATGCTAAGTGAGTCACAAAAGACCATGTATTATAGGGTTCCATTCGTATGAAATGTCAAAAACTGGGAAATCTGTAGAGACAGAAGGGTGATGAGTTGTTGCTTAGGGCAGACAGAACGAGGGTAGGAAGGTGATAACTAAATGGTACAGTGTTTCTTTTTGGAGTGATGAAACTGTTCTAAAATTGATGGTGGTGATAGTTACACATATCTGTGAATATACTAAAAATCATTGAATTGTACACTTTAAATGGGTGAATTTTATGGTACGTGAACTATATCTCAAAAAAGCTATTTTTTTTAATTATAATTTTTAGCTGTGCTTACATAGTGCAATTTTTTTTTTTTTTTTTTTTTTTTTTTGCATGAGCGTTATGGCATGTTTGATCACGTATTTTTGCCATAATACTTCATTACTTGGTTGGTCTCTTCTATGCCTTGAGAGATTATCAGCTTAGAGTTGCAATTTGGTGCTTGTTAATTTAGTTAGGTTTTTCATATGCTTTGATTTTGTGTTTTTCTTGATGCAACTTTTTTGCCTTTAAAATAGTCTTTCAGAATAAAATGATTTATTGTTGAGATTACATATATACATATATGTATGAATCTGTGTAATTGTAGAATATGAAAGCTCATTCATATATTTTCATAGTGAGAAATTAAGACTTTGAAGAAATTAATATTTTTCTGCATGTTCATATTTTTAGGCTAAAACATTCCTCAATTTTCAAAAGAAAACTATGGAAGTATCTCTTATTTTTAAATTCCGGCTTCCTATTTGGTGAATTTTTGATACTTGAGAAATTCAATTTTATTAAGACACCACATTTTAAAAATAATCTTCTTATAGTAAACCAGTGTGGACTATGAATTTTCTACAAAGGCAGAAAGTGTCAAATTTGAATCCACATATAGTTAACATAACAAAGTTGACTTTATTGGTGATTCATTACCTTGTATAGTAGTTACATCTGTTTCAAGTATCATTGTACATTTTATGGACGCAGGAAATACATTTACACATTGAAATAAAAGAGAGGTACAAGCTTTAAATATTGTCAGTCCCACATTATTTCTTCATCACTAACTTCATCTGTATTGCTTTTTGCATTTCATTTAATCTATAATAATTTATGCTAAAAATAAAAATTTTGATACTGTTTTATGTCAAAAGGTCTGCACCACTGTTTTCTTTGAAGGAGAAAAACCATTGAGCAAATACTCCACAAATTATCATGGATGTGAAGTAGCCAGTAAAGATCTTTTTTCATCCCACTTTTCCTAAAAGAAAGGACCTTATTCACTATTTTAAAATGTGGGGGGTTTGGGGATTTTGTTTTGGTTTACATTTGTTTGCAGGCATATTATTAGAAATTCATTTTTCCTGGTTTTTATATATCTTATACTTCAGAGTTAGCATATATATGCGTGTGTACGTATGTGTATCCACATCCACACATACACATATATGCATGAGGAAACAGAACTAGAGAAATAAATTCTCATTGTCTAAAATGGCTTATAAGTGGCTGGGAATGTGATGTTTCCTGATGTCTTGGATGGTGATATTTTTTAGTAATATTTTGAATGTTCTCTGTTTTGTTCAAAAGAACTTTGTACCACAGTGTTTACATAAGCAGTAAAATTGTGTAATTGCTACTCATTGGAAGGATTTTAATTTCAGATCAGATAAATACAGATTAATAGCATGATATATCTATGTAAATGTATCATTTAAACTTGCATTAAGATATTTTATGAATATGTTATATTTCTGGGATCACACTGCTGTGAAATAGTTGTTCTTTATCAAAATATTTTTAGACTTTAACATCTTAAATGCTCTGTGAATTTCCTAAACTTTGAGTGGAGAAAACTAGGCCTGTCCTTTGATAAAAAAATTTTGTGTTGTATCTTTTTCTTAACAAATTTTCAAATAGCTTTCAGTAACATTTCCAAACGAATTTTTTTCTCTTTTATGAAGGGGAGGAAAATTGAAAAATGACCTAGATTTTTTGTTGTTTTTTTTTTTTAACTTTTTTTAAATTTTTATACCTTAAAAATTGATAACTAGTTCACATATAGTACATGCCATTATTATTCATAGTAATAGCATTATTTCTACACTATAATATTCACATTTTCTTTATAAAACAGCAGACTGTTTTCTGTCATAAAACAAATCTGGCTTGTATTAGAACAGAAACTTCTTCAGTTAAAGGAACTTTAAGGTTTCCTTCTTGTATTGACTGTCTTAAGCTTTATAACAATGTCTGGCTCTTACTTTTAGCAAATGGCATGACACACTATATTCATGAAGAGCTTTTGACAAAAATTTTACTTTATCAGAATTTCTTTGGTATGTGGTTTACTCAGGTGGCTTCAGTTTCCGTTTAGTAAAATAATGTTTCAGTGTTGGTGCTAGAGTACAGAAAAATGTTGGTACTGTGAACGCATCTTCTGCAGATGATACTCTATTCCCTTTCTTTGTTGATCTCTCTCTTTCTTAAACTTTGTTGCTTAGAATATCTTTAATGCTAGCCAAGGAGTCAGGGATTTGGACGTATTTTCATGGACTTCCAAAGCCTTTTTCCCCCAGGTGAGTTAACTGTAAGGAACAGTTATACATTATTCAGATATTTCAGCATGTATAACAAATTTTACATTGTATCTTTTGAAGCCTTTGCTTAAGATTAATAAATTATTTTTTTATGGAAAGAAAGATTTATCTGTATGATGTGCTATGATTGTTTCTTCACTATTCCTTTCCCCTTTATCCATTTCACCTCTACTCCTGGTAAAGAATATATTGTTAGTGTAAGTTAAACATTTACATGATTTCAGATTTGTAAGATTTAATTTTATGACCAGTTTCTCCAGCAGGAACATCCAAGTCTAGCTTTTTCAGAACTAGCTTGTTTAGATGGTGGTATCCAAACCCCTTGACTCTTGTGTTTTTCCATTGCCTGGCCTTTTGCATTGCCTTTTTGAATGTTCATTTGAATATGAGGTGGGAATGAAGGGAGAAAAAAATAATATTGAAACCTATCAATTTTAGATACTGGTCGTCAAGTCTCACATTTCTATATTGAATAAAACATATATTTTAGGACTACTTGAGAGTGACAGGCACAGGTATAGTATTTTATATCCATCAGTTATTATTCTGTATACTATAAAAATTAGGTAAACTTCATTTTATATTTATTAATTTATATAGATTTATTAAGTATTCAATAAAATATTAACTATTGTGATAAAAGTTTTTCTATGTTGCCTTTCCATGAATAGTTTGCAGTTATTATTAGTTTTTACCAAGACTTAATCACCCAGTGTTACCCTAAATGATCAAAAGTTAGAATTACTATTATAACTAATGAAATGTTCTAGGAATATTATTAAATGTCAGTGAAATTATTTTTATTGCTAAATGCGTATACATTTACTTGTTAGTTTAACATGTCATACCATGTAATTTTTTAACAGTCAATAGTAAATGGGACCAAAACTTGCCACGTCCAACTATGAAATGGCATAATGTATTTACTAAAATTGATCATTCACAAATACACATTTTAAAATGTTTTTACTAACAATGTTGTGAGTGTAGTAGTACTATTTAAAGTTTATATCTGTCTTACTCTCTATTTTCATTTTGGGTGCTCTGTGTATGTTCATGTAGTTGTTCATATATGTAAAATTTACAAATATACATACATATGTATATGAAGTAAATATTTAAGATTTATTTTAGATGTAAATCTAATCTAAATTTTTCAAGTATTTCAATTTTTTTTTTCCATTACATTGCCAAGATATAACTAAAAAATGTTGGGTAAATACTGTATGATAATTTTAGTAAGTGTAAATTAAATATTATCCACAATAAATATTTGTATAAGTAAAAACTGATGATTATTCATCACCACAATGAGATTTGTAAAATACTATGTGAAGGCTAATAGTAGGTTTAAAATTTTCCATGAGCAGCCATATATTGAATTAACAAAGTCTAAGGTGCACAGAAGTCTTGAATCTACATATTATTTAATCTCGGGATTTATTTGTTTTTTATTTTCTATTATGTATATGGACATGTATACGTACCTTTTAGTATGAGACTACTTATAGGCATAGAGCCAGTCAGTAAAATTTTTTTTGCATATGTTAGTTTCACTTTTTTTATTCTGTTCATAACATTATTAAGTATTATTTATTTTTAACTTAGTGTTCAAGTAAGTGTCCCATTATGATCATATTTTGCTCTATTTGAATCTAAAGCAATTTGTAGAGAACCATCTGTATTACAGACTACTGTATTTAAAAGTGAAGTTTAAAAATCTGTTTTAAAAGAATAATAATGGCAATAGAAGAAGCCCCAGTGTGGAACATTTATTTGCATTTAGTTGGAAAGGAGAGCAAATATGGGCAGGTTATCTATTACTTCTCTTTATCACATTCACATAGGAAACAATTTATCACAGCATTCAGATTCAACAGGAGATTTAGATCAAGTTCTTTTCTTCCATTTTAGAAGCTACTCTCATATCCAAATGCATTTTATTTACTTAAAAATGCATCTTTAATGTTGATCTCTCCTCTCTACTAAAAGTATAGTCATTTTTGTTTTCTGTTAATAGCATTAATATGTAATTGTGTCATCATGGCCTAGGAAATCTAGCAAGACATTTGCATTTGCACTATATTAGAGTGTGAGTTGTTAGAATCTTATGAGCATTTTTATTTCACTCATAAACAGTAAATAGTAAGATGTGGCTATGTTTTATGCATGTTTTTCATTATTGCTATCTCTGAAGTCTCAGAGTCTTCAAATTTGTTTTCTTTTTTTTTTTTTTAATATTATCTTTTTTTAATAAATATTACAGACAAAAGTGGGAGAGAATGAAGATTTAGGCTTTTTTGCCCATACCAACATACAACAGTGCAGTAATAATGATTCAGAATTATTCAGTTGTGGTTCACATAGTGAATTATTTTTATTTCCTCTACTGTTGAATATTGCATTAAAAGATAAAAGTAAAGTCAGAGATTATTGTATTTCTCAGATTGTGGTGGGCAAAAACCAGAGGTTCAGTTACTCTCCTGCTGTATTTTCTTCCCTTCAACTTTTTAAAATATTATTCAGCATTGAAAAACAAAGATTTTTTAATAGTGGTATTGACTAATACTTAGTTAGCGTTAGATATCATGTACTTTCTTTCTTAATCTACAGTATGTAGACTTGCTTTAAAAGCTATTAATAGAAGAATTTTGAAAGGGATAATAGATTGTGTTTTGTTTATTTTCTTTCTCCTATTCAAATTTTCAGGAACCTAAAACTAACACTGATGACTTTTTCAAAGACATAAACTCCTGCTGCTCACAGGAAGCAACAATGCAAGAACAGGATATGCCATTCTTGCGAGGAGGGCCAGGCATGTACAAGGTAGTGAAGACAGGACCTTCAGGTCACAACATCAGAAGCTGCCCCAACCTTAGAGGTATCCCAATTGGAATGTTAGTTCTGGGAAACAAAGTCAAAGCAGTGGGAGAGGTATGGATTCTTGTAGCTTCATGACTTCTAAGATATTCATTTTAATGTAATATAACCAAAGCATCTCTTCCTTCAAAAGGTTGCCATTTCCATCCCAGGATGGAAATCCATCTCCAGTTTTTTAAACGTTAATGTTCTTTATCTTCATTTGTATCGGAAATACTAATGTTATTTTTCTATGCTTCTTTTCTAATAATTGTATTTTTTTAATTATCCTTGTGGAAACAGTATTTATATTAACAAAATGATTTGTATTGTATAGATAATTGTTCAGTTTTTGCATGCATCTTTTTAGCATTACAGATGTACTGTACTGTCATGGATTATCAGCACTTTAAAATATTTGATATGAATTGGTATGAAAATTGATCATATGACAAAGGGTTTCATGTCTTTGTTCCCATTCATATGTCTCACTGAAGTCCTGAGCAAATAAAATGACTATTGATTCCACTGTGGTGTTTGCCTCAGCAGATAAGCTTGATGATGTAGTGTGTCATGCTATTTCTCAGTGTCAGGGTCATTTTCAAGTAGCACCGTCAGTACCATCAACCTAAATAATAGAGAGTATGTTGTGGTAGGACATTCTAGGAAGAAAAAAAAAAAAAAACAAGTGTTTCTGGATAACACTTAAAATTTCTTAGGGATTATCTTTGTGGTTTAAAAATTATTATTATTTTACCAAAATCATAAGTAAGCAGCATTTTAGAGAACTTTTCATTGATTTCTGTCTTACCTCAGGCTGTGGTCTTAATTTCAGAAACTAATGTCATGGTAGAAATTTATTGTGATAATTACACTAATCAAACACTTAAGCTTTGTACTGGTTTTCAGCCCAAAAGCCCTAAAAGAACAAAGCCACTCAATCGTGCTTTTTGTTATGTACCAGGTAACCAATTCTGAAGGTACATGGGTGCAGCTGGATAAGAACAGCATGGTAGAGTTCTGTGAGAGTGATGAAGGAGAGGCATGGTCCTTAGCTAGAGACAGAGGCGGCAACCAGTACCTCCGACATGAAGATGGCAAGTTCGCTTAAATTTGTGATTTATTCCAATTAACCTTTAAAATGTCAAAATTCAATGTATTATATTTCTTTTGCCTTAAAGAGCTTTTTCTGTGTTTCTTTTTTATATAAAACCAAAATTAAGGGTTAAAAAATTGTGCAGCTTTAAAATTGGTTTGTAAAATACATTGGTACTAAATGAATATACATGAGACAAAAGAATGAAAAGAAAATGTGAAACATGAATCCATATTTACAAAGCATGAATTCATATACCTCATTCTGTGCCAGGCTACAACTGAACATTTTACCCATTCTGCCACTAAATGGAAGTTCAGTTTTCAATCCACCAATCACAGTACTTCTCCAATGCAGTTTCATCCAATTTAATTTTGTGTCGGAGAAGGAGCATTGAACAAATGCGTAGCATCTTTGTGTAGTTTCCTATTTTGTTGTTAGACTTTCAACTTTAAACTTTATTCTACCTTTTTAAGCTTTCTTTTTTCTTTTTAAGAGCTGACTGGGGTAAGGTCAGATAAATAAAAGAACATGTTTCTTTATCCAAAAGATAATAAACTTATAATACTTACTATCCAAGAGGCAATGTGGCCAGAAATATAAATTTATCAAAAAATATTTGAAACTTGCATAAATGACATAATTTAAATACATTATCTCTCTTTTTTCTTACAACAGAGCTTTTTGAGGTGGATAATATAATCCTCATATTGACAAAGAAACTAAAGTTCACAGAATTTAAAATGACTTGCCTGTGATCATACATGACAGATATAAGACTTGAACCAAAATCTTCAGCATATTTCAAATGCAGTGCTCATTACACCGTACTACACTGCATCAGTTATCCATTGAACACAAATTATGAATCTGTCTCCCTTGTCTTTACCAAATAAACTACTTAGCCTAAGATAATGTGGTCGTAAAATAGTGTTCTGAGGTGGTAAAACTGTTCATTATATTTTAAACAAGAAAAATGCTTCATTTGAGGTAAATCAGACATTTTACAAAATAACCTTTTTATTTACTATATACTTAATATACATTTATACATATTTATTACATATTCATAAATTTTAAAGCATTTTTCCTTACATAGGATTAAATCTGTTGCCACCAAGTCGATTCCAACTCACAGTGACCGTATAGGGCAGAGTAGAATGGCCCCCATAGGGTTTCCAAAAAGCAGCTAGTGGATTTGAACTGCTGACCTTTTGGTTAACAACCATAGCTCTTAAGCACTGTACCACCAGGGCTCCTACGTGGGATTAGTCCGGTATAAATGAAAATACTTAAAGTGAATCAGCTTTGTGTAAGAAGTAGTTAAATAAGATGAACACTTATAAAACCAGAGAATGGCTCAGGTGACCCTCCAAGGACCTTTCTAGCGTAATAATTATTTTAACTGGCAATATAGTATAATGTGTAAGAGTAGACTCAGCCTGCACTGCCAGGGTACAAATCATGCCCTTCAACTTGTTAGTTGTGTGACCTTGGCCAAGTAACTTAACCTCTCTTGGCCTTGGTTTTTTTCATTTGCAAAGTGAAGATACCTCTAAGGCTGATATGAAGATTAAAGAGCAAATAAACTATAAAGCTGGCAGGTGGTAAGACTAGCTACTGTTAAAGTGTAAAATGCCCTCCATGCTATGTAAGAAGTTTTACCATGGAAAATTATATTTGCATAAACTTAGAAAGTAGAAGGTTCTTCTAAGATAAAATTTACTTAAATTGGAATATCGTTTCTGGAGAGATACACGTTCATACCTAAAAGAGCTTTAAGAAAAATTTAAATTTCTTTCTTAGTAGCTAATGAGCTTATACTCTTTTGAGATATATATGTATATATATGGTTATAATGTGAATCTCAATGTTTTCACATTAAACCTGGGATGATAAATAAGAAATTAATAAGAAGTTAGTACCTTAAAATCATTAGGATTAATTGATGGGCTATCTAAACAGTCTGCTCATTGGTATTAATATATAACTATTTAATATGGAAATTAGAGGATTTGGCACTATGGTAATTTATTTATATGAAGTAGTATAAATAAAGCAAAAACTTTTTTCTTTGTAAAAATTCTTTATTGGTCCTTGATTTCTGTAGATAAAGCTAGTAGGCAGTTACTGCTGTGGTAAAATAGGGACTTCATGTTTGTTACTAGACCGTTCTGAGTCTAGAGAGTGAGAGCGATGCTGTCTTTTCCGTTCAAATTACTGTTCACGTGTGTATTCCAGCACTGCTAAAGTATCTCATACATGCCTAAGGGAAGTGTTAGGATTTTTTTTTTTTTTTTTGAAAGACATCTACAAATGCTGATAAAGGGATAGACTTTACAGCACCATTGAAACAGCAGAATTCCAGTTTACAGACAGGAGGAAAACACTCCACCCCATTCTTCCAGTTCCATTTTCTGTTTAAAGGGATATCAACTTTTAAAAATACATTTAAAATATTTCATTATTCATCATGTCATTTTAATGGAATAAACACCTTTTACTCCCTATTACCTTTCATTGGACAGATTTTATTTTGTGTTTTTTTTTAAGCTGGCATTAGTATGGCTATTAATCTATGGTATTAGTGTTTTTAATATTTTATCAGACAAAATCTTACAGCCACATGACTTCTAATAGGTAATTAACTTAGGTTACCTATTTTCTGTGTTGCATCCTGCCATTTGTAAACTGGATAAAATATAGGATGTCCATTTTTTGTTTATAAAATGTTCTTGTGTAAATTTGTTGCAAATAAGAGTTACTGGTTCAAAAAAATTATTATGCATTCCGATGGATCCTGCCACAGTAAATGTACTCCATGTAAGCATATCCCATTTTAAAATTGTACTGTGTATTTGATAAAAGGAAAAAAAAAGATTTTTCATACGCTTTGTCAGTGTCAAGACATTCAAATTGGTATTTCAATTTATCAAATCTTAATGTAAGTTCGTTTTTAAATCTAACCATCATCACATTTTTTTGCAGTTTTTCTCTTTTTGTTATATTAATAGGGAATGGCAAATAAGAAACTAATTTTATAGCTGTGCCTTTTATTTAGAACAAGTTCTTCTGGATCAGAATTCTCAAACCCCTCCTCCAAGCCCTTTCTCAGTACAAGCTTTTAATAAAGGAGCAAGTTGCAGTGCCCAAGGATTTGATTATGGACTCGGAAATAATAAAGGTAGGTGTTTAAAGTGAGTCTTCTACATAATGCACTTTGATATATTGTGTAAGGTTTCTCTTCTACCCATTCTTATTCCTGTTCACCCACAAAGTTTTATTAAAGTTTGTTTATAGGACATTAACACTTAAAATGTTAATGAAGGTGTTCTTTTTACAGTTTTTTTTTTTTTTTTTACCAGTTTTAGCTTAAGTTTATAGAAATTCTTGCTTATTTTTTCTACTTTAAAGGCACTCATTTTGAATTCATATCTGAAAGGTTCTGTGTCACTGTATCTAGTAAAAACTATAATTTATCATCCTTTTATGATTAAGAGAGTAATGTTAAAGAGCAACAAAAAACTTTTCAAAATGGTCCATTTAAAATCACAGTATTACTTTTAAGTAATACATTTACGTAATACTACACATCACCTTCATTACATATGTATGATTTTCAATGTGTAGCCAAGTTATTTAGTTAATTTAGGATTATATGAAGTGGTATATTTGGGTATGGTATGTATGATGAAACCAGAAGTTGTAAAAAGGAAGCAACCTAAGCTGTATGAATATAAAATGTATACAACTGTTTTTCACTGCGTTAATGGAGGAATCCAGCATCATGGACATTCCAAATAGTAGTTATTTTATTCCAGAATAATTTATACCTGAAATTCATTCAAAATTCCATTTGTATATGAATTCTCGTTTCTTTCCTGTGCATGTGGCCCTGACTTCTTCAAAATCAACCATATTGTCAGCACATAATATGAAGTTTGATGATGGATAGAAAGGAAAAGATAGCCTACATGGAAATTACTTTAAAGTTGTATTCAAACTACTTCACAGGGCTTGATTTCAAGGAGTAAATACATTGTTATTGTACCTAACCTGAAGAGCAGGGGAATGAAATGGTAACAGATAACAAAAATTACATCAGTGTATAAGAAATATTGAATTTAAAATAAAACCCCTCTCTATTGGATACTTGCATTACTTCTTTTCCACAAATTATTTTTATGTGGGAAGCCTAGCCACGAGAGTTTTTTTTTTTTGCTTTCCCTACTTTCTTGAGTTGATCGGTTCTGTATGCTTGGGTACTATCAGCTTGCTCATTTGTGGTAGCTCTGATTTCTGTAAACTTAAGCTAGATCTTCATATTTATATAGGATAAATTTTTTATGGTGTTTTCTTTCTTCATGTCCCTTTCTCTCTACCATTGTCCACCCTTAAATTAAAATCTCAGTGTTTATGCTCTGATAGTAATTTTTATAAAGAATGTTTAGTTCAGATTGTATGCTTTCAGTCTTTAAAATGTCTAAATCACTATACTGATAACCATTGTAAATCGATCTTTAAAATACAACTTATTAAATAATTGTAGGAATAAAAATCAACTTTCAAGAGACATAAACATTTCTGGGAACATTTATTATTTAATAGAAATAATAAAGTATTACTTTTTAAAAGTGTATTTTTGCTAATATTATTTCAAAATAGTATTCATTTGTTTATAGGCTTTTAAAATATTTAGGTGGAACAAAGAAATATTAAGATATATAACTTGATTAACTTTATCTAACCTTTATTTACTTATTTGCCTTTAACAGCAGTTCCCATTTTCTTTAACTCTGTATACTTCCAAGCTCAAGAAAGTTGTTTTTTGCAAAAGTTCTTTTCCCTTAAAAACAGCATTTTACAAAATTCTTCATAATCTCCAAAATCTTTTCTGTAATGTACATCTTTCCATATAAATCTATCCCTTGCTGGTTCTTCAGTTGAAATTTTCATTCATGAAATTTTATTTTATTTAGGGAATATGGCTGAAAAGCTACTGTTTTCCAGTTTCTGCATCAGCTAGTCTGGATATGTTTTTATTTTTTCTTCTTGTCTTCTTTAGTATGCGTATGCTCACAAATAAGAAGTTACCATCCATCTAATTATTTCCTGTCTTTAAAAAATATTTTTCATTAAAGTCCTTGGTATTTAATTATAAGGAAAAATGTCAATTCATACTTAAGAGAAACCATTAAAATTAGGCAGCTCATATTCCTTTTTATCTTATAGGTCTTATCTATCCAAGCAAAAAGTTCATGCCTTAAAAAGTAAAAAATAGAATTTCTTTGATAAGTTCAGTAGGAAAAAAAGAAAATATTAATTTATCATTATAGATTACATATGTATTAAGTTAATAACATAATTTTTCTCCTTCAGTTCTTTATTTTAGAGAAAAACTGTATTCATATTATTCACTTAATTTCTGCATGAAATGTACTGCAGGTGAGGCAGGCTGGTATTAGTCATTTACGTAGATCATCATTTATATGTATGGTGTTGAATCAGTTTATCATAGATTCTTCATAGACTCTATGCTTCCATGCTGCTGCTGTATGTTGCATATAAATTTAAATGTATTTGTTTTTGTAGGTGGGCTGTTATATAAGGTTTGATGGAATACGGCCATTAAAAAACAAAACTATGCAAAATTTGTTCTCTAAATTTGAGAGAAAAGAACGCCAACTTCCAAGCATTTCTGAATTGGCGTAGTTTTATTTAATATTTAACTATATCTGAATGTTATAGAGCACCATTCACTTTGCCATTTTGGATGTTAATTAATAACAAGTTGTAGTTTTGACTGTTTTGCCCACTGCAGGTGACCAACTGAGTGCCGTATTGAATTCCATTCAGTCACGGCCCAATCTCCCAGCTCCTTCCATCTTTGATCAAGCTGCAAAACCTCCCTCCTCCCTAGTCCACAGCCCATTTGTGTTCGGACAGCCCCTTTCCTTCCAGCAGCCTCAGCTTCAGAGTAAGTCTGTCAGCCTTACCTGCCTCATCAAGCCATTTCTGAAGCTTTGTTCTGAGTTATTTTATCAGATACGAAGTATATATCAACTCACCTGATGCTTTTATTTAATTAGGATGTTACCCCCTCCCACATTTTTTATGCATTTAAGCTATTCTGAGGAAAACCTTCTGCAGCGAAGACATTTGTTTTTAATCAAACATATTTTTTTACTAAGTGTAGTTTTTAAAACACAAGTGTTATCTTTCTATTCTAATTCTAGTACTAGTAAATGCATACTATAAAACATGTTAAGAAAAGCATAATTTGATTTAGACTTTTAATATGCATGACTATGGGAAACGTCAGTTATAGGGATGTTCTGTGTTACTTAGAGATGCCCCAAAAGAATAAATCTATTTCATTGTATCAGTGGGTGGAGGAGAGACCGTACTGGTTTGGGCAAGTGTGTGTTTCTTTTAGTGAATTTGATACCTATGAAATGTACAGCAATTCAGGTTTTCAAATTTTTTCAACTTGTTGTTTCCTCTCTTGCTTTTTTTTTTTTCTTAATATGTTAAATACCAATCATTTGATTTCAGTTCTTTCTAGAATTATTCTAGCTCTTCATCTGTGATTGTAACTCACATTGATCTGGAAAATAGACTCAAGCAAATTACACTTAACTGAGTCTTCTTTTTTCTTTATAACCTACTGAGCCTTCCACATAGAACTTTCAAAGCTGGCTGCTTACAGTATGATAATATGTTCTTGGCCTTTCTAAGCCCATGTTGGCTATCCCAGCACACCCACCATTCAGTGATAGTTTATAAACGTCTCAATATACACACTCATTGTTTGGATTCAAATGCACAACCTCTTTGCTTTAATAAAGTGCATTTACACTTAGGCCTAAGATATTTGTCTACAAAAATATTTTGGTAACTCTTACCAGGATTACTTAAGAGAGTGCCAGCTAGTTTGGTTTTTATTAAGAGTCAGGGTAGTATATACTTTGTTATGTTACTTATTATGATGTTATTATCCATCTTAGGTAAAGCATAAACAAGAGTATATATTTTTCTGGGTTTGCACTATGCATTAGGTAAGTTTAGTTAATGAAATTAATTAGTTTGGAAATATCTAAGTAGCATCAATAAAAAACTCCTTGCCATCGAATCAATTCCGACTCATAGCAACTCTATAGGACAGAGTAGACCTGCCCCATATAGTTTCCAGGGAGCAGCTGGTGGATTTAAACTGCTGACCTTCTTGGGTAGCAGCCGTAGCTCTTAACCACTGTGCCACCAGGGCCCCCCAGTAGTATCTATAAGTAGTATCAGTTCCTAGCTAATAATCATCGGCTTACATACTGTAAGCATATTCATGGATAATATTTACTTGAATGTCTATTAAGAGAAGAAAAGTAAACAGAATAGTGTCACATGTGTGAAATTTTTTATTTCCTTCTATGATAAGCATTATAGAAGAATGAGAAATGAAAATTTAGTTTACTAATTTTATGGAAAAAAAGACTTTTTACACTTAGATGTAACCAGGATGCAATATTTTAAATGTGGGTACAAGGGAAAAAACAAAAAGGAAGAAAATTATAATTAATCAGGCAGAAAATTAATATTAGAAATAAAATTTTAAAAGAGAAATTGTCCTGACAATATCATAGCAACAGCAGACAAGAGAAATAGGAAGAAAGTAAATACTCTTGTTCTATCTAAAGGTTCATTGCAAGTCTTCACAAAAACAAAAGTAATTACTATTCTTAGTTTATAATTTTAATTAATAAAATATTGTATTTCAAAACAAAATATAAAGACATAATAAAATTCAGTTTGTCTTTTTTGGAGATAACAGGCTTTCAAGTGAGATTATGTCAAAATAATTTAATGCATATTGTGTGTGTTATCAGTACCACCACTTCTTTTACCACCATCTCAGAACAAATTTGAAATCATGGCCAAGAAATGCCTTGATTACCAACCTTCTGAGTAATTACTTATCTTAGTCAAACAATGGGAATTACTCAGACCTTTTTTAAATGCTCATAATCTCAGTACAATATCACTAAAGTTTGAATTCCAAATTCCAAAAACAGCAACCTTAATCTTTAGCATCACTAAAAAAAAAATGGAATTTTAATGATAGTGTTAATGTTTTAAAAATAAACTAGACGTGAAGAATGTGCTTCTTAGTTCAAGTAGATACATAAGACT